CACGGGTGGGATCTTCGCCATAGCCTTCTCCGGTCAGTATGGAAGCCTGGCCTGGTGGGAAGGGCCAGGCTCTCAAGTCGAGGCTCCATCATTCCTAGTCATGTGACTTTGAATGACTGGCATAGCTTCTTAGCCTCAGTGTCCACAAAGTTATAAGAAAGAAATGTGTTAGCCTGAGTGAAATCTCCTAGCACAGGGCTCCATGAATGTAAGTTTTCCTCCTCCTCCATACTGTTAGGGCAGAGAGGCACATGACGTTGATCCTTGGTGCCAAGTTCAAGCTTAGAGGCAACAGAGTGAGGCGTCTCATCCCACTTGCTCACCTCAACTCACTGGCTGGCTGGCCACCTATCTGTGCCCCAGCTTGTCCCTTAGCATCTTCTAGAGGTTGTCCCACTCCAAAGGAATCCAGGGCTTCTGGACTTCATAGGAAATATTGTGCATAAATGAGGCTGAGAATGAAAGCTATCAAATCTTACTAAAACTATAAAAGAAAACATTAAGAATTGGCTAAATAAAAATTTAATATTTCTACAAAACAAAAGAGCACCATAAATAAACAAGGAAATGATAAATTGGGAAAATGCATTTAACAGGCAAAAGTCAATCTTAAAAATACATAGGGTTCTTCAAATTTTTAAGAAAAGTAGGGGCAAAGGCCATGAATAGAGAGTTAAAAGGAGAAATGCAAATAATCTATTGATATATAAAAAATGTTTAACCTAACTAGTTATCAAACGCCAACTAACAGAAAAGAAATGCTATGCTTTCTGTCGTTTATCAAGTTGACAAATATTAAGATTAATGACTATTTCCCCAAAGGGCCCTACATTTTGTGAGGACAAGGCCTGTGTGTGTTTACTTGTGCATCCTCAACAGCTGACGCAGGGTCTGTCTGACCAAGGGTGAGCCCTCAACAGAGTATCATTAAATGAATAGGATGGAAGAAGAATGATAGTTCCCCGTGTGGGAGACACTGATGCTCTGTTGACTGTATCTGTTGAAGCAGGTTTCCTAGAGAGAAAAATGGAAGCATGCATCAGATGTAGTCATGGTCCTCCCTGGTTTCTGTTAAATCCAGGTTAACCCTGCTTGGTTACCCCAAGAGTGTCTCTTGGTTTCTGTACCCACACTTCATAAAGCTTATGTGGCTCTCAATACGACACATTTCAGCAGGCACGACTGTAGAAAAAAAGTTAAATCCTCAGAACATAATATGATAGTTTTTTAAAAATTGTACTGCGGGAGAAGTCTTAAGCTACATTCCACTTAAAACTGGTAAAATGTCACAATCCCATGTGAGCATTTGGGACAGGGGTGGGCAAACTTTTTGAATCGAGGGCCACAATGGGTTCTTAAACTGGACCGGAGGGCCGGAACAAAAGCATGGATGGAGTGTTTGTGTGAACTAATACACGTTAACACTGCTGCTGGTGAAGGAACGGAGGGGAGAGCAAGAGAACCCTCCGCTCTTTCGGCTCCACGGGCCGGATAGAACAGCCAAACGGGCCGGATCCGGCCCGCGGGCCGTAGTTTGCCCACGGCTGATTTGAGATGTGCTTCCCCGCTACTGGGGCTCTGAGAGTTATCGCCGCATATGCTCACTGTGGTGCTGCACCACCCAGTGCTGTGCTGGGTACATTCCCATGGTGTCGTTCATATTTAACCCTTTGTCCTGCCTAGGGTCTTACAATGTCTCAAGCCGAGAATGTTCCCATGAGGCACTGAATGCTTGTGGAGGATTTGCAAAGTGTATATGTTGCAATGCATGCAATCACTGTTGTGTCACAACTGCATTAATCATTGGATGACCATGAAGTGATGTTTTAAGAATTCAGCTTCTAGCCCCGGCTGGTGTGGCTCAGTTGGTCGGGTGTCATCCTGTGCACTGAAAGGTGCTGCTTCAATTACCCGTCAGGGCACGAGCCCGTGTTGCAGTTGTAGTCCCTTGCAGGAGGCAGCTAATGGATGTTTCGCTCTCACACCTCTGTTTCTTTCTTTCCCTCTCCCTTCCTCTCTCTCTAAAATCAATAAAAATATTTTAAAGGAAAAATAAAGAATTTAACTTCTAGCACATGGCCTGTTGCATATATATGCTTATTTTTTTTTAGTTTTAAATACATTTTTGGATTTGGAGTTAAGCATTATAATTTTTTCCCATTAAAGTAATGGAAAGTAGGCGCTTAGCACCTTTGCATGGAACATCTGGTTTCTAGGAATGCATTATTGACATTTAATAGGAGATGCCTCTACTTTATAAAGGTCATAAAATTTAATCACTATTAGTCCAAAAAAATAAAAAATTAATAAAAGATGCACGTATAGAAGGATGCTTATCACAGCTTTATTTTAAATGGCAAAATTTTATAAACCTAAATGGTTAACAATAGAGTATCTGTTAAATAAATTCTACTAGGCTGTATAATTAAATACTGTGCAATCATTTCAATCATGTTTTTTAAGAGATTTAATTACATGGGGAGTTCTTGAATTATACATGCACACAAAGATCAGCACAAAGTACATACCATGATGCAAATTTTATAAGAGAAAATATTCATATCCACAGAGAATAAACACTCTGAGAACTTACAGTAAAGGATTAACGTGGTTATCTCTGTGAGGGCAATGGATGAATTTAATTTTCCTCCTACTGTTTTCACAGAAAATCTCATATTTTCTTTAATGACAGTGTATTACATTGGTATTTTTTTTTAAAAGAATGCTATTTTTAAGAAATATAGGGGTTGAGGTGACTTTGGAAATAATAACAGTAGCAGCGGCGGCAACAGCTAACATTTACATAGCACCTAGCCCTGTGCCAGGTAATGAATGAAAAATGAGTTATGAGCACACACCGAACTTTGCCTCACACACAATCCAGTCTCTGCTCAGAGGGATGGTTTCCAGTTTAGAAAATCCATGAAGCCAGAAGTGTTTAGGCAAAGGTCAAGGTAAACAAGCTGATTTCGATGGGCACTCACATAAACCACACACAGTATTTAGATCTTGAGTAGTGGAAAGAATAGAGGGTTTGGGAGCAGCCAGACTTGGATTCAAATCCTACCTGTGCCACCTATGTCCTGGGTAACCTTGGAGGAGGATCTGAACCCTCTGAATCTCAGCTTACTCAGAGTAGAGTAAGAACACCTCGAAGTGGGAACAGCTATTATGAGAATTAAAGGTGTCAGCGTGTGAAAGTGCCTGACATATGGTTGGCGCTCAATCATTGCTTCTCCCCCTTCTCTTCAGTGCTAGTGACTGTCACTGTCCTCCTAGATTCTCTCTCCTTGATTATTAATCTTAACAGCAGATAAGCAAAAGAGTGCTTGGTTAAATTTGCGCCGTGTACAGAGATACATACTCATTAATATCTGCTGTGTATGGGAATGAGGAGTGGGAAAGAAGTATTGAATGGCTACGTGCCCCCAAAACTATGTTCTTACACGGACTTGTCTGCTTTGTCTTTTCAGCTTATCCACTCACCAAATGCCCTCCTCCCACCATCCTCCCCAATGCTGAAGTCGTCACAGAGAATGAAGAATTCAACATAGGTACCACCTCCCACACCATCGAGGAGGGGCCAGGTAGAGGTGGGGGCTGGCCAGCGGGGCTCATCTCTCCTCCTGTCCTTGGAGAGAAACAGTAGGCCCAGTGCAGGAGGGTTGGTATTCCATCAACTGAGTTTGCATCAAATATTCTCACTCTTGCTTTTAGCCACACCTGGGCAGAGAAACTAGGAAAGCTGTTTTTTACTGTTATTTAAATCAGTATGTTTTTGGGAAATAAATCCATGCAAAACACTATAAAAAGTTCTTGGGATGTTGAAACATTCTTAGGCTCAGCAAGGCTGGGCTGTGAGAGGGGAGCAGCAGTTGTCTGGGTCATTTGATTGGAGTTGAGCTAGTTCTTTGAGCCTGAGCAGAACACAACTCACCACTGATAGTCTCGCCTGGAAGTGGGTTTGAGGTACTAAGGGTTGCTGATCAGCCCTCACCTCTCTGGGGAATCCTCACGTTACTCTCTCTTTGGCCAGGTGACATCGTACGCTACAGGTGTCTCCCTGGCTTTACCTTGGTGGGGAATGAAATCCTGACCTGCAAACTTGGAACTTACCTGCAGTTTGAAGGCCCACCCCCAATATGTGAAGGTAACTGCACTGAGCCATGCCCTTATGGGTCTGGAGTTCCTCCAGAGTGCAGCCCTGGTGCTACTCCTCTCTGTAGTCCCTGCCCAGGAAGGAAGAGGCCACATAGCGAATGTTTGTTTGGATGAGTGAATGAGTGAGTGATTGTTCTAGATAGTTTCTCTACCCTGCTCCTAGGTCCAGGGCAAGGAATTGGCCATATGGCCACATTGATGTCTCTCTTCTTTTTATCTGCTGGCATTCATTGGAAATGTCACAGTGATCAGTGGAAGGAGGAAGTTCTTGGGCAGGGGTGTGTTCACACACCAACCTTGCCCTACTGGAGTGAAGATATGCTCAAGGCTCTGTGCTGAATTAGGCAAATGAGAGCCCATATTTGTCTTGACTCCAGTGTGAGGCCTTTGCAAAAGATGAATTCACTTCACTAATTTATCCCAACTAAGATCAAAAATAATGCTCTCTACTCACTTGCACATAGTAACTGCTCAGTATTGGCTATTATTATAATTACTAGTACGACTTCTGTTCTTAGTACTGTTACTACCAACAAGTATGTGGTAGCCTATGGAGAAACAAGTCACTTCTCCCCTACCTCTCAGGGAGCAAGAGTAGGGCAAATGCAGTGTGGATCACTAGTGAGGAGGAGAGCAGCCATCTGCCCGAGAATTAGGATTTTATTTCAGTTGAGCTGCCCCACCCACCACCAAAGCAGCCGGCCCCCAATGAAAGTGAACTTTAGCCTTCATTCTGTTCCAGAACCTCTTTGGTTTGCTCCAACTGGCCAGGCCTGCATCTCAGCAACATGGTAACAGGGACACAGAATCTGAGGTCACCCCTTAGAATCAGCGGTATAATGACGGGTGCTGGGGTCTCGTTTGAATGTGCTCAGATACCGGCTCTCCAATGGTTGCCTTTGCACCAGGGAAAAGCACACGTGTTGGTCTAGTTCCTCCTCCGTCTCATGTACCTGGTATTTCTCTTTCTTTCTCCAAGTGCACTGCCCAGCGAATGAGCTTCTGACAGACTCTACAGGTGTGATCCTGAGTCAGAGCTACCCTGGAAGCTACCCTCAGTTCCAGACCTGCTCCTGGCTGGTGAGAGTGGAGCCCGACTATAACATCTCCGTCACCGTGGAGTACTTTCTCAGTGAGAAGCAGTATGATGAGTTTGAGATTTTTGATGGTAAGTCAAATACTTCCTCATGCCCCACTTCAGATGACAGCTTGCTTTGGAACCCTAGATGTCTATGCTGCATCCTCCCAATTAGAGCTTTCCACGGGCCCCACATAATGTCTTCTCTACCACAGGAACCCCAATACCTTGGAAGCCGATGGGTTGTGTTGCCCAAGCAGCAGGGCTGCTTATACTGAAGCCTGGACCTGCTGCTGAACTCTTTCTCAGTCTAGCCCTCACTCAAAGCTAGCATCTTGAATGTCAACCAATGAATGGGTCATAGCAGTACCACCCAGGGAAGACTATGCTACCCGCAAACACCCAAAAGGAGTCTACCGACCATCTTGCTTCTTTCTTGGTGGTGGGAAGGAAGTGGTGCAATAACTTGCTTTTTAATTTGGAGTAAATGTCTCAACATACCCCATTCCCCTGGACCCTAAAAATTTCACCTGAAACTTTGTAGGATTTATCTCTTACCCTCTAGAGTATATGTCTTGCAAAGACAGCTGCACTAATTGTCCCTTCTGGCTCATCAGATCCAATTAATACAATGTCATCAATATAGAGCACCAATGTGTTCTATTCTGCAGGATGCCCAGATGGTCCACATCTCTTCATGCTGCATTATGCCAGAGAGCAGGAGAATTAACATAACTCTGAGGCAAGACCATGAGTGTATACACTTGTCTGTTGCACATGGATGCAAATTGCCTATGGTCCTTCTTTCTGATGGATGTTAAAAGGAATGCATTGCTAGATCAATAACTACATGTCATGTAACCAAGGCGATGTTAATCTGCTCTAACAAAGAGTAGATTGCATCTGGCATAGCTGCTGCAATGGAGGCTTCTACTTGGTTAGGTTTGTACTATGAGACCTTCAGCCATTTATAACCATCCCCACCTCAGACTCCCCTGCTCTAACAGAGGAGCCATGGTGGTGCTTTGAGTCCCCAGATATTGTGTATCCAAAAATCTTCGAACTATCTTGACATTCTCTTTTCTCCAATATTCAGTTATATGAGTAAATAGTGATAAGTCTTTTGGGAGGAAGAACTGAGAAAATCACTACTATATACAACTGATGTTGTTTTATAGAATCCTTTTTTATGGGCACCCAGCCTCTTCTTCAGCCAAAGTGTTCTGTAGCAAGAAGTAAAACCTGGCACACGTCTCCAAATTGGGAGATTATAACTTTCCACTGGGCTTAGCTTTCCTCACCCTTTTGATCATATATTCATGATCTGTTTTGTTCATATATTCACTTATGTCAGCCACCATCCATCTTCCATGTCCTGAGAGCTGTCTTCATAGATCCTGCAGGTCAGGCCCTCCAACTGCCATTCCAACCCTTGCTGTCCTTTTGGCAATTATTCCAACCTTGCTTCTTCTGACTATTAAGTGCTTCCACCTGGCCTCTGTATTCTAGAATCTTGTCATCCCCATCAATAATCACTGGGAAGCCAGGTGCTGGACAGCATCTCCTCCCATCAGTTGTGGCCTACAGAGGACTGTTCTTACTCAGGTGTCGATGATGCTGGTACTCACCCTCACCATGCATTCCTTATGGCTTTAGGACTTGGCTCGTCCTCCAGGTCCTGAGAACGTGGGCAGCTGTTGGGTGTTCTGGTCCGACATAGATCTGCAATGTCCTGGCATGCCATTCTCTGAGCCTTTTGACCTCTTCTTCATGGGTTGTCCCCGCAGTTCTGATGGCTCAGTTTTGTTTAATGTGGCCCATGACTTTCGCCAAGCTTGCAAGAGCTGTCTCAGCAGCATGTTAGAACCATCACTCAGGGCTCTTTCCAGGATGACAAATGAAGGGCATGGGAATCTCCAGCTTTATATTCTGCCTCCTGGAGCCAGCCCCTCAGGATGCACTCCCAGGCATGTAGGGAGGAAAAAGGAAGAGGGAGGCCTTTTTGGGAGAGTCTGGGAAAAGAAGGTGGGGAACTATGTTATTTGTGACATTGAGACCTGATGTTTCCTCTAGGTGTACTCATACATTCATCCGTAAATATTCTTTCTATATGGGAGGCACCGAGCTATTTTTAGTACGCACAAGAGAAGTGGGGTGGCACAGTGGAAGGAGTACCCAGGGGAAAACCAGCTCTTCCATGAACCAGCGGCTTGACCTTGGGCAAATTCCAGGGTGGCAAATAGTTTTATCTGAACTGCCAACTACTGTGGATTGGCAGTGGCTCCCTGGAGGAAGGGCTTAGGAGGAAGGGCACCTAGAGCAAGACCTGGATGCAGAGAGGAGTGGAAGAACAAATTAGTTGCTGACTCTGACCAAGTTACCCAGCCGCTCCGAGCCTTCATGCCTTCATCTGAGGAGGGAGAAGTCAGAAGTAGTGGCATGAAAGGGAGCAACTCTAGTATCTTTGATGGCTGTCAGTCTGAAATCCCGTGTCCTGTGCTCTCACCCCAGGTCCCTCAGGACAGAGTCCTCTGCTGAAAGCTCTCAGTGGGAATTACTCAGCTCCCCTGATTGTCACCAGCACAAGCAACTCTGTGTACCTGCGCTGGTCATCTGACCATGCCTACAACCGGAAGGGCTTTAAGATTCGGTACTCAGGTGAGTGAAATGTAAGGACTCGCGAGAATGGCCGAAGGCCATGAGCCCTTAAGTTTCTCACCCCAAACACCCAAATAAGCCATAGGCCATACCTTCAGCAGTGACAGAGCTCCGCCATGGGATAAGCAGCCTTCTCCTCTAAGTCTCTCTTACTGTGGCTGCACAAGTGCCCTGACATTTCCCCACCTCCCCTTTTCTGCTCCTTTCCCTTCCCTCTCATCTGATGGCCCTGCCAGCCTGTGACTGTGGAGAAGGTTATTTCATGTGTCTGATCTAATAATGCTGAAAGGTGATCACAGCCCTACCCCTGTTGAAATGCTAATGAAATTTCTTTAAAACTGAAAAACCCTAAGACATGGGTCTCCAACTGGCAAATGGTAGACAGGCAGCCCAGAGATGAGCTGTATTTTCAGTCCAGGGACCTCTTTCTGCTCTGCAAGCCATGTCTTCTAGGCAGAGTCAGAGCGAAGGCCATGCAGTCAGGTGGCCAACTGGGCAGCCATCTGCAGGGAGCATAGAAACATCCCTGAGATGTAAGGAGACGGAGAACATTGAATCTGTCTGAACCCCATGGTGGGAATCACTGTCTGCAGCTGGAAAGAAAACCTGATAAGCTGCTTGCTCCCCATTCTGAAGGGGAGTGGGTCCAGCGAACTGGGTTCTGTAGACTTGGAGGCAGAGACAAATTACTTAAGACCTAGGAGTCCCACCAGGCACCGGGTCCTCTCCGCACGCTTCCCCTGCCTGCATGTGGCCTGTATTCCAAATACATGTTGGACAAGTTCTAAGAGGATATTGGTTAGAAAGGATGTCAGATTACAGCCCGCTTGAGTTACCACTTGTCTTAGTCCATCTCTTCTCATGGGCTACCTACTTAGAAGACAAGCCCAAGCTTAGTGGGCCACTGACAGTCTTAAAGGGTCCTGGGGTATGGCTTCAGGGACCAGCAAGACCGATGAAGCCAAGGGGAGCTGGGAGGGGCAGGGCTTTTACTGTCTGAGCCCATCTCCTCTGCGAAGTTGACCCAAACTTCCTTCCCCCCCATGTATGCAAGAGGGTGGCCCCACGAACACTGTCACTAACCAGCTGAGTGACTATTCGACACATCACTTAACCTCTCCAGGCCTCAGTTGCCTCAGGACACAAAGAAACCTGAAGGTCCCCCTCAGGAAGATTCAGGCTGAGTTCCTAGCAGCTGCTCACGCAAAAGGGAAACATAGCCATTGAGTAGCAGTTCATTATGCTGGTTGCTAAACTAGGAACTGAAAGCCATTAAGGAGTTGCCCTTTCCATGATGTCTTTAAAGACTAACCACATGTTTGGAGGTAATGAGTCAGTTGTAATTACAATACATACGCCAAGTACAAAATGAATTAATCACACGGTGAAGCAATTAGCACTTAATTAAAATACAGTAGACTTGTGTAATTTCAAATGCCTCTATCACTGTGATTAAGTCTATTGTATAACTGAGAGCCTTGTTCTTGACTGAGGTAGACACGTAAATATGATATACACAGGACGCAGGTGGCAGAGGGAAGCACGTCTGGCGTGGAAGGAGGGCATTTAAGACACATTCGCCAGCAGAGGGGCACGAGGACCTCACCATGGGAGGACGTAGTAAGGGCCTGACACGCTCATTCCCCCTTAGCCCATGCCCCCCTGGGAGACCCAGCCAGGGACTCTCAGAGCAACAAGGGGCACTTACTTCTCTGAGGACCCCTCAGCAGGGTCTTTGATTGCAAGTTCTCTGCGGCTGGGATTTTTGTCTGTTTCTCACTTGTGTTCCCAGCACTTAGAACAGCACTAGGCACATAATGGACACTCCAGACCCATTTGTTGAATTAGTGAATGAAATAACTTAGAGCCATACATTGAGGGGATCGGGACTGTGGGTTCTATATGCTGACTGCCCCAGCTCCCTCTCCCTCGCCCTCCAGGACAGAACAAAGGAGGAGGACCAGTTATTGAGCACTGAGCTGGGGGCTTTCACAAACACAATCCTATTTAAATGCCCCAAAACCTATGGGTAAACATGACCCATCCCAGTAGACAGGCGAGGAGACTGGAGATGAATGAGCTTCAGGAGTGTGTCCGAGTCAGACCCGACTGACTCCATTGGTTCTGTTTCTGTGTCTCTGGGAGTTGATGGGATTCGAGAGCCTGAACTTAGCTGCACAGCTAAGGCCGAGAAGGGTACCCAATGCTTCATGTTTTCTCCCCTTCCTTTCCCTTCCCTTCCCTTCCCTTCCCTTCCCTTCCCTTCCCTTCCCTTCCCTTCCCTTCCCTTCCCTTCCCTTCCCTTCCCTTCCCTCCCCTCCCCTCCCCTCCCTTCCCCTCCCCTCCCCTCCCCTCCCCTCCCTTTCCTTCCCTTTCCTTTAACTGTTTGGCCATTTTTCAGTATCAGCCACTCAAGACCACTCAGATAGCAGTAGACTTGGCCATGGGGAAGACAGGGAAGTGGGGGAAGAATGGGGACGGTGAGTAGGAAGGAACATGTCTGTCTGTCTTCCCACCTGTGCGTGGTCCCCTGACCTCCTCCTCTTGTTCAGCGCCCTACTGCAGCCTGCCCAGGGCTCCACTGCACGGCTTCCTCCTGGGCCAGACCAGCACCCAGCCCGGAGGCTCCGTCCACTTTGGCTGCAATGCCGGCTACCGCTTGGTGGGACACAGCATGGCCATTTGTACCAGGCATCCCCAGGGCTACTACCTGTGGAGTGAGGCCATTCCTCTCTGTCAAGGTGAGAAGCAGGTGGGAAGGGATAACAGGTGTCTCTGATCCTACTCACATCTTGGGTTTGTCCCAGGTCCAATCATATCCACATGCAGGCTTCCTCATTGGTAATTAATTCATCCTCTCAGGAACCATAGATTGAAGATCCACAATATCTTTAGCCCTGGGGATATGCATATGCATAAAGCACAGTCTCAGTGTCTTCAGAGCAAGAGGGAGATGGGATTAGCCACATAGATGCAAAGTGACCGAGGAAGGAAGGGCTGTGTCAGGAGTAGAAGCCACGTTGAAGAGCCAGAGGTGAGAAGGGACCTACCTCCTCCTGGACGGCTAGGGAGGCCTCCAGAAGAAGCACGCTTGGGCTCAGGCTCAGAGAGCAAGCAGGTTGGGCCCAGGCATTGGCAAGGAAAACATGCTAGCCAACAGCAAGAGCATTTGTCAAAGCGCAGAACTGAGAGAAACAAGGCATGGGAACCAGCTGGGGCTGGCCGAAGCACCAGGTCGGAGAGGAGAGGAGGGAGGAAAACAGGGTGGAACAGTGTCCATCAGCATTCTCAGCCACCAGCCATCAGGCCTTCGATGTGCACCAGGCAGTTTGCATGTGTTGCCTTTGATAATTTATGGGATTATTTTTCCTTAAAGTAATATACATTCAGACTAGTAATCTGAAGGAAAAAAAACACGTACAGATAATACCAAAGAAAAAAGTGAAAATGACCTATAATCCCACCAATTGAGATCACCACTGTTAACATGGAACACGTTTCTTTTCGTCTTTTATACACTGTTTACAGAAATGGCACCATCAATATCCAGAACTCTCGCTATTAACATCTATCATATATTCAAATACACTTCCTCATCATTATTCTCAGTGGTTGCATAGCATTGTGGGAAAACTGACATTTATTCAAGTCTTTTATTGTTGGCCATTTGAATTTTTTTTTTTTTTTTGCTATTGTAAGTGCTGCTATTAAAATTTTTATAATTCCATTGTTATGAACATCCACATTTATTTCTTAAAATGAATTCCCCAAAATGAGATTGTTAAATCATAACCTATGCGAAATCTACAGCTGTTGATACTTATTGCCCTCCTGAAAGTTGTCTTTTCTCCTACATTCTCATCATTATGTACCACATTAAAAACAGAAAAGACCCTTGCCAGTGATAGAGGCAAACACAGGAAATCACAGTGATGTTTTATGTTCTCGTTCTTTGGTCCCCAGCGTGGGCCACACTTTTAATGCTATCTCATCTCTGACCCTCTCCGCCTTCTGCCTGGGCCCGGGCCTTCTCAAAGACCCGAAACAGTGTGTCATTAGAATTCTGTTTGATGCCCTAAGCAAAGGTCACGGAGAATGGACTGTCCACAAGTGGCAAATGGCACTTGGCTTTGGTCTTCCCGTTTCTAACTGTATCGGGCATCATCTTTTTCCAGAGCTTTTATTGAAACTGACCTTGTCTCTCAGGTCTTTTATCTTTTATCACTTCCCCGAATTAAGCCCCTCTAGGCTCTGTCCACTCATCCTCGTTATGCTCTGTGCTTCTCCCCATCCCTACTCAGGCTTCCCTTTGCCGCCCTCCCTCCCAGCCATTCCCTCGGTGCTCTCTGGACTCCTGGCTCCATGGCCAACAAGCATACACCCTTGGTCCCTTCCCAGAGGGCTCTGTTCACTTCCTCCCTCCACAGAGACCGTGGCTCTCCTCTGAGAACAGGGATGCTGTGTCCCTTTCCAGAGGTGCGTGTCAGCATCCATGTCCCGCATAGCCCAGGGCGCTCTTCCCGTTCGCCATTGCTGCTTCCAGACCAGGACTTCTCCACCAACAACTAAACCCATTTAAAGAGTCAATGTTGCCTAATGTTTTCTCTCCCCTCCCCAGCCCTTTCTCTCACAACATATCCTCTCCCTTAGGGATATTATTCCACCACAAGTTCCACAATCTGTCCCCTCCTCTCTGACCCACAGGAAGTGTCCCTCTTACCTGGGTCTTGGGGGACTGCGCTTTGACATGGAGATCAGGAAACAGGCTTTTAGTCTCTCAGAAGTTACCTTTTGTCTTCTTGGTTATCCACAGGAGAAAGGCAGGCCGGGGCAGAGGGAAGTGGCTGCTGCCCGCTGCCTTCACTCTCTGCCTCCAGATTGACTCCCATGCAACAAGGCAGTGGGACTCTAAGTGTTTCTTCCCGAAAGGTTCCAGGAAACAAAGCAGTCGGTTGAAAAGATATGACAGTTTCGCTAACCCGGTACCATTGAAGGGGCTCGACTTGCTGTTCAGGCATTGAAAGATCATCATATTCAGATGCTCTCTTACTTCCTCATTCCCTCCATTCCTGACCCTCCTCTTTTGTCCAATATTTGTCCACATCGAATCTTTGAATCATTCCTGTCTTGGTATTTTAACCCCACTCCCTCTGGACAGTCCATCGTTCTCCATTTTATTACCATAATGGAGTCCTTGCCCTATTCCTCTTCTTGGTTCTAGAAATTCTCGTAGCATCGGCATCATTGTTAGCCAGTGTGAATGGGATTTACTTCTGCTCGAGCTTCGTCCAACTCTGAGGGAAGGCGGCCTCAGCTCTAGCCTAGGTGCAGAAGTAGGGGTGGATGAGGGGCAGTAGTGGGCACCCTGATTAGTATCACATCTGTAAGAGCTCCTGAACTGTCAAGGGGCAAGCAGGGCTTGTAAGTGTTCATTTCTTTCAAAGACCACACAGGCTACTCTTGCCTAAGTAATGTATGTTTCTCCCATAAACATCGGGTTGCCCCTGCTCCTTATAAAACAGTGATCTTGGTCATGCCCAGCTGTCATCTTGAGATTTCTTCTTCATACTCCTGAGTCAGCTCTATCATTGTTTATATCTCACATCTTGCCCTTCGTTGGTTTTTATGCTCTTTTTGATGGAGTATATAGCCTTAAGGAAATTCCTCAGAAAAGGTTCATGAGAGATCAATGTTATAAGTCTTTAAATATCTGAAAATATCATTATGTTTACCCTCACACATGCTAGGTATGTTGACTGGGTAAAATTATATGTTAAAGTAATTTCCTTCAGAAATTTAAAGGTATTGTTGTGTTATCTTTGGACATCCATTGTTGCTGATGGGAAGTCTGATGATGAGCTGATTCTCATTCCTTCACAGGGATGTTCTCTCTCTCTCTCTCTCTCTCTCTCTCTCTCTCTCTCTCTCTCTCTCTCTCTCTCTCTCTCTCGGAATTTCTCCATCTTTGGTCTTCTGAAATTCCATGACAGTGAACCTTAGAAGGTTCTCTTTGCATCCCTTTGGCTCCCTTTCATTCTGGAGACTTGTGTGTCTCTTCAGCTCTGGGAAATTTCCATCTGTGATAATTCCAGCCCCTCCCCTTGCTCTGTTCTCTTTCTGGAACTCTGGCCCATTAGATGTTGGATCTCCTGGATTGGTCCTCTGTGCTTTCAGCCTTTTCTAATCATTTTTAGTTTTTGTCTTTTTGGTCTATAGTCTCAGAAATTCCCTTTCATTTTAATCTCCAGCGCTTCTATTGAATGCTTATTTTGGTTATCATATCTTTTAAAATAAAAAGACCTCTTTCTTGTTCTTTTTTTTCCCAAAGCACTCTGTTCTCGTGTAACAAATATAGTATGTCGTCTTGATTTTCTCAAGATACACTAGCCAGAGCTTAAAGATTATATATCTTCAATTTCCTGAGTTAGCTCTGCCTCCTCAGGGAGACATTTTCCCCTGTTTTCAATCTTATATTTATGTGTTTTGTGCTGCTGTTTTTCTTCATATGTATAGTGAGCCTTGCTTGTCCATATTTTAAAGTAAAAGCTAGGTTGATTTTTTTTCAGGCAGCAGATGTGAGCTACCTTTGTTGTTAATACATATAGATACCTTCACCCATCAGGTCTCCCCTATGAACAGGAAGTTGAACTGTGTATGATGTAGAGATGAGCAGGCAGAAGGGCAGCCTGTAGGCTGTGAGAGCCCTTCAGTCCTAGAATTGAAAAAGCTTTATGCTGGGGTGCCAACTCACACTGCAGCAGCCTTAATTCTCTCAAGGGAGTTTTTTTGGGGGGTTTTGGTTTTCTGTTTCTGTTTGTTCTTGTTTGTTCCTCAAATGGGAGAGAAAACCCTCTCTATTTAGTGTGAAGAACACACGCCTGAATGCCTCTGCACTGTATTCGTGGGAAGGGACAGAGAACCCGTCTCACCCCATAGCTCCCTCCCATGTACTCAGTTTGGTCTACAGAGTCTTGGCACCATTTAATCCAGCAGAACACTTCTAGCTGCACTTTGTCTTCCGAAATTCTTTTTGAACTCTCCTCTGCTGGTGATCCTCATAATTTTTTTGTTGCTATGAAGATTTTCCACCCTAGCCGGTTTGACTCACTGGATAGAGCGTGGGCCCTTGGACTGAAGGGTCTTGGGTTTGATTCTGGTCAAGGGCATGTACCTTGGTTGCAGGCTCAATCCTCAGCCCCAGTTGAGGCACATTCAGGAGGCAACCAATCAATGTGTCTCTCTCACATTGATGTTTCTCTCTGTGTGTTTCTCCCCATCCCTTTCACTCTCCCTAAAAAAAAAAAAAAAATCAGTGGAAAAGTATCCTCTGTTGAGGATTAACACAACAACAAATACGATTTTTCTTTTGTTAGTATTCATTATAATTTTATTAGGGTGTCAGGGGAGAAGAAAGGTAAATATGTTCTCAGAACACTATTTGAATCAGACATGTTCATGACCTTCTTCCCTTTGCTAGCTCTTTCCTGTGGGCTTCCGGAGGCTCCCAAGAATGGAATGGTGTTTGGCAAAGAGTACACCGTGGGGACCAAGGCTGTGTACAGCTGCAGCGAAGGCTACCACCTGCAGGCAGGTGCCGAGACCACCGCAGAGTGTCTGGAGACAGGCCTGTGGAGCAACCACAACGTCCCTCCCCAGTGTGTCCGTGAGTCCTTGGGCAGGGGAGGCAGGTGTAAGGAGGGCTGGGTAAGGAGCTGAAAAGATTCCTGCAAGGAGTGAGCTAAAGACCCAGGGATGGGAAGAAGCATGAACATGGAGGTTGGGGATTCAGGGAGCAGAGACAGGTGAATAGTGTCATCTACCAACTTTTTGAAAATAATTTCAAGTCATTGATAACCATTGCACCCTGAGTTGCTCCCATAAAGCACCATAGAATTTAGGAGTGATCTGCTCCACTTCCTTTTAGGTGGAAAAACTGTAAGACCGTTTGCACGAATGTACTTTGATCACAAAACTCTAAAATGGCAGAGGTACAGTTCGAGTTTAAGGCCAAAGTCATAAAGTCACAACTAAATGGGCCGTGTGTCTTTCTTTTGTTTTGTTTCTTTGGCCTATAGTATGATTTATAAAAATTACTCATTGTCCTCTAACACTTTAAAATCAGGAAATTTTATGTAAAAATTCATATTTGTAGTTTTTCTTTAAAAATGAAGATCTGACCAAATAGAACTTGCAGCCTCACATCCAACAGTCAGCATCGACCGAATACCACCTCCCTTCTTTGGTGGGGGTGCAGGTCTGCTGGTCCACATTCGCCACATTCCCACCCAGCCCAGTTCATGCATTACCAGACCTGCCTGGGGACTGGAGACTCTTGGATTCATTATTGTCTGCCAGTCCCCAGCTATGGACTCGTGCCAATGTGTCTTACACAATTAATTAATGAATCCTCCTCGCCACTCCTTGTCTACCCAGCTGTGACCTGTCCCGATGTCGGTGGCATCGGGGTGGAACACGGCCGATGGAGGCTCATCTTTGAGACGCAGTACCAGTTCCAGGCCCAGCTGATGCTCATCTGTGACCCTGGCTACTACTACACTGGGCAGAGAGTCATCCGCTGTCAGGCCAATGGCAAATGGAGCCTCGGGAACTCCATGCCCACCTGCCAAAGTAAGCCCAGGACGGGAGGGTGGGCAAGTTTGGCTCAGTGCCTCCTACCTGAACTGTCTCATGTGTAGGGAAGGGGAGAAGAGGGGTATCACCTGGGATTACAACGTACCCCTTTTTTAATACACACCTAGAATCAGGAGCCGGGGAGATGCTTACTACTTTAAGGAAATACTTCTTAGCATCTTGTCATCTTATTAAAAAGCTGCCTTTGGCAAGGTGAGCATCCACTAATTTATTTATTCAGCACTCATGCCAGGTACTAAAGAGTTATGAAGATAAAAGTTTGTGGTTCCTGCCCGCAAGGAGCTTGTCATCCACTGGAGAGGCAGACAAATAAGGACGCAGTGATAATGGGGTGTGAAAAGACCTGGAAGGGGAGTGTGTGCAGGAGGAATGGGCATAGCACAAGGGACAGGCCACATAAGTGTGTCTGCCGCAACTTCTCCATGGCAACCTGTTTTTCTTCAGTTCTTCACAATAGTTTCAAAATTCAGGGCCCCTGGGAAGCCACTCTAGGACAGAGGTTTATCAGGGAGTGCTCCTGGGACCCCTCCCTGTGGAAGGGAAGGGAATGGGACTAGGAGGCAGAGGAGTGGGCTCTGGTACAGCAGTGGTGAAGGTCTCAGCTGACCCACGGGGAGCTCTGAAGCTGGGGTGGCCCTGCAGAATTGTCACAGTTGTCCCACGGTGCCTTTGTACCTCTACCCTGACTAAGCATTAGGTGCAAGCTGCCGCAGGGAGAGAGCATGTCTTTAGGTGGGAGGACTCTTCACCCAAGGCAACCTGAAGAGGGCCAGCAGCTGAGGGTCTGTGCCAGCAGCTGGGGAAATAGATCCTTCCATCCCGAATGGGGGTCTCTGTGGCTCACCGCAGCATCCACTACAGTGGAGTGCACTCATGACATTTACCTAGTCAATAAGGAGTGTGTTTGTAAAGGAAGTGGTGAAGATAGCCTGTCAGTGAGCCCTGGGAAGTTCGAGACGAAGAGGAGTGGTGTCTTCCCAACACCTATGATCCAAGACACTGTTGTCTTATCAGCCAAGTGCAGACTCCATGGTAGAATATAACCATGCATGTGGCCAAGTAAGAGTCATGAGCCTGAAACAGCCGATGACAGTGAAGGGGCTCACATTCCAACGCAGCCTTAGCTATTGGGTCTCACCCCATATGCCAGCCGGTGGCTACCTGCAGTGCTGAGCTCAGCAGAAATTATAAGGAAATTGATCTGCAGTGTCTGCTGAGAACACCAAGGAGCAGGCCACTGAATTGCTGTTTCTCTAGTCGGGTGGTTCCTCAGCAGAGTGCACTTCTGACCACCTGACTTTTTAAATGCACGTGCCTGGGCCAGAGGTCGTGAGTCACGGGTGCAGAGTGCAGCCTGGGCATTTTTAAAGCTCCTTGGGTGCTTCTAGCAGCACCTCAGTCGAGAATCTCTGCTCCAGTGCAACATCACACAAAGCACAGTCATGACCCATATTCTAGTCATGAGTCCCAGCAAAGTAAGGCTAGGCAGATCCTCTTTTTGTCATATTCTTGCTAATCAGGAACAGCACGTGTCCCTCCTCTTCAACCAGGCAACCTGAAGAGGGCCAGCAGCTGAGGATCTTTGCCAGCAGCTGGCTTACCGAGCATTTTGTTATCCTTTTAGTCATCTCCTGTGGAGAACTCCCCATCCCACCCAATGGGCACCGCATCGGGACGCTGTCTGTCTACGGGGCAACAGCCATCTTCTCCTGCAATTCTGGATACACGCTGGTGGGCTCCAGGGTGCGGGAGTGCATGGCCAATGGGCTCTGGAGTGGCTCTGAAGTCCGCTGCCTTGGTGAGCGACCTCCCCAGGCCTATCCTGCCCTCTGTTCCCCTCTCAGGACAGGTTACATCTTTCCAAAGTGGGATCCCAGTCTTAGAACAGTACCGTTTTACCTACTTCCCTAAAATGCCTCATCCAAACACCAGCTATTGGGCATCCACCATGACTAAAATCCTAAACTAGCTCCTCTTGAGGCACCCAAAAGGATGAGAACAACTTAAAGTCTGAAGAGACAAGTCTTTGAGGGGTTCTCATTCTGCTCAAACACACTGCCCCTTCTTATTGGCCCCTGAGTGATGGGGGAAGCCCAGGTGTCCACCTGCAGGGCAACGTACAGAGACACAGCCCTGTGACAGACCTAAAACACCTTATATATGATGTAGTAGCAAATTTACACCTATGTGTATTTTACATATATAATATAGAAATATATTTCAGTTACTTGCTTATTCTATACCTTATATATATAAAATGAACAATGTTAAACTCATAAAGAAATGAAAAACCTGACATACAAAGAACCAAGTCATTATTTCCCGCATGGTTCGCTCGTCCCCTGCCTAAACCTTAGCCTAAGGCTCTCTCCCCTCTCACTCCTCACTTGGACACCTCAAGTGCAAAGGAGAGTCCCAGCTGCACAAACCGAATAGCACAGGTTGGACAGTCTGTTCCAGCGTGCCCCGTGCTTCCCTCCCTCTGTCTCTGGCCCGTGTCGTGTTCACACAGAGCCAAGGATGCGAGTGGAAATGCTAGGAGTATGCTCTACCCAATCCCCATTGAATAAAGATAACGCCCCTGGGTTGACATCTTCTATGTGCCTTGCCACTCAAGGAGAAGGAAAAATGGATTTACATAGTTATTCTCTACACAACCAGGCTTTGACTGCCTCACTGTAGACCACTATGCCCTCCATTTGGTAGATGCTCAGTTGATGAGAAAAAATGGGGCCGATGTGTGTATGCAGGGAGGTAACAATGATAATTTCTCACCTGCATCTAGACACAGAAACTAAGGGTCCGACATGGATGGTCATATGGGATGCAACCTTGAAATTGGGTTGCCAAGTCTTCAACACCATTTCTATCATGTCTAGGCTGCCTGAAGTCACTCCTGGTCGGCTACTCTCAGGGGGAAGTGGGAAAACAGTGGGTGGCTGGGTAACTTGGTCCTTTTTCCCACCATCCCTGTCTCCGCCAACCCTGACCAAGCCCCACCTAAACTAGCTTCTCTTGAGGCACCCAAAAGAATGAGAACAACTTAAAATCTGAAGAGACAAGTCTTTGAGGGGTTCTCATTCTGCTCAAACACACTGCCCCTTCTTACTTTCTGTAAGTTCCTCTTTGATTTATACTCTTTCCCTGTCCCCCATCAAAGCCGGACACTGTGGGACCCCTGAGCCCATTGTCAACGGACACATCAATGGGGAGAACTACAACTACCGGGGCAGCGTGGTGTATCAGTGCAACGCCGGCTTCCGCCTGATCGGCATGTCTGTGCGCATCTGCCAGCAGGATCATCACTGGTCGGGCAAGACCCCTTTCTGTGTGCGTAAGTATGTTACCCACTCTCCCTAGTCATGGGCTCAGATTCAGCGTGGACTTTCTCCCTTGTCCTCTTGGTTAGGTTAGCAGAGGTTTAGCATACTTTTTTTTAATCCTTTATTGTTTAAAGAATTACATATGAATCCTTTTTCCCCCATTGACCTCTCCCCACTCATTCCCACCCCCAGCCCCCAGCACAAGCCCTCACCCCCCTACTGACTGTGCCCATGGGTTATGCTTATATGCATGCATGCTTTTTACAAAGATGCAATTACTTTGAATTTTCTGCATATCACTAATTATTGCTTTCACCTTTATTATTTCTTCCCTTGTGATTTCTTTGGGTTAACTTTTTTATTCATTTTTTATCTGTTGAGTTGGGAATTTAATTCACTTACTTTCATTCCTTCATTTTTATTGCATGTCGTGGATATAAGTATGTAGGACTTTGAAATTTCTTCTGGTCACTATTCTAATCATATCCCGTAGATTACAATAATTCATGTTTTATTATTTATCAGAAATTTTGCAATTTTAGTATTAATTTCCCCTTTCACCCAGAAATTTTTATATAGAAGAGTATTTTTTTAATTCCGGTGAAGGACTTTTTACTTTTTATTGTTTTTTTAGTTCTAATTTTATTGCATTGTACATAATATCCTATTTCTTAGAATTTACTGATGATCTCTTTGTGGCTTAATATTTGATCAGTTGTTATGAGTGTCCCATGTACATTTGAGAAGAAAGTATATTAAGGTGTAAATTTCTTATATAGTCATGAGATGTGCCTTATTGATTATGTTGTTTATGCTTTATGTACACTTATTTTTTGTCCGCTTGACCTATTTTGTTCTGAGAAGTGTGTTTTAAAGTTTTCTATTATTAGTGTGCTTCTATTTTTCCTTGCATTTCCTGTATTTTATGCTACATACAGGTAGTCGCTGTATTATTTGGTGCATAGATATTCATAATTATGATATCTGCATTATAGATTGTGGTTTTAGCCTTTAAAAATGCCTTCCCTGTCACTTGTAATATTTTTTATTTGAATTGTACTTGTGCCTGATTTTAGGCTTATAGTATTTACTTTCATCCTTAACATCACAAACACCATTTTGTTCTTATAACATTTTAATGCCATTAGCTTTCATGTATGGACTATACAATAATCAATGAGCCTGTTCTGCTTCCCGGTCCTCACTCCTTTCCCCTTCCATCTTTCGTTGCATTATTTCTACTTTGTCAGAACATAAAAGGTTTATTATAGTGTTTATGTAATATCGCTGTGCCCTTCTCCCTACCTTCATTTTACTCCTGGGTCTACCATTACATATATGAAAAGCTCACCAGTGCAGCCGAAGTTTGCTCAGTTACTTCCTAGCTGGATCAAGCTGAGTCTCTAGTGGATTCCTCAATAATGCCTCCTTTGCGTAATGTTCCCCAAGTTCTTGCTTGTTTAAAACTGTTATCTGAACCTTAAAACCTGAAGGATAGCTGGATTGTACATAAAATCCTTGGTCACTATTCCTTTCTTTGACTTTCTTAAATACCTCTTGGTAAATTACAATTTCATAACATTCTCTCTCTTATAATTTAGTCTTTCTTTCTGAGGTAATTTTGTCTTTTTCTCCAGTTCTTTCCAGCATGTCATCAATTACCTTTTAATTTTCTCCCATGTTTTCTCCATGTCTTGCTTTAGTTTTTTTTATTTTCTGATTCTTAAGATGGTTTTTCATATCTCCAAATGCTTATGTATTAATATTTAATTCAGTTTAGAGTGTTGTTACAGTTTTCTTATGTTTCATGTGTTTTGTTTTTGATGAGGAGATTTTCATCAACCGAGATGTTTTGATTTCTTTCTGTTTTCTTTTTATCATAGTTCTGTATAGATTTAGGCTGATGTTTTCTATTCATTTTGTGACTTTCCGAAGGTTTACAAAAGTCCCCCTTCGGTCAATGTAGCAGAATATGATTGCTTTGTCTTAAATTTATTTTTCATTTAAGTATAGTTGGTATAGAATCATATATTGGTTATATTAGTTTTAGGTGTACAATACAGTGATTTGACATTTTTATATTTTACAAAGTGATCACCCCATTACTTCCAGTAATCATCTGTCACCGTGCAAACTTATCACAATATTATTGGCTATATTCCGCTTCCCCTTCCAACCATACCCTCCTCCCTTTTGGTAACCATCCCTTTGGTCTTTGTTTCTGTGCGTCTGTTTTTGTTTTGTTTTTCTTGTTTGTTTGTTTGTTTTTGGTCTTGTTGGGTTTTTTTAGATTTCACATACAAATGAAACCACATTTGTACTTGGGTTTGGTACTTGTCTTCCTCTGCCTGACTTATTTCATTTAGCATAATACCCTCTAGATCAGCCGTGGGCAAACTACTGCCCGTGGGCTGGATCCGGCCCATTTGAAATGAATAAAACTATTGAAAAAAAAAAAACCGTACCCTTTTATGTAATGATGTTTACTTTGAATTTATATTAGTTCACACAAACACTCCATCCATACTTTTGTTCCCGCCCTCCGGTCCAGTTTAAGAACCCATTGTGGCCCTCGAGTCAAAAAGTTTGCCCACCCCTGCTCTAGATCCATTCATGTTGTCAGAAATGGCAAGATTTCATTCTTTTTTATTGTTGCATAATATACCATAGAATATATACATCCTCTTATTTACCCAAGCATCTATCAGTGGACACCTAGTTGCTTCCATATCTCAATGCAATTTCAACATCATTCTTCTCAGAACTAGACTAAATATTCCTAAAATTTATATGGAGCCACAAAGACCCCAACTAGAAAGATGAATAAAGTTGGAGATACCATGCTTCCTGATCTCAAAGCTATAATAAAACAGTATGGTATGGCACAAAAACAGACATATAGATCAATGGAACAGAATAGAGAACCCAGAAATAAACCCTTGTTTATATGGTCAAGTAAGCTATGACAAAGAAAGTAAAAATTTGCACTTGTGTAATAACAGTATCTTCAGCAAGTGGTGGTGAATAAACTGGACAGATACATGTCTTGTTTTTTAATCAAAGGCTTTCTTGTGTTTGATAAAGAAAAGTTGTTTGTCCTCCATTTTGTTTTTTGCTTTTCTTTTGTCATTGCAGGACCTTAAGTTTCCCCCTTTTTGCTCATTTTCCCTTTGTTACTTACCCAATCTCCAGAGGATAGCTCTTCTCTACCTCTATCTCCCTCCCCCTCTCTTCTTCTCTCACTTCCTTTATCTGTTTGCCTTTCTTTTCTTCTAGAAGCAAGGAGGAGAATCACACTCTCTCCTGCCCCTTCCCTGTAGTCAGTGCACCCTAACGTCCCAGACCCTTCTTCAGTATGTCCATGCTGAAGATGAACGTCCTGTTTCTCGCAGTGATTTTAGAGCAGGATGTGGCCCTCCCCCTGCCTCTCTCTTCTCTTCCCAGGCAGTCTGGGCCTCCACACAGGCTTGCATCAGCAGCATGAGAAATAGTTCTGCCGGTGTTGCCTGTTTGTTTTTCTCCTTACACATAATTTAAAGTTTATAGCGTTCTCTGTCTTCTAGTTATGCTGCAGGCCTGGCTTTCTACAGTTTTATTTGTTCTTCTTGATCATCTGCATTTTTTTGGATTAGGTGACCATCATTTTTCTCAGCTGCCTTGAAGTAATTCGGAAAATTCTTCACTTTTTAATGCTCCCTAAAGTAAGCCTTTGTGTAAAGTGCAGGGCTGTGTTCGTAATTTTTGTAAGGCCAGTTTTTGTTTTTAATTCTTTTTCTTCATTTGCCTTTCTGTATATGAGATGGAGCAATAAAATAATGAAACTTACTCAGTAAGAAATCCATGAAAGTAGGTCTTAATAGCTTCTAAAGGATTAAGTTTACCAAAAGCAAGGCCCATCTCTATTCACTTTGTCTTCCAGATGTGAATAAAGAAAATATATTTGGTTTCATTCAGGAGAAAAAAAACTTCAAATGCCTTCAAGAAATTGGCACAGAATGTGTGTGAATAGATTGAGTTATAAAGAATAGAGAATGTTGGTGTCTAGAATTAAGTGGAGAATGTCTGCCTGACCTGAGGATATGTTAGACCTGGTCCACATGGAAAGGCTGTAAAGTATTAGCCAGGTGGACCCTGCCCTTAGAGTGCCTGGGTTTGTATCCCAGGTCTGTCGCCATATGTCATACGGCTGCATGACTTCAGATGAGTTGGTTTACCTCACAGGGTCTCAGTTTTCTCATCTATAACATGCAGACACCTCAAAGAATATTATGAGAAGTAAATAAATTAATACATATTAAATGGTCAGAACAGTAAAAATAATAAAATGATTAGAATAGTGACTGATACAGATGTCAAGCAGAGGCTGCTGCTGTTATTGTTGTAATGATGACAATGATGGTGGTGCTGGTGATGCCACCACCTGTCACATCACAGAATCCAGGATCTTATGTCCCAAGCCCCATTGTCTCAAGGAACACAGAAGTTTGGGGAGTATCTGGAACAGGAAAGAACAAATATTTATAAGTGACTACTCTGTGGTAGGCACCGTGTTAGTTGTCTTCACATATGTACTCAAGTTTCCAATATCAACCATCTTCAGAGATTTCCAGCAATCCTTCCTCAGTTCCAGAGTTAGCTCTCGTGCCCACTCCCACACAGCTGTTCTACAATGTCACCTTTTTTCTGAAGAACCGCACTCCATCTCCTCCACCTGTGTTCTCAGCAAGTAGCTAAAGCAGTGGTTCTCAACCTTCTGGCCCTTTAAATACAGTTCCTCATTTTGTGACCCAACCATAAAATTATTTTCGTTGCTACTTCATAACTGTAATGTTGCTACTGTTATGAATCATAATGTAAATATCTGATATGCAGGATGGTCTTAGGTGACCCCTGTGAAAGGGTCATTTGAACGCCAAAGGGGTCGCGACCCACAGGTTGAAAACCGCTGAAGAGCAAAGAGTTAAGATGGCCTGAAATCAGAGAAGCTGGGTTCAAAACTCAGCTGAAACACTAGGAAACTGTGTCCCTATTTTCCCTTGAGGATAATGACGGTGCCTACCTCACAGGGCTGTAGGATTAAATGAAATAATATATTTAAACCCCAATAGTTATTAGCCACCTATATAATCTCACTTTCTATTGTGCAGCAATAATAGGAGCCATAAGACTAACTCCTTCCCCGCCCTGCTTCCCCGCCCACACACCTGCCCTTGTCTTCATTCATCCTTGCCCCGTCCTCTCACCTCAGTAGAAGACTCTCCAGGCCCAAGGCTGTGCCCTCCACTGAGTCTCTGGATCTTCTTTCCTCCTGCCTCCTGAGTGAGCTTAGTCGGTTTTTACCTCTCTACTGCTGATCTTCCCTTTCTATTAATTTCCCTCAGCCTGTAAGACTACATTCAATAAACATTCCTACCATGTGCCAGACATGTGAGTAAGTGTTGAGGGTAAAGATGAATCGAATGTGTCATAGTCTCTGCTCTCAGGATATTTGGCTCTAGTGGTCCATGTGCTCAAGCGCAGTGAAGCGCTCGAGCCTCTGGGGGCCTGTTTTCCTTCCTAGTGGTGTTTCTCCCTCCCCCCTTTGCAGCTTGGGTTCTCCAGGAAGCAGACCTATCTGGGTGCCTGACATTTCTTGAGACTCCCCCTGGTTCCTGTGACACTCCCACCTCCTGTCCAGCTTGTTTTTCTACTTTGCTAAGGACCTTCAGTTTCCTTTGCAGGCGTTTTGGTGGATCTGCCCTTCAAAAGGTGCTACTCCCAAAGGTTTTCGTCCTCAGCACTCGTCTCTCACTTTATACGAGTGGTGTTTAACCTTGGGGAGGGGGGTCCTGACCCCTTGTGAACCTGGTGAGAATGAGGGGTCCTCTCCGAAGCTGACTGCATACACCTAGTATTTCACATAGCCTTTCAGTGGGTCTGTGAACCCACTCTCCCACCATCTCCTAACAACTCTGGGTCCCAGGGGTTGGCCTTGGTTACTGGTCTAGCAGAGTGACCAATCCGTTCAGGCCTGGTTAATAGTGACTCTGCCCTGTCAAGATTGGCCGGAAACTAGGGTGGGTCTCAATCAGCTGAGGGCAGTCATCAGTGTACCTAAGCAATGAAGAGTGGAGACGGGGAGCCCCGGGGATGAGAGGCAGGACTGTGTTGCTGGGTGACAGAGAACTGCAATCCAGGCCTCTCACCCTGTGGGGAGTCATCGGATGATTTCTCTCCAGTTGTCCAAGCTGTAGACATGCCTTCAAGGAAGAAGGAATGTCCCCATGAGGACTTCAGGAAATAAAGGTTCTGCAGCAGAAGAGACTAAAGTTAGATTTATGGCTGAACTTCACTGATGGGCATGAGACATGCCAGGTGAGAGGAGGATGAACTTTTGGGGATGTGCAATAACAGAAGGGCTTACCTATCTTCTGTTTTGGTTACAGCAATTACCTGTGGACACCCAGGCAATCCGATCAATGGCCTCACTCAGGGCAACCAGTTTAACCTCAACGATGTGGTCAAGTTTGTCTGTAACCCTGGCTATGTGTCTGAGGGCGCTGCCGGGTCCCAGTGCCTGGCCAACGGGCAGTGGAGCGACACGCTGCCCACCTGCAGAAGTGAGTCACCCTGCTCCTCCCACTTGATAGGACACTGTCCCCAGGACCTCTGCCATGTGTGGTCCCCCAACCTGAGAGCAAAGCCCTTGGATTCAGTCCTGCCGTCATGTTGACTCGATAGGGAAGACTGGGGACAGAGAAGGGTCATAAATGGGACTTCCTCAACCCCTAGATGCATCTGTGGAAAATTTTACCATTGGCTACATAAAAAGAGCAAACAAAGTTTCACCTGTCAAAATAGCAGTCAAAAACAATCTTTTTAATTATTATTTCTTTTATTTCAGTGAGGAAGATAGAGGGAGAGAGAGAGAGAAACATCAATGATGAGAGAAAATCTTTGATCAGCTGCCTCCTGCATGCCCCACACTGGGGAATCGAGCCCACAACCCGGGCATGTACCCTAACCAGGAATTAAACTGTGACCTCCTGGTTCATAGGTTGACGCTGAACCACTGAGCCATACTGGCCAATCAAAAATTATCTTTTTGTTTACATTTTATAAACCAATAATTCATCACACAGAGCCCCATTTTTGATGACAGAAAAAAAGCAGAAGGGTTTGAATGGAAAATAAAAAGCAAATAGTCTATGGTTTGGGTTGAAGCAGGGAGGGGAGAGAAGGGACAGATTCTGCATAGAGGATATTTGGGCCCCACCTGGGAAATAGCTCCTAATGCTCAGAAAGCTGTTCGCAGCGGTAAAGGGCAAGTGGAGCTATCTGCCTCTTACCAAGAGGGGCCGGGTCGGCTCAGTGACATTTAAGTGGAGTCAGAGTGAGCCGGACACGAGAGAGCCCAGCCTGACCTGGAGTGGACCATTCTTCACAGGGAGGAGGCTGAGACTCCCTGGACGCCGGCTCCTCCTCACAGCATTTGGGGTGCATGCCGATTGGCTGTGCAATGTGACGGCTCATTTGTAACTGATATTAAAGGGCCAAAGTTTTCAAATGATTTTTTACAACATAAGATACATTCATAACTAGTCCTAAAATAACATCCTTCTCTTAACGTTTCAAGGTGCTGTTTTGAACGAGTGAAGGTTACAGAGAACAAGACCTTGTTCTGTGCCTTCCTTCTGTCATTTGTTCAGGCAGGAAACGTTGAGAACTGCTGCTTTGGGGTGTTATCCCATGTTCCCTTCTCCTCAAGGACTGTGCTTCATCCCCCCAACACAAGATGCAAATTCTCCTGGACCTGCAGCTACACCTACCCCCTACTCACTCCCCACCCCCGACTGGTCCTGAAATCAGAGGGCAGGGATAAAACCCTTAGGAGCCTGGCCTCCAGTCCTGCTCCCCACCAGTCATTCACCAGCCTGACAGAGCAACCTGTCTAAAATGCAAATCCGATCAAGTCACCTCCTGTTTAAAACCCCTTCCCAGACTTCCCACTGCCTTTAGGAGAAAGTACTCTCCTCCATTGGCTTATGGGCCTGAGGGCCTGGCCCAGCCTCCTGCCCAGCCCCATCCTTCCTCACTTCATCTGCCCACAGCCTCGCTTCTGTATTGGGCTTCAGCCTCTTCCATTCCTTCCGCGTGCCCAGTGCCCACACACCCGCAGGGCACTTCCAGACAGTCTCCTCAAATGAAGTCTCTTCTCCATCGCCCTCACCACCCCCTCTCTGTCCAGATGACTTGTGCCCAGTCACCAAGAGCCAGTTGAAATGTCCCTTCTCCTGGGAAGCCATCCCCACTCCACCCCCTGCTCTGATGCTCTGCTCTATGCTTCCAGAACATTCTCTGCTGCCCCTATCAGAGCACTTGTCAAACAGGATAATCACTTATTTCTTCTCTCTAAACCAGCAGTTTTCAACTGGGGATGATTTTACCCGTCCTCCTGCCCCAACAGGGGACAGATGTCTGGAGACCTTTTAGGTTGTCACACTGGAGGGTTTCTATTGGCATCTGGTGGATAGAGGCCAGGGATGCTGTTAAACATCCTAGACCAGACCACCCCACGATGAAGAATTATCAGCCCAACATGTCCACAGCCCAACATGTCCACAGTGCCTAGGTGGAGAAACGCTACTTGAGACTGTGAAATCTGTGGTATCCTTACTGCCCAGAACAATGCTTGGGATTCACAATGCTTGAGAGTGAATAAATGCCACTTATTTGTTTTGTGATGCCAACCTCTCTGAACCTCAGAGAGGTTCATCAAGTACCTTAAAAGCTTATCACAGATTTAAAACACCTGCCCTGATGCCTCTGCGATTCAGGCAAGATAATGGTAGCAAAAGTGTTTTGAAAGCAAAAGTACACAACATGCGTTATGAATGATACTGTCATTATTCTAAAATTGCCCTCTGATTCTGAGTTAAGCTGCTTTGGAAACCCTTTAACATTTAAAAGTCAATTTTTCCCCCCAGATATTAATCTCTCCCTGGAATACTCCTAAAAGTGATTAAAACAGTTCCCCAAAGAGCCCAGCATGCTCGGGTTTTACAGTTGATGAGCTTTGCTGCGGGAGACACACTGGCTGGGACCCGGCACACAGATGGGGCAGCCACGCCCTCGAGGGCCCTCCCTGCACGGGAGCACGGAGGAGGGAGAGGTTAACCAGTTTGAGAGGGGGAGGGGAGGCTTCTCCAAGGAGGTGCTGTCATGAGAGAATGAGTCCCTTAACCGCGTGATCAAGGGGCGAGCAGTCCCAGCCTCCGGACCGCTCACCCTCACCCTCCCAGGCAGGATCTGCTTTGTGTTGATCTAGAAATTTTGCTACACTGGGATTCTGTGCCTGTTGGGCTTCTGAATTCTCATTTAAAAGCATATGAACAATTGGTCTGTGTCTAATTATCCCGTTCCATTGCAGTCATTAACTGTACAGATCCTGGGCACCAAGAAAACAGCGTCCGTCAAGTCCATGCCAGCGGCCCGCACAGGTTCAGCTACGGCACCACAGTGTCTTACCAATGCAACCACGGCTTCTACCTCCTGGGCACCCCGGCGCTCAGCTGCCAGGGAGATGGCACATGGGACCGTCCCCGCCCGCAGTGTCTCTGTAAGTAGATGTCATTACTCCAAATGATCACCTGTGCAGTCATAGGATAGGTCATGTCATAGAGCTGGGCTCCCGTGTGTGTGTGTGTGTGTGCATGTGTACACGCATGTGTGCATGTGTACATTACTTCACAATGACTGTCGCTGACTGCCCCTTGGATGGCAGAGCCCTGCTTGGCCCCGGTTGGGTTAGTGGCCACACCACCTCGCATGCTCTTTCTTCCTGGCTGTGGGCCTTCGCAGCACTGCCACCCCCTCTTCAGCCTTCAGGGTCTTCTTCCTCTAGAATTGCCTGCCTGACAGGACACTGTCTCCCACTTTCCCCTTTCTTGCTTTTCCAGAAAGACAACACAGTCCTTCCTTTGAATGCCACAACACTTCAGGCAGACCGACCTGGATGTGAATGAATAACTAGCTTCTTTTGGAAGATTTAATCCATTTGCATTTTTTAGTGAAATATAATTCACATACCATAAAATTCATTCTTTCAAAGTCTATCATTGAGTGATTTTAACATATTCACAAAATTGTACAATCATCACCACTCTCTAATTCTAGGGCATTTTCATTAGACCAGAAGGAAACCCTTTAGCAGTCACTTCCCATTTTCCACCACTACCCTACCCACTGGGAATCATCGGTCTACTTTCTGTCTGTGCATTTGCCTATGCTGGACATTTTATGTAGATGGAATTACATATGTGGCCTTCTGGACTGGCTTCTTTTACTTAGCATACGGTTTTCCAAGTTCATTCATGTTGTAGCATTTATCCATACTTCATTCCTTTTTATGGCCAAATACTATTCCATCGTATAGACATACCACGTTTGTTTACCCATTCCTCAGTTGATAGACATTTGAGCTGTTTCCACTTTCTGGCTGTTATGAATAAAGCTGCTAAGAACATGTATGTACAGGTCTTTGTGCAAACACATGTTGCCAGTTCTCTTAGATAGACTAGTATACCTAGGAGTGGAATTGCTGGGCCATATGGTAACTTTATTTTGAATGTTTTGAAGATAACCATTTTTCCAAAGTGTCTGCACCATTTTACATGGTTGCCAGCGGTGTATGAGAGTTCCAATTTCTCCACATTCTTACTTATGCATTGTTCATCTTTTTCATTATAGCCATTCTCATTGTGGTTTTTATTTCCATTTCCCTAATGACACGATGTTGAGCATCTTCATGTGTGCCATTAGTTTAGTATCTCTTCTTGAGAGAAATGTCTGTTCAAGTTCTTAGCCCATTTTTTAATTGAGTTGTTTGTCTTCACATTGTTGAGTTTTAACAGTTCTTTATATATTCTGGACACTATACTCATACCAGATACATGACTTGCAAACATTTTCTCCCATTTTGTGGATTATCTTTTCACTTTCTGGATAAATGCCCTTTACTCTTTCTCTTGTTGCTTGTGCTTTTGGTGGAATGTTTAAGAAACCATTGCCTAATCCAGCAATTTTCAACCTTTTTCATCTCATGGCACACATCAACTAATTACTAAAATTCTGTGACACACCCAAATATATATTTTATATTTTGCCAATCTGATCAAATAAATAGGTAAATTTTGATTCATTCACACTGACGGTTGTTTTGTTGGTGGTGTCTTTTTCTTTTTCACTTGACAATCTAAGGGAAGGAAAAGAGGCCAGTGCCCCTGACTAAACAGTCATTGCATGTTTTAAAAATTCTTGCAGCACACCGGTTGAAAATTACTGGCTTAGTCCAGTGTCACCAAGATCATCTCATCTGTGACTAAGCATGGTTTCACTTATTCCTTTCCAAACTGAATGCTTGTTACTTCTTTTTGTTTCCTAATAGCCTGGCTAGAACTTCCAGTACGATGTTGAATAGATGTGGCAAGAACAGACATTTTTGTCATGTCCCTGGTCGCAGGGGGAAAGCTTTCAGTCTTTAGCCATTAAGTATGCTATTAGCCATGGGGGTTTTATAGATTCCCTTGATCAGATTGAGGACGTTCCCTTCCATTCCTAGCCTGTTAAACATTTTTATCACAAAGGGTGTTGGATGATTGTCAAATTACTTTTCTGAATCTATTGGGATGATCATGTGGGTTTTTCCCCCCTCATTTCATTAATGTGGTGTATTACACTGATTGATTTTCATATGTTGAACCACTCTTGTGTTCCTGGAACAAATCACACTTAGTCATGGTGTATAATGTTTTTATTATGCTGCTGAATTTGGTTTGCTAGTATTTTACTGAGGATTTTTACAACTATGTTCATAAAGGGTATTGGTCTGTAGTTTTCCTTCCTATCGATGTCTTTGTCTGGCTTTGGTATCAGGGTAATACAGTCCTCATAGAATGAATTGGGAAGTGTCCTGATCTAGTTTTAGGAATAGTTTGAGAAAAATTGGTGTTATTTCTTCTTTAAAAATTTGCTAAAATTCAGCAGTGACGTCAGCTGGTCCTGGACTTTTCTTTGATAAAAGTTTTTGATTGTTCTATTTATTTGTTATAATGCTATTTAGATGTTCCATTTCTTCTTGAGCCAGTTTTGGTAGTTTGTGTGTTTCTAGGAATTTGTCCATTTTATCTTGGTTATCTAATTTGTTGACCTACAACTGTTCATGTTTATAGTATACTCCTATAATCCTTTTTATTTCTGTAAGGTTGGCTGGTAGTAATATAACCACTTTTATTCCTGATTTTAGTAATTTTAACTTACCTTGTCTCGCTCTTTCTCTCTCTCATCAAACTAGCTACACATTTGTCAATTTTGTTGATCTCTTAAAAAAAACCAACTTTTAGTTTTTTCTCTCTTCTCTTTCTATTTTCTATTTCACTTATCTCTTTATTGTTTCTTCTGTTTGCTTTGGGTTTACTTTGCTCCTCTTTTCTGAGTTTCTTAAAAAATAAGGTTAGGTTTGGGGTTTGAAATATTTTATTGTAGGTATTTACAGCTATAAATTTTCTTCTGAAAACTGCTTTCACTGCATCTCATAAGTTTTGGCATGTTACATTTTCATTTTTGTCCACCTCAAAGTATTTTCTAACTTGTCTTCTGATTTCTTCTTTAATCTATTAGTTATTTAAGTATCTGTTATTTACTTTCCATATATTTGTGAATTTTCCAAATTTCCTTCATTTTTTATTTCTAATTTTATTGCATTGTGGTTAGAGAATATATTTTGTATGATTTCAATCTTTTCAAATTTTATGGAGACTCATTTTACGGCCTAATATATTGTCTATTCTGGAGAATGTTCCATGTGTACTTGAGAAAAGTATATATTCTGCTGTTACTAAGTAGAGTGTTCTATAGGTCATTGTTACATCTAGTTGGCTTCTAGTGTTGTTCATTATATTTCCTTGTTGATCTGTTTGGATGTTCTATTTATAATTTAAAGTGGAGTGTTAAAATATCATACTGTAATTGTTGATTTGTCTATTTCTTCTTTCAATTTTGTTAGCTTTTTGCTTCATGTACTTGGCAGATCTGTTGTTAGGAGCATATATGTTTATAGTTGTTATATCTTCTTGGCGGATTGATCCTTTTATTCTTATAAAATGTCCTTCTGTCTAGTAACAATTTTGCTTTAAAGTTTATCTTGTCTGATATTAGAATAACCATTTAGCTCTTTTTTGGTTATTGTATGCATAGTATATATTTTCCATCTTTTTACTCTCGATCCATTTGTGTCTTTGAATCTAAGGTGTGTCTCTTACAGACAGTATATAGTTGGGTCTTGTTCTTTATTCATTTTTTCTGATATCTGGCTTTTATGTGTCTAATTCTCATTTAATGTAATCACTGATAAGAAAGCATGTGGAGACAGGGATCATGTGGAGAACAATCACCGATGCCTCAGCTGACAGCCAGAACCAAGCCATTGCACAAGGGAACCAGTTACCGTGCCTCCCGAGTGTGTCCTCTTAGGGTCAACCTCCCTGGTTTCAAGAACTAATTCTCTCATTGAATAGGTCTGTGACCTTGGGCAAGTGACTTTTCCGCACCATGCCTCATGTTCCTCCTCAGTAAGATGGAGATAAAAATGGTGCCTACCTCGTAGGGTTGTCTTAAGAAATAAATAATATAATGCTTAAAACTTACTCTGTCCATTACCTATTGCTGTGTAACAAGCCATCTCAAAACTTAGTGGCTTAAAATAGCAACTGCTTTTGTTTGCTCACAGTTAGGTCAGGAACTCAGGTAGGACTTTGCAGGTGTATTAGTTGGGTTTTACCAGAGAAACAGAACCCATAGCATAATACATAGAAAAGAAGGAATTGGCTCACACAATTACGGAGTCTTAGAAGTCCCAAGATCTGCAGTCAGCAAGCTGGAGACCCAGAAGAGCAGATGTCATAGTTTCAGTCTGCGTTCAAAAGCCTGAGAAGCAGGAGAGCCAACAGTGTAAATTCCAGTCCACGTCTGAGACCAAGGGCAGGAGAACACTGATGTCCCAGTGCGAAGGCAGAGAGAGAGAAGTCTCTCTTAATCAGCCTTCTTGTTCTGTTCTGGCCTTCAGGAGATTGGATGAGGCACACCCACACTGGAGAGAGCAATCTGCTTTATTCAGTCTACTTACTCAGATTTTAATCTCATTAAGAAATGCTCTCAGAATAACTCTTGAACAACTATCTGGGCATCCCAGTCAAATTGACAGCTGTCATCAGGGACAGGGTTAGGCTAACTCAGATTTTATCCCTTTGGTCACCTATTCTGGTCATCATCCCTGCCATGCCCTGTCCCCTTTCCAGATACAAGCCATGACTGCAAGTATCTCCTACCATACCCCAAGGTTTAATCCATCCAAGTCATTATCTTCTCTTCTTGAACTAGTGCAACACCTCCCTCATTCTTTCCCCACTCTAGAATGTTCTCCACATGTAGTCAGAATGTTCTTAAAATGTATATCAGGTCATATCACTCCAGTGGCATCCCTTCATGCTTATAATAAAATCCATATTCTAGGCCATCCTAGCAACCTCTCCACCCATGTCTTCTTCCCTTCTTTCCCCGCCCTGTCTATTCCAGCAGCCCTGGCTTTCTTGCTGGTCCTCAAACACACCAAGTTCATTCTGGCCTCTGGACCTTTACACCAGATGTTCCTTCCCTCAGGATGCTCTTCACCCAGACCTTGCATGGCTGGCCTCTTCACATCACTCAAATCACTGCTCAAATGTCACCTCCTCAGAGAGGTCTTCCCCGCCCACCCTGCTCAAAAACAGCATCCTCATCCCACCCCTGACCACCCTTTTCCAGGTGCAGCTTTATTTTCCTTCTTAGCACCTGCTTAGAATTGCCTATTTATGTTATTAGTTATAGTCTCTCTTCCCCACTAGAATATAAGCTCCACAAGAGCATGAACTTGATTCTCCCAAACACACAGAACAGCGCCTGGCACCCAGCAGGCACTCAGTAAATAGGTGCCGAGTACATGAAAGAGCCGGAGGTCCACCTGTGGCAAGAGCGATGGGAAGGCAAAGCACAGCGCCCCTGACAGCAGTGCCCTGCCTGAACCTGTGCACCTCAGCTCCGTCTCACCACTGGTTCTCACAGTCACACTTTGCTGTTTCAGGAAAGGGAACTTGCAGGCTTAAGGTGTCAAGTTGGGGACAATGGATGTGGGCAATTATAAGATGCAGTTAGGAAAGGAACCTGTGGCCAATGCAGACAATCCCAGGATCCCGATTGCCCGTATTGTCTTACGTGTGCCATGTGCACCACCTTCCTGCCAGAGACATTAGGGTACGTCCTAGAGCAGCGAGGAAGAGTCAAGAGAGAATAGCAACAAATAGGATTGCATACCTGCCACATGTATTATCTCTTCAACTCTTAAAACACGGGCATTGCTCTTTATTTCACCGATATGGGAACTGTACAGCGAGATGGGTAGGCATTTCCTGATGATGTCAGCTGGGTGTGCCAGCAGGGAGTTTGCTTCGATTGATACCCAGGGTTTCTCTCCTCTCCGCCTGTCACTACCAAAAGCCTAGTGTGTGTCCTGTGATGACGCTGTCTCCCTGAGCAGAGTTGCTGACATGTTTGCTCTTCCCCACAGTGGTGTCCTGTGGCCATCCAGGCTCCCCACCCCATTCGCAGATGTCCGGGGACAACTATACCGTGGGGGCAGTCGTGCATTACAGTTGCACTGGCAAACGGACTCTGGTGGGAAACGCCACCCGCGTGTGTGGGCTAGATGGACACTGGACAGGCTCCCTGCCACACTGCTCAGGTATGGGGCCCAAAGGAATACTTGGCTAATGGGAGAGGGACAAGCTCCCCAAGTGTGAGTGTGATAGAAGAACGGGAGGAAAGCAGAGCTTTTGAGCCCTCCTCTCATCCCCACCAGGCAGAGGGCACAGCTATGAGAGGTCCCAGCTGGGCCTCAGCCTGTGGTGGTCTGAGTCCAGCTTCATCCTTCGTCAGCTCCGGCCAAGTTCATACAGCCCAGCGACTGCAAACTAGGGAGGACATAGCTGTTCTTATAGTTTGAGATTCTAAGATGATCCTGTCTCCCACTTCTAAAATATTGAACCAGATATTAGGAGAAATTCTCAAAGCACTAGCCACTGTTTCAAAGGGCTATTGGCTGCTCAGGCCAATCCCAGACACACCACTCTATTTCCACCAGGACTTTGGCCCCTCACCTCTACAAGACGCGTTAATCACCCAGTTCATGAACTGGGCAGGACAAGTTATGAGCCTTGGGGACTCCTTTAACCTGAACTAGAAGAAAGCCAATTATCTTGGGTTCCTTTCTAACTTCATTCTGTTTTGACTTCTGGTGGAAGTGACTTGGGGAGGATGGCCTGGGGAAGACAACAGCCAAGTATACTGAGGCTTCCTGAGTTGTCCACAGAGCAAGTTCCAGGAGGAAGAGACATTCGAAAGAGGAAAGGCACACATTTCCAAAGTCTTCTCACCCAAACTCTAATTTTCATTTGGAGCTGTCTTAGTAGAGGTTGGAAAATGACCTACTGGAAATATTACAGAAACAGTTCTTATCTGAAGTAGAAAACTAAGCTGGAAAAATCTTTAAAACTTTTCAACCCTGAGATTTTCTAATTTTGTGACTTTTCAAGAACTGGTCCTGCATGTGGAAGAAGGGACTCTTCCTTAGCCACATCAAGGTTGATAGGGGAGACTTAGAAACAAGCTTGACACCTTAGGAGCATGAAATAGTAAAGCAAGAAACATGCCTTCAGTGGACATGGACCCCACTCACTAGGGGATGTACTACATTCAGCTGTTTAGTCCTGATCCTGAATGTTCTGAGGCACAGTTAGCATCTCATTTCTCCTGAGTATCCATCAAGGATGACAGACACTTGGGAGACCAGAATCATGGGCAGAGTTTTCCTGGAGACCTCCAAGGACAGGACTAGACAGGATTCTATAAATGTTGAGGCTGAGGAATGAATGCCTTAGATTTAAAAAAAAAAAAAAAAGAGGTTAGCCCTAACCAGTTTGGCTCAGTGGATAGAGTGTCGGCCTGCAGACTAAAGGGTCCCACGTTCGATTCCAGTCAAGGGCATGTACCTTGGTTGTGTACTCGATCCCTATAGGGGGTGTGCGGGAGGCAACTGATGAATGTTGCTTTCTCATCGGTGTTTCTAACTCTCTATTTCTCTCCCTTCCTCTCTAAAAAATCAATAAAAATATATTTTTTTAAAAAGAAAGAAAATTATTTTTAAAAAAAACAAGAGATGCGAAGAATAGGAGATTAGGATGCAATGCAAGGTGTGCACCAGTGAGTAGAATATAATTTCTCCCTTCCTGAAACTTACAAATGTCATCTTTTGCAACATCATCTACTGCCAGGCCAAAGAAACCCACATTCAAGAGTTCCAGGGTCAAATTTTTGAACCTCATTTTGTACAGTCAGTGCACCCAGATGACGTATAACAAAATGTCCTGAACCCTTGAGACAAGTCCCTAGGCCATCAAGGACATGCAGAGATTCCCAGCATTGCAGACATACTTTGGGAAGTTCATTGCTCACCTCTTGCTGATATGCCTTTTTAGTAAAAGAGTCAGCTGTTGCCATCTGCTCCCATGATACAATATCTGTCCCAGACGCCCTTATATCATTGACGTGGAAGCTCCAAACACTGCCGTGGGGCCATTCTGTCAGATAAGCCCCCAGGACTGGAGAGCTCCACCCTCAGGCCTATTGCACAATAGCGCTGGCTCCAGCAGAGGTCAGCTAGGCAGTGTGGGAGTTAGAGTCCTCACCATCAGGGCTGCCTTCCAGGGGACCCAGTACTGCCTCTTCCAAAACTTCAAAAGATAAGAAAACCTGGTCAAATGTGATGGGCCCTCTTTCTTCAAATGTTTGGCTTAAAGATTGAATGACTCCCCCTCCCTTGGAAGATGCATGAGAGAGAGACTTGAAAAGGAAGGGACGTTAGTTAGGAGGCTCTTGCGATCGTTCAGGCAAGAGAATGCTGAGCATCTGAACTAAGATGGTGGCACTGGGAACAGGAAGGATACTCTGGAATCAGCAGTTATTGGTGGAAAAGAGGGAAAACAGAGAAGGAGGAGATGCAGCCAGCTTGGACCACTGGTATTCACACTGGTGCAGGCCAACGAACGAAGGCATGATCCACCAAAATTCTTCCCTCTGCCTTCTCTCTTCCTTGCCGGGTGGTCCCCAGGAATTCACCGGTGACCTCAAACCTTTCTATTCGTTGACCCCTGAGTAGTAAGGCAGGAGCCTGGTCAGGTAACTTGGGCTAGACACAGTCAATTTTCACCCCTTCGTGCAGGGGGCCCACTGCCCCCTCTAAACAGTGGCCCAACATCCTCCTCTCTCAGTCCTCCACTCCCTTCCTTCCATGCTAAAACAATGGTGCTTGTTTGGTTCTGGTCCTAGGCACCAGCATGGGGATTTGTGGTGACCCTGGGATCCCGGCACACGGCATCCGTTTGGGGGAGAGCTTTGCCCCTGGGAGTCTGATGCGCTTCAGCTGTGAGGCTGGCCATGTGCTCCGGGGATCGTCAGAGCGAACCTGCCAGGCCAACGGCTCGTGGAGCGGCACGCAGCCTGAGTGTGGAGGTAATGTATGTGACCATTCTCTCTTCCCCTTTGCCTGCCCTGTTTGCCCACCCCTAGCACCTGCTCTCACTCACAGATGAAACCATGGCCCCGTGTGAACCCTTGGCCTCCTGGAGAGTGGACATCAATAGATAGTTCAAGTGCATCCTCATTTGTAATCTAAAGACAAACATATTTTCCACACTTACCAAAGAAGGGAAGAAACAAGGATAAACTAAGTTTAGCCCATTTGTTCACTTATTTCCTATACTAGAAGCCCGGTGCACGAAATTCGTGCACTCGGGGTTGGGGGGAGAGGGTAGGGGGGTCCCTCAGCCCAGGCTGTGCCCTCTCGCAGTCCAGGAGCCTTCAGGGGATGTCTGACTGCCGCCGCCACCACTGCGCTCACCAGCCGTGAGCCCAGCTTCTGGCTGAGCAGCGCTCCCCCTGTGGGAGCACACTGACTACCAGTGGGCAGCTCCTGCATTGAGCGTCTGCCCCCTGGTGGTCAGTGCACATCATAACAACCAGTCGTTCTGCCATTTGGTCAATTTGCATATTAGCCTTTTATTATATAGGATAGTTTCATTCAACAACTATGTGTCAGATACTGTCATGTGTGCTAGGGACACAAGTGTGACAGTGACAGACACACATTGCCCTCTTGGAGCTTAAAGGGAGGAGACCGTGTTAAACAAGCATCCAAAATGCCCAAAGAACTAGAAATCCAATTTTTTTAAAACCTTTAAAAGTAATATAAACTCTTAATGTTATTCCCTGAGGTAGCCTGAGTGGGGCAGTAATGTTTTTGCACACACTCCTAAATTTCTGAAGAGACTCTGTCTTAAAACCTCTCTTCCCAGAGTCCAACTGTTTGTAGCTGCTCCCCAGTCCCTCTGTCTCTAAAATCCAGCCTGCATAGGAAGCAGTTTAACAGATGAAAGGGAGGCAGACTGAGGAGATGTTGGAAGAGAAAGGAGACGACGGGAAATCATCATCTCGCCTGGGAGGTGTGGGAATGGAATAGGGAAATATATAATTGCCAGGTAGCACCAGGGGCTCACTTAAGGTAGGAGGCCACTATTTAAAGTGAGAGTAGTCAGCATTGGTCCAGGTTTTTTTTCAACCACATATTGCTACACAGGGGCAGGCACAGGGCAGGTGAAGCATTAGGTGTAGGGTTGGGGTTTTATCGGCAACTAAGACATCAGCAGAAAGTGGTGAGGGAGGTGAGGGTATACACAAAGCAGTGATTATTATTGATCTTGAAATCTAAGGTGGGTAAGGAGAGGCTATTGTTTTTTTTTTTAATGGGAATAGGAAGCTGTAAAAAAAAAAAAGTGGTAAATCAATGGATTATGGATCCCAAAAGGACCAAGAAATGACCAGAGAATGAATCCCAGAGGCAGAGAGCTGAAGAGATAAGAGGCAGGGTTAGAGAGCAGCTGTTTGAACTTGAGGTTGTGGAGTGGTCCAGCAGAGCACAGGGAGGCGTTCTGGCCCAAGGTCAGAGGACACTTGCCCAGGAAATGAGATACATGGGAGTCAGTGCTACATGTCTGCCAAAGTCCCGCCTTTCTGGAGGGCAAAGTTAGCTTCTACAGGATTTTTTCAGACATAGTAAGAAAGGTTTGTGGTAGTCAGAGAGTCAAGGAGAGAATTTAGAATATTCTCAAATATTCACTGTGACTCAGGTCCCCTCTCGTGCCACTCAGACCCCAGGCTGGAGTTAGTCAACATGTCAGGAGTGTTCGAGGAGCAGAAAGTTAGTGGCTGAGAGTTTGGACCTGGAAGTGGGTGTTGAAAGAGTGTGCGTGTCTCTGTAACGTGCACACAGCTCCTTGTGACTTCCCTGACCAGCTTCCACTTATCCTCCAAGCCTCTACTCAAACCCTTATCTCCAGCCCTAATAAGACGCTCCCTTATGAGTGTTTTCTTTCCATCAAGTGTAACACTTATTACATCATATTTGATCCATCTGTGTATAGGTAGTTTCTTAAGATATCCTGAGCTCCGCAAGGCCAGAGGACATAACTTGGTCATCACTGAACTCCTGGGACCCGAGCCACACAAATACCAGCTAAATAAATTGCTGTTAGGGCCTATCAGTTGTGCTAATTATATAGGAATCATTTTGTAGATTTGACTTCAGGACCACATAAATGTTGTACATACTTACAAAATAAACTTAAATCAAAGATTAAAAACAAGTAATCTCTTATTGGGGGAATGAGGTCACATATGTAATACCTTAATCAATAAAGAAATTAAAGATTGAAAAAAAAACCAAGTAATCTCTAAATATCAAAATCAAAAATGGAAACTAATGAATTTATTACTTTCCCAGATCTGTCCACTATAAAAGCCTAGAATCAATGAGTGCCCTTAACACCAAGATTGTGGTTCCTAAATCCAATCTCCGTTAAACACAACCAGAGCTCTTTAGAGAAATGGCAGATTCCAGGACGGAGGCAGGAAATAGAAAGGTGAACTTGGAACATCTTGTCACTCCAGCAAGGAATCTACCAAAGACAAGTGGAGTCATGAAAAGGCTCCAACTAGTCTAAAATGGGATAATTTGAGCATCAATAAGAATAATAGTGGCAATGGATGGCGACATAGTAAAAAAGCTTAAGTCCTTGAGTTCCAGTGACTGTCAGTCACCTTTGAAGCTTGCTAGGGAACCAACTTCTTGTTCTGATGTCTGATTAAAAAAATAATCAAGCATTATCCAGCCTTCCTGTATGACTTGCATTTCAGGGTAAGCAAATATTTGGTGACGGGCATGTTCTTTATTAAAACAGTTTAGCGAATGCAGAAAGAATTACAGAATTAGAATATCACCATTTTCTATCCCCTAACAGCAAATCTAGTCTAGCAAGAGTCAATTACTGCTAAAACCACTAAGAGAGAAACTAATGAGAATTGTATCATGCCAGAACCCATTGATCAGCCTCAACATCAGGAACAAGGAAACAACCAGACATTCCGTGCCTCCTGATGGGATGCAAGGGAAAAGGCACCAACCCCCACGAAGTGCCCTGGTTTCTGTAACAGATAAGTCACAGGACAGGGAACAGCCATCTCTGGATTCCAAGAGTCTTAGAGACACAGCAACCAAATAGCCACAGGTGGGCTTTGTTTGGATCGTGATGCAAACAACTCAACTGTAAAAAAAGAGAGAGAGAATTAAGGAAAATTAAGCACCGATTGAATATTGGGAGATACTAAGGAATTGTTTCAATTTTTAAGTGTGATAATAAAACAGACATAGTCCTTACGTTTTAGAAATCATACAGGTCTCTCCTTCGCTTCTGAGGGTGAAGTGATCAGGCCTGACAGTAGCGTAAGAGGCATTTCCATCCGCAGGTCCTTAGGTAGCACCCAGTTCCCACTCGGGGCAGTTCTGGGTCCCCAGGGGTCGCCGGCCCCTGCTCTGGGGAATGATGTGCTCTTTTGGCCTCCTAGTGATCTCTTGTGGGAACCCCGGGACTCCAAGCAACGCCCGCGTCGTGTTCAGCGATGGCCTGGTTTTCTCCAGCTCCATCGTCTATGAGTGTCGGGAAGGTTATTACGCCACAGGTCTGCTCAGCCGGCACTGCTCGGTCAATGGCACCTGGACAGGCAGTGACCCAGAGTGCACAGGTGAGAACCAGGCCCATGGGCTCCATGGCAGACAGTGGCCGAGAGCAGTGGGCTCCTCTGTGTCCAAGACAAAGGCTGTCCGTGGGAGATTGGGAAGGCTCTCTGGCGTGATGGGACTCGCCCCTGAATGAATTCATACACATAATGTCTAGTTATTGAGGACACGTTATGTGACAGCACTGAGCTAAGTGCTTTCTTTTATAGGCAATGCCATTGGATGCTCACCCCATCCCCCCGCAGTAGCTACTATTTAGCCCCTTTAGTGAGATGACTGAGGCTCAGAGGTTGAGATACACCGATTTGCTGTTTCTCAGGCTCTGGCCAGTTCCTCAGGCTTTCTTTTTCTCCTGTAAGCAAACCCCCACTTTAACACTGCCACCACCCACCGTCTTTGTCGGTTCCTCTCTCCCTTGCACCCATCCCCACCCCTGGCTCTCAAGCCTCATGTAACCCCACTTCTCCCCTTTCTTGCTTCTCTCAAGGGCAGCTCCAAGCCCTTTTCCCTGGAAAGTGAGTCCCCGTGGGGCCCAGATGGAGGGAAGTGATAAGATAAGGGATCTGACTGCATTCTCCCTTTCCAAGTCCTAGTCATTGATGTCAGGCTCTATCTGAAATCCTATGTGAAGTTCATTTTTGTTCCACAGCCAGCGCTCACCAACCCCCAGCCTCACTTGATACCATAACATAGTTACAACCATTGCATAGGTTCTCGGGCCCCTGGGCCTACAGAGGCCTCCTAGGCAGAATACCAGGTGGTAAGATACACCCGCTGGCAGACAAATTGTCTGTGGGGTTCATTGACACATCTTAGGCTCTTCAACCTGGAGACCTTCCTCCCCATGAGTCCTAGCCTTATTTAGGATCTGAGCCCTCTGGGTACTTCCTCTTAGAGGAGTGAGCTTTGAATAAGAACGATGGTCATCATAGCCCAAGTTTCTGGGGTGCACAAGGGTATTGTGGCAAGAGGACTGGGGTGCAGGAGGACTCCTGCAGGGAACTGGGCAGTGCCCACCTGAGGACCTGGGAGGGGCCTGGTATTCCTTATATGACAGTTTCCTTCCTGGAAGTGTGTAGGGAGTGACAGGTGGTATTGGAATGCTGGGGTTGAGGGCTGGGGACGGAGTGAACAATGCTGTATCTCCCTGTCCTAGTCATAAAGTGTGGTGACCCTGGGGTTCCGGCCAATGGCCTGCGGCTGGGCAGTGACTTCAGGTACAACAAAACTGTGACATACCAGTGCGTCCCTGGCTACATGATGGAGTCGCATAGGGTGTCTTTGCTGAGCTGCACCAAGGACCGGACGTGGAATGGTACCAAGCCAATCTGCAAAGGTGCGTCTGAGGGCTGCAGGCATGGACAGAGGGCCAAAGAAGTGAGACGTGGGCCTTGGGCGTCTAGAAGGGAGGGTGATGAGGCAGAGCCCTGAGATCTTAACCAGGGGCCTGTGGGGTAAGGACTGGCCCCTGAACATCTGCAAGGAGGGAGTCAGAGGTACAGTGGGGCCTTGACTTACGAGTGTCCCGACTAACGAGTTTTTCGAGATACAAGCCATCTCTCGGCCGATTTTTTGCTTTGAGTTGCGAGCTAAAATTCAGGTTACGAGCCAGCTTCAGATACCCCACCACTAGTTGGCGCAGAGAACGCCACATCAGCCCAGCATCACGTGTCTCACTCGTTCAGCTTTTGATTTGGCATACGAGTAATTTGAGTTACGAGCTCCGTCACAGAATGAATTAAACTTGTAAGTCAAGGCCCCACTGTACCAAGGCGAGGCTTGGGCTTTGAGAGGAGTGGGTTGTCAGTCATCGAAAGGAGCAGAAAGACCAGAGCTCCCAAAGTGAGAGGGGCCATTCCTGACTCCTCCTGCTCAGCCCAGACGCCTGCCAGGTGCAGGGTGGCCAGTGACATCCATGCTGGTGACGGGCCTGGTTTCACCGGGACGGCACCAGAACTCAGCCTGCTGTGGTCTCCCCCCAGCCATCATGTGCAAGCCGCCTCCGCTCATCCCCAACGGGAAAGTGGTGGGGTCCGACTTCATGTGGGGCTCGAGCGTGACGTATGCCTGCCTGGAGGGGTACCAGCTCTCCCTGCCCGCGGTGCTCACCTGTGAGGGAAACGGATCCTGGACCGGAGAGCTGCCTCAGTGTTTCCGTAAGTTGCTCACAGGGCTCTGTAGTGCCTCCTGTCTGCCGGCTCCTTCCCCTTCCCTCTGAGCTCTGCTGCCAGAGTTCTAGACCAGATACCCCACCCCAGACCAGGGAGGATGTTGTCAGACACTATTAAAGAAGGAAGGAAGTTTAAAGGAAGAAAATGAGAATAAATGGAGCCCTAGCTACAGACTTTGTGTGGTCACAGTGGTAAGAAATTAAGCCATAGATGAGAGGAAGGTTTTTAACCCAAAAGGTTGTTCGCTGGCTCGGGTAGTAGCCAGCGATGGGGGGCCTGTCTTCATGGCAAATACCAGCACAGAAGGGCTCCTGGGACTCGTGATTTCCCAGTGACCATTTATTTCTACCCACCTGGCCCAGCCAGTCCCAGAGACACCACGTCCCCCTCAGGGCTCATTTCTTACCGAGTCCCCTGGAGAAACAGGGTCCGGGTCACTTATTCTGTCAGAGCCCGAGAATTGGTTCTGGATATTTTCCTCGGTGCCTGTGCTTTGGACAAAGAATAGGACCTATTCTTCCTGTCCACTTGGCATTGGTCTAAGGCTGCAAAAACCTTCAAACCTCACGACCCTGCTTGGGTACCCCTGAGAGTTTGCTTCCATTTGAGAAATGTCAGCAGAGACAAGGGCCAGCAGCTCAGACGTGGACCCAGGAAAGGCAGCACTTGGTGCGTGGTTAACCCCCAGACCTTCGTGTGCCATCAGGTGACATTAGGAATGAACACAGCAAGTCTCAGGGCAGAGTCTAGACTAGAAACAGTGCTTTTCTTCTTGAGAAATAGCTGCATTGCTTTTTAGCAGTGAATTACAGTTATTGTCCCCCAAAAAAAGTGTGTGTGATATCTGAAAAGACAAAGAAGAACGTAACAGTCACCTGAACTATCAATTCCCAAAGGCAGCCACGCTGGTGTCTCCACGCCTATCACTCTGCATTTTTGCGTGTATAGCATATGGATATGATTTTCTATGAACGTTACTGAATCGTGCTGTGCATACTAGCTCATGACTTGTATGCATTGATAAGCCAACAACACCTTTTTCTATCACTAGATACCGACCTACACATCATCATTTTTAATGGTTTAAAGGATTTCCTTGTTGTGGATGCCACAACTTGTCTGATCTCCTTCTGGTGACGAACGTGGGTTTCTCTAATTTAATCCTGTTAGAAACAGTTCTGCAAGAAATAGCCCTGAAAATAGCATTTCCTTACCCTCGTGGTGAAGTCCTAGGAGTGAGCCTGGGTCAGCAGACACGCACTCTGTATGTCTGGACACATGATGCCAAACTGTCTTCTGGAAAGAGCGTCCCAATTTGCACCCCCTCCAGCAGTTTGTGAGAATATTTCTTGACTCCTTCCCTCATTAACAATGGATTTTCCCATTTTTTATATTTACTAGGCTGAGGACTTTAAAAAGGTACCTCCTTATTTTAATTGGTATCACATTGCTTATTAGCAAGACCGAGTTTCTCTTTCTTTGTCATCCATTAGTATTTCTTATCTTTTGTGCTGCCTTTTTCTAGATACAGTGACTTCTGATCAACCTAACCTTTGACTGACTTCTGATTGGTCAGGTCTAGACCCCCAGTTTCCACAGCACAAACTTCTGATTTATTTGCATATTATTATTATGAGCCTCGTGACTCTGTGTACACACACACACACACACACACACACACACACACAGTCACATCATAGCCTAAAGAATGTTCTTCATGCTTGAAGTGATGTCTTGGGAACCGAAGGTAGTCAGTTTTTAATGATACTCTGAAGATCTGAATGAATGAGCATATTCCATGCACTACTCTCTCCATGCACTGCCCACCGCAGTGTAAATACACACCCTTTGGAATGACAGTTGTCCATACTATACATCGAGAGCCATGAACACACTTAAACCTTTAAAGATAAGTCCACTCCTAGAGAATCTCCTTCAAGAAAATAATACAAGTAAAAGGAAGGCCAGATGTAACTATAATAATAGAAAGTGCCTAATATATAGGTTATGGCAAACTATAATTATGATACAACCTCTCATTGCAGAACTATGTAGCAAATAAATGACAAAGATGCATAAACCTGGGAAATGTTCACAGAATATTAAGTGACTAAAACAAGGTTAACAACATTTGGACGTTGGGTTTGCAGCCACACACAAGTAAACAAAGACCAGAAGGGGATGAGCGTGAAAATGGGGGAGGAGCAAGGGGAGAACAATGGGTAGGGGGCTGAGAGTTCATTTTTTCTCGAATTCTAAACTTCCTGTAGTGTTTCTCTGTTACTTGGATGGTTATTGATGAGCACTTTGAATATGGGAAGGAGAGGAAACAGCAGCAGGGGGGTGGGGACCATGGGATCGCATACTGGGTTCTGGAAAGCATCTTGGACCTGTCTTTCTCCCTTGTGCTCCCAGCTGTGTTCTGCGGAGATCCTGGGGTCCCGGCCCGGGGGAGGAGAGAGGACCGCGGCTTCTCCTACCGGTCGTCCGTCTCCTTCTCCTGCCAGCCCCCTCTGGTGCTGGTGGGCTCACCACGGAGGTTCTGCCAGTCAGATGGGACGTGGAGCGGCACCCAGCCCAGCTGCATAGGTGAGAGGTGGTCTGGGGCACTGTCCCAGTTGTGGGCACCCCTCTTTGGGGCCCAAGATGATGGCTTTCCTTCCCGGTGCTCAGGGGTCTCACCTGCGAAGGGGGGCAAGTCCTCCTCCGAGCTTCTTGGAGCAGGATGTGAAATGGGCAGAGTTAATGTGCTACAGGGCATGGTGGTGTCAGCCAGGGGTCTGTCTCGGGTGGGAACATCGAGAGGCGGGAACATCGGGACGTGGCTCCGTTTTCTTCTCTGCATCTGTTTCTCAGAGTGAGCCGAGGCAAGGCAAGCTTCTGTGACCGTGTGCTCTCTTTGTTTTGCGATCCAGACCCGACGCTGACCACGTGTGCAGACCCCGGCATGCCGCAGTTTGGGATACAGAACAGTTCCCAGGGCTACCAGGTAATGGGGTCAGCCAAGATCAGCCCTCGGGCCTCCTGCCCCTTCCTGTCACTGTCGGCCTCGGAGGGCCCGGGACCTTGCTTGGAAGAGCACTAGTGGGGGACGAGACCTTGGGAGCTGGAGGAGAAAAGAACTCTGCCTGTGGGAGCTGAGCTGCACGGGACCCTCGTCCCTCTGGCACATGTTACCAAGAAACGGGGAAAACTGTGGTACAGTCATGGCTTCTTAGACAGCCGTGACAATGAATGAACTGCAGCCCACCCAGTGTGGATTCACCTTAGCAGCACAACGTGAAATGACAAAGGTGGTATGGTACTATTTCTCTCAAGATTAACACCAAGAAACACGCCCATTGCTTAGAGATATAGGTACACGTATATGATAGAATTATTCTTTAACAAAGCAAGGAAATTAAAAACACAGAATTCCAGGTGGTGGTTACCACTGAGAGGGAGCTGAGGAAGGGGGCAGGGAAGGGACACCCTCGTCTGTAATGTTCTAGCTCCTAGTAGTGCGCTCAATCTAAAGTGTTCATTTTATTGTAACTCACGTCTACATGGGCTCCATATATTTTTCCTATGCGTCAAATATCACATAATAATTTTTGAAGAGAGAAAGTTATAGGTCAGGTCATGTAGGGCTTTGAGGCCAGGGTAGCATTTTGGAATTTATTCTAAATCCCAGGTGACACCATTGGAAGGTGACTCGATCTGATCCACCACCTGGCTGCTGATGAGAGAACGAATAAAAGGGGCTTAAGAATAGAGGCCAGCTCTGGCCGCTGTGGCTCAGCTGGTTGAGCATGGTTCCAAGCTCGATTCCAGCTCAGGGCGCACACTCAGATTTTGGATTCATCCCTGGGTCTTACAGAAGGCAACCAATTGATGTTTCTCTATTACATCAATGTTTCTCTCTTTCTCTTTCTCCCTCTCCCTTCCTCTCTCTATTAAAAAAAAAAAAGTTAATTTAAAAATAAAAAGAATAGAGGCTAGACAAGTAGGACACTATTGCCGCAGCTCAGGAGGAGGGTGGGATGGGCAAGTGTAGTGACAGTGGACGTGGAGAGAAGTGAAGGGGTTAGAATGTATTTTTTAGGTAGAACCAAGAGGAGTTGTTGATGGATTGGACCAAGGATTGAAGGAAAGAGAGGAATCAAGAATGACGTGAAGTTTTTGATTTGCACGACTGGGTGTACAAAGGTGCCATTTGCTGAATGAGATGGTGAAATACCAACAGACAAAGAGGTTGACATGGAAGAAGGGGATGGAAATTAAGAGTTTCACTCAATGTTAGAATAGGCTCCTATACGTCATAGAAACACACGTGTGTCTTGCGCTGGGAAGTAGTGCAATCGAGTTGCGTTTTAGGAAGCTGATGGGCAGCGTCATGCCGCATGGATTGGACGGGGAGAGCTGGAGCTGGTGGATGTGGAGGTTGAGTCAGATGGTGAGGAACACGTGGAGGGTGAGCGTGGGGAAAATACTGGAGTGAGGGAGGGAGGGCGGCTCTCTGCTCAGCAGAGATTTACAAAGCACAGTGTCAGATTCTCTGAGGGACATGTCTATAAGAAAGACAAGTCTCCCATCTTGAAGGAACTTACCATTTCATAGAAGAAAGAGACAGTTTCTTCACATTTTATAAAATGCTTCCAGATCCACCATCGCATTCGTGTCGCAGCCTTCCGGCGCAGTGGTGACAGGGCTGGCCTGCCCCCCTCCACACTTAGGGAGACTGCAGTGTAGAGAGTTTCTTGCAGCTGTCACTCAGTAGAAGCCCAAATCGGCTTCTGCTCAGATCGGGCTCCTCCAATTCTGAGTCCGGCCCTGCCCACACAGCGGAGTGGGGGTGCCCCATAAGAGCATTGATGAGGGTGTTGGGCGAGCCCATGTGGAAGAGGAATAACATAAGCGGCCTCAAAGGACAGATGCGGTCTCACTGGCCGGAGAAGTGGAAGAAGGGGGCTGCGGGCAGGGGCGACGGCCGGAGGAGGAGCTGGGTCACAGGAGAGTGAGTGACCGAGTGGCGGGTGTGAAGCGTGGCTGCATGGAAGGTGATCGTAGTACCTTCTGTCCTCGCCCCAGGTGGGAAGCACCGTGCTCTTCCGCTGTCAGAAAGGTTACCTGCTCCAGGGCTCCACCACCAGGACCTGCCTCCCCAACCTCACCTGGAGCGGAAGCCCGCCCGACTGTGTCCGTGAGTGCCGACGCCCCCACCTCCCAACACAGCCCGCCTTGGCGACACATTGTCTCCCCCGAGCTGGGCAGCCAGGGCGCTGGGGTGCTCTGAATGACAGGGAGCGCACACTGCTCCCTGGCACCATGACGGTCTCTTTGTCATCATCTCTCCCTGGGGACTCACAGAAAACACTGCACACAAAAGCCTTTCTGATCTCTGAAGGCAATGCCTAGGCCTTAGCAAAATAAAAGAAAGAACTTTCCGGGGACAGCAAAAACTAGTAACCACCACAGCCAGCCCTCAGATGGAAGATTCTAGGCTTTTACCTTAGTTACTCCTCTTCCCTCTGGATAAGTGCTGCAGGCTGTGGTTCCCCAGGGCTGATAGGCCAGCATCTACCTGGTGCCCATCATGTCCAGTCCTGTAGACCCAGGGCTGGGAGGTGGGGGAAGGCGTGGGAGGGGATGCTGGACAGGAGAGGGGCCTGAAGGGCACAGGCGGGGATGTTCCTTCTGGGAACGGGAATGGTCGCAGGCCCTCCGCTCCCAGGTCCAGCAGTGTCTCTCTTCTGGTCCAGCCCACCACTGCAAGCAGCCAGAGACGCCAACCCACGCCAACGTCGGGGCCCTGGACTTGCCCTCCATGGGCTACACACTCATCTACACCTGCCAGGAGGGCTTCTCCCTCAAGGGTGGCTCCGAGCACCGCACCTGCAAAGCAGATGGCAGCTGGACAGGCAAACCACCCATCTGCCTGGGTGAGTGGGCCCACTGGTGAACCCCTCCAGGGTGGGAGGTGGAAGGTGGCTGAGCCTGAGTGAAAGGAGGGCAAAGGAGAAGGAGGAAGGAGGATTTCCAGGAGCTGGGCTCTGCCTCTGACTTTCTGAGGCACTGAGTCCCTAGGAGCTGAAACCAGGGCAGCCTAGAGAGGCACAGAGTGAATACTTCTGTCTGTGCTTAAATACTAGTACACTCCTAGGATTACTAGTATCGTTAGTCACCAGACAGAGAAAATCTCTTTGTTTCACCAAACCAGAATACGGCATTATGCATGTAACCTGGATAAAACAGCACCCACCCACAGATCCCTCGGGGTTACCAGGAGGTCACAGACCTCCCTCTCCCTGAATGTATTCATTCTCTATTTGCTGAGCATTGTCACTGTGCATAACTGCTGAGAATTTGGAGGTGAAAGACAGAAACCCTGCCCTAAAGGAGCTCACATTTAGCCACAGAAAACAGACACATCAGATCTAACAGTACCTTCAGGAACATAGAGATGGGCTGAATGTGGGATGCAGTGGATGGTGACTAATTCAGTCTAAGAGTGAGAGGGAGAAGTCAGAGAAGGCTGACCTGGAGAGAAGGTGGTCTGGGAGTCCATCAAGGATGCCCGGGTGGCATGGCTCAGTGGTTAAGCATCAATCTATGAGCCAGGAGATCACGGTTCGATTCCTGGTCAGGGCACATGCCCACTTTGCGGGCTCAATCCCCGTTGAGAGGCATCCAGGAGGCAGTCAATTGATGATTCTCTCTCATCATCGATGTTTCTATCTCTTTCTCCCTCTCCTTCCCTCTTTGAAATCAATAAAAACATATTTTCAAAAGAGTCCAGCGAGAATAAACAGTCAGTTTGGTGCTGGAATGGCATGAAACTTTCTTACAGGCGATGAACTTGCCATATGGCAGACATTATACTAAGTACTTTGGGTGTGCTACCTCATTTATCCTCCTCAATCATCCTATGAGGCAGGTTCTACTCATAACCCCATTTAATATATGAAGAAACTGAGGCACAGAGAGGCTGAGTAACATGCCTGAGGTCACCAGCTGGTAAAGGGAAAGAGCTGAGATTCAAGCCCTGAAGGTCTGAGTTCAGATTCTGAGCTCTAAGTACTTGGTTGTTCTGCCTCTCAGAGAGCGAGGACTCAAGGTCAAAGCCTTTATCAGAGCTAGCATTTCATAACCACCTTGTTTTTTTACCATATACATTGTTATAAATTTCCTTTATTTATGGAAAGTAATATTTTTCCACATATGATATTAATACAAGATTTCATTTTTAGAGTACACTTATTTAAACTTTTCATGTGGTAAAATATACGTAATATAAAATTTACCATTTTAACTACTATTAAGTGTACAATTCAGTGGCATTAAGTACATTTGCAATATTGTACAACCATCACCACTATCCATTTCCAGAATTTTTCATTATCCCAAACAGAACTCCATTAAACAATAATTTTTCATTTCCTTGAAGCCCCTAATAACCTCTGTGACACTTTCTAGCTCTACGAATTTGCCTGTTCTAGGTGCCTCATGTTAGTGGGATCATCTAATAGCTGTTGTTTTGTGTCTGTGTTATTTCACTTAGCATAATGTTTTCCAGGATTATCCATGATATAGCATGTGTCAGAGTGTCATTGCTTTTTAGCCTAAATAATATTCCTTCAATGAATATTCCTTCAGTGGATATACCACATTTTGTGTTTTATCTATTTATCCACTAATGGACACTTGGGTTGTTTTCACTTTTGGGCTGTTATGAATAACTAGAGGCCCGGTGCATGAAATTCGTGCACGGTGGGGAGGGCTGTCCCCTCAGCCCAGCCTGCCCCCTCTCCAATCTGGGACCCCTTGGGGGGTGTCCGACTGCCGGTTTAGGCCTGATCCCTAGGATCCCTCTCACAATCCTGGACCGCTCGCTCCTAATTGCTCACCTGCCTGCCTGCCTTGTCACCCCTAACTGCCCCCCCCCCAACCAGGCTGATCGCCCTTCACTGCCTCTGCATGCCAGCCTGATCGCCCCTTACTGCCCCTCCCCCCGCTGGCCTGTTCGCCCCACTCAGCCTGCTTGTTCAGTCGTTTGGTTGTCCCTCACTAACCCCCCTGCCAACCTGGTCATAGGCAGCCCTCTTGTGAGGGTGTGAGGGTTAATTTGCATATTTCCTCTTTATTATATAGGATACTATGAACATAAATGTATATCTTTTATACGGACATATGTTTTTCATTCTCTTGGGTGTACATCTAGGAGTAAAATGACAGCTCTGTGTTGAACATTTTGAGAACCTATCAAGCAGCTCTGCAAAGTGCCTGTGCCATTTTATGTTCCCACCAGCAATGTGTCAAGGTTCCAATTTCTCTATCCTTGCCAACACGTTATTGTCCATTTTTTTATCACCATCCAAAGTGGGTGTAAAGTTGTATCTCACTGTGGTTTTGATATATACTTCCCTAATGGCTAATGATATAAGCATCTTTTCATGTGCTTATTGACCATTTGTATAACTTCTTTGGAGAAATGCCTAATCAAATCCTTTGTCCGTTTTTTAATTGGGCTATTTGTCTTTTTATTATTGAGTTGTAAGAGTTTCTTTAATCCCTTGATTTCTTTTCTCCCAAGCTTTATTGAGGTATAATTGACAAATAAAACTGTAATATATTTGAAGTTTACAACATGATAGTTTGATATATGTATACATTGTGAAAGGATTTCTACCATCAATTTAACACATCCACCACCTCACTTTTTGGTTGTTTTTTTTTTTTTTAATATATTTTATTGATTTTTTACAGAGAGGAAGAGAGAGAGATAGAGAGTTAGAAACATCGATGAGAGAGAAACATCGATCAGCTGCCTCCTGCACATCCCCCACTGGGGAAGTGCCCACAGCCCAGGCACATGCCCTTGATCGGAATCGAACCAGGGACCTTTCAGTCCGCAGGCCGACGCTCTATCCACTGAGCCAAACCGGTTTTGGCTTTGGTTGTTTTTTATAAGTTTGAATCTCTTAGCAAATTTTAATTATACAGTGTAGTATTACTATCAACTATCATTACCATGTTATACATTACATCCTCACACCTTATTCATCTTATAATTGAAAGTTCGTAGCCTTTTGCTAACCTCTTCCTATATCACCCTGGCCCCCAGTCCCTGGCAACCACCCTTCTACTCTTCGTTTCTATGACTTTGACTTTTTTTTTTTTTAGATTCCACATGTAAGTTGTACCATATAGTATTTGTTTGTCTTTCTCTCTCTTATTTCACTTAGCATAATGTCTTCCAGATTCTTCCATGCTGTTGCAAATGTCAGGATTTCCTTCTTTTTTAAGTCTGAATAATATTCCATCGCCCAAATACATATACCATATTTTCTCTATCCATTCATCCATTGGCAGACACTTAGATTGTTTCCATACCTTGGATATTGTGAATACTGCTGCAGTGAATGGGAGTACAGTTGTCCCTTCAAGGATTTCATTTCCTTCAGATATATACCCAGAGATGGGATTGCTGGATCACAAGTTAGTTCTATTTTTAATTTCTTGAGGAACCTCCACTCTGTTTTCCATAGTGGCTGTATCAGTTTACATTCCCATCAACAGTGTACAAGGGCCCCCTTTTCTCCACATCCTCACCAGCATTTGTTATCTCATTTTCTTTGATAATAGACATCCTAACAGATGTGAGGTTATATGTCACTAAGGTTTTGACTTATATTACCTTAATAATGAGTGATGTTGAGGAACTTTTCAAGTACCTGTTGGCCATTTGTGTGTCTTCTTTCTAAAGTGTCTATTTGGATCCTTTGTTCATTTTTTAACTGGCTTTTTTGTGGGGGGTTTTATATTGAGTTGTATGAATTCCTTGAATAATTTGTATATTCACCCTATGTTAGACATGTGGTTTGCAAATATTGTCTCCCATTCCATTGGTTGCCTTTTCATTTTGTTGATGGTTTCCTTTACTGTGTGGAAACTTTTTAGTTTATGTAGTTCCACTTGTTTATTTTACTTTTGTTACCTTTGCTTTTGGTGTCAAATCCAAAAAACCAATACCAAGACCAATGTCAAGAAGCTTACCCCCTATGTTTGCTTCTAGGAGTTTTATGGTTGCAGGTTTCACCTTCAAGCCTAATCCATTTTTATTTGCTATTTGTGTGTGTTGTAAAATAGGGGTGCAATTTTACTCTTTGCATGTGTTTCCCAACACGATTTATTAGAAACTGTGCTTTTTTCCATTGCATATTTTGGCCCTTTGATTGAAAATTAATTCCCTGGGTTTATTTCTGGGCTTTGTATTCTGTTCTATTGGTCTATTTGTCTGTTTTTATGCCAATACCATACTGTTTTGATTACAACAGCTTTGTGATATAGTTTGAAATCAGGAAGTATGGTTCCTTCAGCTTTGTTTTTTCCCCAAATTGCTTTGGCTATGTGGGGTCTTCTGTGGTTCCATACAAATTTTAGAATTGTTCTATTCCTGTGAATATTGAGTCGCTGTGGAAAATTTCTCTGCAGCTTTCTGTGTACCTAAACATAAGCTGGCACCCAGAATTGGAAGGGGTGTGCTATAAAGTCCTGTGGCCTCCCTGAGGAGACAGTAGGGCAAGTCTGTCCTTACTTGGTGACAAGGCAGATTTTTCGCTGCAAAATAAGGAAAGACATTAACATTTACTGACCATGACGTTCATGTTCACAACCTCATTTGTCCAGCATAGAGCTGTGAGGTGTGTGCTAGCAGGAGGAGACGAAGACTCTGAGTGGTGAAATAACTAGTCAGTCACACACTCATTACGTAGCACTGCTGGAATCTGAACCTCGCTGTGTCTCAGGCCCTAAGCTCGTGCCTTGCCTGTGCTGGGAGGGCTTCTGGGTCTTCATATCACCGCCCCACGGGAGGAAGGCGCTCCACTGAAACCCCTTCGGGGCGAGGAAGTTTACTTTTAGTCAGTGGAAGGTCCTCCTTCGAGCTGGGCATCTGGGAAGGAAGCAGAACCCAGCTCAGGGCTTCTCAACCCCAGGTCCTTGATGGGGCATTCGGGGGAACTGTGCGGTGGGTAGAAGATAGACATCCTTCCCTCTTGCTGAAGCGTAGCATTTCCTTTCATCAGAATGTAGACAAAGCCCAGAGTCGTGTTAGCAATTCTAATGGCATTGTCACCAGCAGGAATCGCAGATTTTCATAGATTGCAGTTGTTACTCAGATCATGAAATACTGTTTATGTTCCTGACTACTTCAAGATGATGATAGTTACTAGACTTGCTGGTAGATCCTGTTATTTAATATGGTAATAAGGAGTTATATGTAATGATATCCAAATTCCTTGTGTAATATGACTGTGATTGATATGGTGGAAAATGTGTAACTCTTTACATTTCATCCTCTGAGAGGCATCGCCTTCCAAGCAGCCCCCCTCCAGTCTAAAAGGGTAAGGCCAAAGCAAGATCTCAAAGCAGCCACTGACCTGATGCCAGAGAGGCGGCCATGTTTTCCAACAGAATGTAGACCAGGGGCTGATCCTGTCTCCTCCCATTCTCCTTCGCCAGCAGAGGTCCGGCCCAGCGGGAGACCCATCAACCCTGCCCGGGAGCCGCCGCTCACCCAGGCCTCAGGTGTGTACGGGCCTGATCTCAAGACGCATGTTGGTGCCTTCACCGAGTCACCCAGAAACAAGCACATGAGTTTCTGAGCACCCAGTGGAAACTGTCTGTAGATTCAAACTGCTTTCCCCTCCCACCTCCCAACCCAGGCAGACTTCAGGAGGAAGTGAGCCTGCAGGGAGCAAAAGTCTCATCCAGAAGAAGGGTCCAAGGTTTTCCAAAAACACGTCCAGAGCTTCGAGCTCTGGAGCTGTTGATTACCACACCCGCTCCCGGCACAGCACCAGCCAGTGTGTGGTCCTAGCCCAGTGATGGCGAGCCTATGACACGCGTGTCAGAGGTGACACGCGAACTCATTTTTTTGGTTGATTTTTCTTTGTTAAATGGCATTTAAATATATAAAATAAATATCAAAAATATAAGTCTTGGTTTTACTATGGTTGCAAATATCAAAAAATTTCTATATGTGACACAGCACCAGAGTTAAGTTAGGGTTTTTCAAAATGCTGACACGCTGAGCTCAAAAGGTTCGCCATCACTGCCCTAGACACAGACGCAGGTCCTGCCCGGGAGCTTCCTGGGAGTGATTCTATTTTTAAGGGAGGTGTCTGTTCTTCCCAAGTGCGATGACCAGAACGGGACACAGAGCTACAGGCCTGCTGCCTGACCAGTGCACAGTTATTATGCACCATCATATGCTTTTTGGAACCCGGCAGTGATATTAGTTAGTACGTGCATTGTACAGGAAACAAGACTCAATCCAAATTCCATTCTGGGCACTGACCATCTGTGAATGGGCTGCACTTCTTGAGCTTCAGTGTATCTTTCGGTAGAACAGGGATTATAACACGTGCCGTAGAGAATTATTACAGGATAAATAACAGTTTTAATAGCTATCGTTCATCGGGTGCTTTATGTGCCTGACGTCCTGTGATGTACAGTTTGCAACATTAGATCCCTGGACCCCAAAACAATAACTCTGATGAGGCAGGTGGGGTGGCCCCCACTCCCAGAACTGCAGGTGTGGCCTGCAGGTGAGGGAGCTGAGGCCCTTACACTGGCCAAACAACAGGTAGTTTACAGCCAAGATGAGAATCCAGATCTGCCCGCCTCCGTCAGCCTGAGCCCTGTCGCTCTCGACACCGCTACATTTCTCTTCTCCCTTCCTCCATCTTTTCAGCCTTCTCCCTTCTTCTCTTTTCTCCTTCCTCTTTCTCTCTCTTCTTTCTAGTCCCCTCGCTCCCTTTCTTGTTTTCTCCTTTTTTCTTATCCACCTTCTCTCGCTTGCCCTCCATCCATTCACCCTGAGAGCCAAGAGGATCACAAGAGGTCCGAGCACTCCACCACCCTCCCCGGGGTGAGAGGTTGGGAAAACAATCTCATAACTGAACGGGGGTCCGTCATCAGGGGGGTCTCAAGTCTGCCAGCACACATCAGAGTCCCTCTCATGTCTCTTTCTCAATTCCTCTAGTTCCTGGGGATGTTTTTGCCAAGAATTCCCTCTGGAAAGGGGCCTATGAGTACCAGGGGAAGAAGCAGCCAGCCATGCTCAGGGTGACTGGCTTCCAGGTTGTCAGCAGCAAGGTCAATGCCACCATGATTGACCACAGCGGCGTGGAGTTGCACTTGGCCGGTGAGAAGTAGCCCCCCCGCTCCACCCCCCCACCCTCTGTGCAAGCCAGAGCTGCTAAGGGCAGGCGGGCACATGCCCTTTGCTAGGATGAATCTGCTGTCATTACATTGTACTGTCCTGGGAGGCTCAGACCTGTCTGGTGGGCAGGGGGAAGAGGAAGTGTCTATTCATCTTTGTTTACATGATAAAAACACCAGGGACAAAGGTGACAAACATCAATAACTTGAACATAGGAAGGACCCTGAGAAATAAAGAGAAAAAAGACTCTTATCCCTAAAACGGAACCAGAAACGGGGGCTGAGAACCCAGGAGCCACAATATAGGCAGTCAGTAAACAAGAGAAGAGTATTTTTCATCAGTAATAAAAAAAAAATCAGAGTAAACACAAAATATCACATTCTACTCTTCCCGCTAAGATGTTTTTAAGTGATAAACTTTAGTGCTGGTCATGGTCCAGTAAAGGCACTGATCCAATGCTGTCCAACTTGAAAATAGCACAGTTCTAGAAAACAGGGTGGCATTTGTATCAAGAGCCTTGAAAATGAAGGGACCCACTCATTAAGAATCTTTATCATAAGAAGTGAAAATGGATGGAGTCAAACACTCATAAATAAAGGATGTTCGTATTACAGGCTATTCATAGTACATAAATGGAAATATTTAAAAAAGGGGGGCCATACTAATTATAGCATATCTACTGGGTAAAAGATGATGTCAGTTTTGGAAGAAATACACCCAGGATAATGCTTTTAAAATGGGACTCCAGTTTTTAAAAGAAAAAAATCCTATTTATAAGAAAGAAAATTGGAAGTAATTAAACCAAAATGTTGACAGTGGCTATTTCTTAGTAATGAGATTAAGAGTGATGTTTTTTCTTCATGTATCTCTGCATTTTCTAAAATTTCCCTAATTTTCAGTCCTTCTATAAATAGAAAAACTAAATATGTAGAAAAACTGGTTGTTGAATAGATGGATAGACAAATGAATGCATGAGTGAAGGGATGCACACATTAATACACAGTGTACGCTCACATCCACTCATGCACACACACGAACACAAGCGAACAATCACATTCACTCTTTAGCTCTAAGAGGGTCCTAAACACATTCATATGCTTTGGATACATCCCTCATTCATTCCTACACACACTGAATTGTAGGCACACCAACACATTAACTGATGCATTCACATATACAAAACCACATTCACTTTATTCTCACACATGCATGTATAAACAGCGTCCCAGCCACAGACCAGTAATCCATTGTTTATTAACACCCGTGCACATTCTTGCACAGACTCACAGCCTACACCAACTCCCCAGCAGCACCATACTTGCCTGCTTACAGTTAATAATTCGTGGAGTGTTTAGATCAACATCTGCATGTAGGATCCCATTCAGACGCTCATGCCCGCATACCCACAAACTTGAGTTTTGACATTTCCCTGGATCTCTCAAGTGTACCCTCTGAACTTGCTTTTCCCAGGAATTTACAAGAAAGAAGATTTCCATCTCCGACTCCAGGTTTACCAGATCACAGGGCCTGTAGAGATCTTTGTGAATAAGTTCAAAGATGATCACTGGGCTCTAGATGGGCATGTAAGTTGAGCAAATCTCACTCAGTCCTTGGACTCCCGGTACCCTTGGCCCATCCCATTCCCAGGTCACTGCCAGGGAAGAGGAGGTGAAGAGAGGGTGGAAACTCTTGCATCCACGTGGAAACTTGGGAGGAGGCTTTCCGTAGGGCCCGAACAGGGAGCAAAGGAGACCTCATTGGCTAGTGAAATGGGCAAAGGCAAAGATAAAAAGGGCCAGGAGGCTGGGAGTCCAGAGGGTCAGCACATCTGAGCGAGATGGAGTAGGTTCTGATGTTAGATCCAAAAGCAAGGAATTTGGAGGTCAGCGGTATACAGTGAATTCAAGCAAGTTGAAGGCCAGGGCGTGGTGGTGGGAGCTGGGAGAAGTTGGTGTCCCAGATGAGAACCTGGAACATCTACCCACATTTAAGGATGCAGATGGTAGGTGACTCAGCACAGCGGGGGAGTCCAAGACATAGGGGAGGTGCCAGAGGTGAGAGGACAGGGTTAGAGTTGGGAGATGAAGCCAGGAGTGCAGGCCAGAGGCTAGACAGGAATGGGGCTGTGGGGGGCCAGGGGCAGCTGGAGCAACTGCCTAGGATGGCAGCCAGCCATTGGCCCGCGTCTGTGTCACCCAGAGTGTGTTCAAGGGGACAGGAGAGGAGGTCAGCCTAGAGCACCACAGACAGAGGGCCCTGGGGAAGAGCATGCGTTGGAAGGTACACCAGTAGCACCAGCTCTGCCCTCCGACAAGTGTGTCTGTCTGTCTGTGCCAGTTACATGAGCCTCATGGAGGCAAGTGGCAGAGGGAACAAGGAGTTATGTCCCCAATTGCCCACCCCCCAAATATTATAGCTAATGGAACGGGGATGAACTCTCCAAAGTGTGTTAAGTCTGCTGGGTCCATTTTAATCTTGGTTCACTCTGTCCCGGGGTGCTGCTCTAAGTCAGCTTTTCATCACAGCAAGAACAGCTAACACTTAACTAGGGCCTGTTAAGTGTTGTAAGTGCTTCATCTATATTAACTCATTTAATCTTCACAGCCACCCTGAGACGTAGGTACTGTTATTATTCCTGTTTTATAAATGAGAAACTGAAGCCACAGATTAAATGACTTGGCCAGTGGAAAAGAGAAACGCCTCCCTGCCTCCTACAAGCAGTGTTGCCCCCGCCCCTCCCCCAGCACATCAGCCTGCTCCGCCCGGGCCTGGTTGTGCCGGTCGGGGTCACTGTCTGTGTCTGGGCGACATGTCTCTGAGTGTGTCCCTGGCCTGGCTTCCATCTCCTGCTGGCAGGCCTCCCTGCTTACGCTCTCTGCTCCCACCACACAGGTCTCCTCAGAGTCCTCCGGAGGCACCTTCATCTACCAAGGCTCCGTCAAGGGCCACGGCTTTGGGCAGTTCGGTTTTCAAAGACTTGGTAACTAGCATTTGTCCCCTGGGAGCATGAGCTCATGGGTGTGGAGGAGAAATGTGTGTATGGGGGTAGAGGACAGAGGATTGGTGACAACCAACAGACAGGAGTTCTCAACCCTTTCTGGATGAGTGACGCCTTTGAGGTGCTGATGGAAGTGGTGGAACACCTCTCCAGAAATAACCACGATACATCATGCACTCCCCTTTGCCAGTTTCATGCTCAGCTGTTGAGCTGAAGGCCCCCAACTTAAGGGCATTGGGTCTCAAATACAGGCCCCTGCAGTACCGTCTGGCCAGCCCTCGGGCATCACCCAGACATCCCTAAGCATTGAGCCGTGGGGTCCTGAGGGGTGCCTTCATCCGTGCTGTCCTTTCCTCCCCACGTGTCACAGAGGTTGGCATTGCAGACCTCGTCCGACAGATGAGAAAACGGAGTGTCAGCGAGGCTTCCCTCCCTTGCTCCCCTGTCATCTTTAGCCTGCATGCTCCACAGCATCAGTGCCCAGCATCCTCCCTCCAGACACTGGCTTTGACCCAGAGCCTCTGGCTGTGGCCTCGGGCTCATGGGGGGAGAGGTCCTGGTTTCTTGGGAGGCAGTCCCGGTGCTGTCTCCAGAGCCCCTGCCTGCCAAGGCAGTCAGTCCATCGCGTGTTGCCACAGCACTGGCCCTCAGAAAGCTTCCCCTTGTCTTCAGTGGAAATCGGCTTCCCTGTTCTGCCCACTCCACCCGGCTCCTCCTGAGAGCTCTTCTTAGCTCTGCCCCCCGTGAGCTGCACTCTGTTCCCTGCAGCAGCCCTTCAAATGCCTGACCCCTCAGCCTCAAACACGGAGAGACCTCAGGAAACCGAGTCCTGATTCTGGCTCCACAGCGGACTCCCTGTCTCCTCTCGGAGCCTCAGCCCCTCAGTCAGGTGGCAAGGGTGTCCCACTGCGCTCTTCTGAGCCCCCCAGTCTTGTGGGGGGAGGGGCAGGCAAAGGAGGGGAGACCTTCCAGAGACAGAAACTTCAGTGGCCCCAGAGCAGGTCCTCATGCATCCGTTTCATATTTTCACTTTCTTGTAAAGTTCCATGGCCCAAAGCTTCAAAACTTCTAAAGGGCTGCACCCTTTTAAGATTTTATTCTGCGACATAGTTTCAGATTCTCCCGCAGATTGGCTCCCCCAGGACCAAACGCTGTCCTCACATACGATCTGACCGACCCCCGTGGGCCCCTTCTCCCGGGAAGGTCTGGGTGTGTGTGGAAGGCAGCGAGGAGGAGGGACCTAGCCAACCGCAGCCGCACTTCCCAATGGTGACCGCTAGGGGCCGACTCCCAGGCTGTGACTCTGACCTAAGGTTTATGCTTTGGGACTTGCAGACCTCAGGCTGCTGGAGTCAGACCCGGAGTCTATCGGCCGCCACTTTGCTTCCAACAGCAGCTCGGTGGCCGCCGCAATCCTGGTGCCTTTCATCGCCCTCATCATTGCAGGCTTCGTGCTCTATCTCTACAAGCACAGGTACAGGGAAGGAAGGAGGCAGCCGGGCGGGAGGGCGACAAGACACGCCCGGCCCCAGCCCACCCAGAGCTTTCCTGACCTGTGACCTGAAACCTCCCTGCCCTCCCTCTGCCTCCCTCTCCCTCTGTCCGACTTTAGACCTGAGTCTGTCCTTTGCCTCATTCCCAGGAGAAGACCCAAAGTTCCGTTCAATGGCTATGCTGGCCACGAGAACACAAATGTCCGGGCCACCTTTGAGAACCCAATGTACGACCGCAACATCCAGCCCACAGACATCATGGCCACCGAGGCGGAGTTCACAGTCAGCACAGTGTGTACAGCGGTATAGCCCCCAGGCCTGCTGCGCCCCCTCTGCCCCCGAGAGCCCCGCCTCCAGCAGCCGGTGAGAGGGAGTGGGCGGGACCTGTGCGCGCATCCTTTAACATCCACCCTGAGCAAATACTTAACGAAGGAGGAGAAATGGTTCCAGGGGGATCATTTTAACATGCCAGAATCGTTCTAAGGTTTCATCTTTACTCTCCATCTTGACATTTTCCTACTCAGAACTCTTGCAACCAGAAAGCAAAAAATAAAAAGTGACATCTCTGACAACATAAATCAGGCCTTTCAGGAGATTGGTAATGACTGCACTTGGAGCTGCAGCATTATTGAACAGTATAGGACAAAAACAAGAATGGCCCATGACCTGCACACACCCCAGCCCCGCTCCACGTCTGGGGTTCCGCTGGGTCTCAGGTGCCTGGGTGCCATCTGGGCCATCGGGGGTGGCGGCTCCCAGGCTGGGCAGCAGCCTCCACCCACATCAGCGTGCCCAGCACAGGAACGGTGCTGCTTGGCTCAGGGACTGGGGGCATAAAACCACTGTGAACACATATACATTTAAAATGAATGATGGGGTCACAAATTCCAGTGATGCCTGACAAGAACAGTTTGAAGTTAAAATAAAAACCCCACACAGGGAAGTCACGGAGGCCGATGGGGTCGGTGAGGAGGGGCCAGGGGCAGGGCTGTGTTGACTTTCATGGACCCTTCCTTCACTCAAAACTACATACATGAAAAGTGATACTTTATAGCTCTTACAAAGATGAGTACCGTCTAAGCAGGAGTCGTTATGAATATTCATTATTATTATGTTCATTTTTCCTTCTGATTTTGAAAGTAAATTTAAAACGTTTCCCTGGCCCCTGAAAGCATGGTGGTCCCTAGGCCCTGGGTCCCCTGTGTGTATCGGACAGGTCGGCCCAGCCCGGAAAATAAATGTTCTCTGTGGGGAGGTAGGGTCCCGGCACCCCACCCTCGGTTAGGAAGACTAAAAATCAAAGATCAGGGTCAGGGCAACTAGTTGTCTTTCATTCTTTCCCCTTTTTCCTTCTTAGCTTTGCTCTTGCCTCCTTTTGCTCCCCGCCCCTCCCGCTCACTGCCTCTCTTGTCTGACAAACTCTGGTGTGATCTGTTTGTTCCCAGTTCTCCAGGGCACAGAAGTAGCTCCCTGAGCCCAGTGCCCAGTGCCCATCTTCGTCCGTCCCTCCGCCCGTGTCTGCTGCTGCTGGACCTGGGCCCTCGCCCAGCCGCCCTCTGCTCCCGCGCCCTGGAGAGGAGCCCGCTGTGCCCTGATGGGGGCAGTACAGGAAGAGGGGCTGCGAGAGGAAGGAAGCCTATGGACTGCCCATAGCAGAGCAGACACACCTCCTTCATTTGCGTCTATGGAGACCACAGAAGCTCAGAAATCAGAAATGGGTGTGAGGGATGCCCCATGCTCCCCACAAGCCCAGAGAAGAGGGGAAGAGGAGGAGGCACCAACAAGCATTGAAACCAACATGCGCTGCCCGGCTCTGACCGGGCCGTCAGAACCCAGTGACTGTGTCAGCGGATGCATCCGCGGTGCTCAGTCCCCAGAGCGGACACCAGCCCTGGACAAATGAGCGGTCCAGCTGCAGGACGACAGCAGGGATTACCCCAAGGGCAGAAAAACACCTTAAGAAACGGCTTGGAAATCAGCTTATTTTTTCCAACCTCAGTTTATTGCATTCTAATCCCAGTGAGTTAAACAGTCATCTGGGTTCCAGGCAGCGCTGGAAAGAAGGGTGAGGAATCTGGCCACAGCCCAAGGCCAAGTCTGGCTGTCAGTGGACAAAGAAGAGAAACAAGTGTGTGGCCCAGAGGGATGCCGTCTGCAGGCACCGGGAGGCGCTGGAAGGGACAGGAGAGCAAGCCTGCCCCAGTGGCCGAAAAGTCACACTGCAGTGTAGTAAGTGCCTGACGCTCAGGAGTCTCGGTTCTAGGCCTTCCACCCCCTAAAGTGTAAGAATTATGATCCCCATTTTATAGATGGGAAAACGGAAGCCCGGAATGGTGAAGAGATGGAAGCCACGTGAAGTGTGGAGTCAGGATGAAACCCAGATGGTTCTAACTCCAAAGTCCACTATACAGCGGCCAGAAACCCCTGTCCTGGAAGGACACAGACAGGGAGCAGTAGGTGAATGCGTGCAGCAGGACTGGCCAGAGCGGAGGGGCCAGGCAGGGGGCCTGTGTGTCCTCTCTGGGTTCTGTTCTCCCCACCTGGGCAGCAACAAGACAAGGACCCAGCCCCTGCCTCCGGGAGCTGGTGGCCCAGGGCCCTGCGCACCTTGCCACAGCAGACGGAGGAGCTGGGTGCCCGTGGATCGAGAGGATGGAGTGGATGACAGACACCCTGCAGCCCTTGCAGGGGAGTTTGATTTATTTTGAGTTTCTTTATGCTCTGGTCATTAATGAATTCTATAGAAGTATTGTTGGGAATCTAACGAATTTAGGAATCAAACTGTGACATTTAGAGCCACTGTCTCTGTCCTTGGGAAGGTCCCCATGGGCTTACACGCGTGTGCATATGTGACCTGCTGGCCTCAGAAGTCCGTATCACATTTTGAAATGACAAATAGAAACATACAAACGTGTTTGGTCCTTAAGCAAATTCTGGGTTGAAACAGTGAAAAGATCTGACTCACGTAAAGATTGGCTAAAGTGGGAAGTGAATTTCCGGCAGATGCCACTGGGACTGGCCACAGCAGGGGCCAGTGCTGCCCACACAGCATCCCTGGGCTTGGTGGGAAAGGACACACCCCACGCTCGTCTCTTTCCCTGGAAACAAATGCAGGAAGCTCTCTGGCTGCTCCCTTCCCCTTCTTACCCTCCTCTCAGACAACCAGTGGGCTCCTCCTCCAGCCCCGCCTCTGCCCCCCTTCTGTGTCCCCTTGTGAAGTCCTAGGAGGTGTCCCCGGAGCCCAGGCTGGTGAGGTACCCAGCACCCTGCTGTGCACTGCCCTTCCCACCTCTGGCATTTTCTCTCCACCTCCAGAGGCTTGGAAGGGACCAGGGCAGACAGGACCCTTCACCCACCATCCACATCACACACCCATCACCATCCCATGTGGGGGGAAAAAAGTAAAACAAAAACAAACAAAAAAATCTTTTGTACAGAGATATATTTTTATTATACAAAGTTTGTACAGTACCAAAAAAGAAAGAAAGAAAGGTGTAAATTTTTTTTCATTATTGTAGGTAAACGGTAGTGGAAGCCTTTTTTGTAAATGTAATAAAATGTATAAATATGGTTTTCAGAAAACATCAAGTGCTGTAAATATGTAATCTACACACCTTGGCTTGTCTGCAGTATATACATTTAATTTATCTGTCTCTGTATATGAGGCTTCCCCCTGGGGTCCTGCATTATGGTACTTTCCTGAATTTGAAAGCAATTTTAAATTTTTTGAATTCAAATAAAATATAAATTTTTGCATTTGTTTTCTTACATGTTTATGTCTTTTTTATGGGTAGGGACAAGTGTTTGTTGGGGAAGGAGAAGAAAGACATATTTGGTACTAAAAGCCAACTGTGGAAACGTAGAAATCTCTTTCTTAAACTGTTTTGTGTTACTTCCATGATGTGTTAGGAACTCTTAGCAAAAATGATAGTGGATACACCATACACAAGAATTAACTCAAAACAGATCCAATGCCTAAACATAAAACCTAAAACTATAAAAGAGAACATCGGGGGGAAGCTTCAAGACATTGGATTTCTCAGATATGACTCCAAAAGTACAAGCAAAAAAAAAAAAAAAACATAGATAAATTGGACGTCCTTAAAATGTAAAACTGTTCAATCAACAGAATGAAAAGGCAACCTATGGAATGGGAGGAAATATTTTGCAAATCATATCTGACAAGGGATTAATACCCAGTACTTTAAGAACTTCTACAACTCAACAACAACAAAAAAAAACACCCTATTTTATAAGTAGGCAAAGGACTTGAAGAGACACTTCTTCAAAAAAAATATACAAATGGCCAATAAGCACATGAAAAGATGTTCAACATCATTAATCATTAGGAAATGTAAGTCAAAAATCACAGTGAGATAACACCTGACACCCATTAAAATAGATATTATCAAAAAGTAAATAAATAAAATTAGTGTTGCTGAGAATGTAGAGAAATTGGAAACCTGTACTATTGATGGGAATGTAAAATGGCCTGGCCACTTTGGAAAATAGTATCAAGGGTCCTCAAAAAATTAAAATAACTGTACATATGATCCAACAATTCCTCTTCTGAGGATATCCCCAAAAGAATTGAAAGCAGGATCACAAAGAGATATTTGTAAAGAAACTGTAGCCACAGTGGTTATTGTTCGTGTTCACAGAGGAAGAATCATCGACAATAGAGGACTGGGCAAAGGAGCAGCAGTACATGCACAGTTTGCTGTGTTCCTAGCAACGTTGTTCTCAATAGTCAGAGGTGAAGCAGCCCAAATGTTAGCTGATGGATGGACAAAGAGCACGTGACAGACATAAATGGAATATTAGTCAGCCTTAAAGAGGAAGAAAAATCTGACCCAGGCTGCAACAGGGATGAGCTCTGAGAACAGTAAGTGAAATGAACCATTCACAACAAGACAAAAACTGTATGATCCCACTTATATGGGGTACTTAGAGTAGTCAAACTCATAGAGACAAAAAGTAAAAAGCTAATATGACAGGTCGGAAAACAAACACAGCCATTATATCATTTAATATAATTAGGTGTAATTCATCTAGTACAGAAAAAGGTTTTCAGGTTAGATCACAAAGTAAAACTCAACTCAGTGCTGTGACAGGAGGTATTCCTGAAACACAGTGATTCAAAACAGCTGAAAACAAGGGAACACGCCTACCTTCGGCATGGTTCAGAATATTGGCTATCAGCAGGGGAGGGGGAGGAAGGGGGAAGCTCTCACACCCACACTCTGGGGCCAGATATGGGCAATGCTGGAACTCCTACAGCCAACTGGACAGACCATTATCACATGGATGGCTTGGAGCTAAAGTAAAGAAACTTCATAGCTACAGTTGTGTTGTTCTTGTTAGTTTTCACAAAGGAAGCATCATCAACAATAGAGGAATGGGCAAAGGAACAGACGGTACATGCAAACAAGAAACCAGGGATCACCATGTTGGCATCAAGGCCAAATTCAGGCCCAACGCTGTTGAACAAGACTGAGAAGGACACTGTAAAACTAGAATAGTTAGGCGGCAGCTGCTAACTAGTCAACCAGGTGTGGGTGATGCTAGCCAGGACGAAGACGGGAGCAACGGAACGGCCATGCCATTTTACATCCCCACCAATGGAATGGATAGAGATGGGTAGATTCAAGATGTCTTTTAGAGATTTCTTTCACATGCCTAGGTGGTTGGACAGAGAGACAAAGGACAGAAGAGATTCAAGGGTGACTCTCAAAGCCTGAGCAACTGGACGGATGATGATACTCTTGACTGGGAGGAAAAAGAAGGGGAGGAGGGCTGGGTAACCAGCTCAGGGGGAACATCAATATGGACCTGCTGAGTCCCAGAGGAGACCCCAAACAGTTATGCAAATCTGGTGCTCAGAAGAGATTAGTGTCTGGATTCGTTCAATTGATTAGATGAAGGGGGGAAGGGTTTGAGGACAAATGTGGCTGAGATGGAGTGGCACAGGCACCCATGAGGTCAAAGACCATATGGCCCTCTTGTAGATGGCTGAGTCACCCAGGGTGCTGACAAGCATTGGGGTGCAAAGGAAGAAGCACCAAGGGAAGAAGTCTTCAGTGAATGCAGGTACATGTTCAGGAAGTGAGATTAGCATCAAAGGAGCTTTCAAATGTTCTCACAGTTAAGAGTGCAGGCCAACTCCCAGAGCTGGAATCTGGCTCCTTCCTCAAGCTTTCTGAGCCCTGTATCTATCAGGTCTCACACCTTGTCTTCAGACCTCAATCCCAAGATCCCAAGGATGTCCAGAGCTCGCCTGGTGACTCCTACTGCCTACCTGGGGACTAGGTGCCCCTGCCCATCATATTCCTCCCCCCTCCCCAACTCTGGCGGCAAGAGCACTCAGGGGTCTATTGACATGGGGGCCAACAGATAGCCAGCCCAGGCCCCCGGGCATGTCCCTCAGGCTGGGTTTTTCTCCCGTATCACATTCTCAGTTGGACTGGTCACAGCCAGCTCGATGGCTATCAAGAGTGATAAGAATTCTTGTTCCTGCCTGGGTTGGCTGGTCAGCTTTGACACTTGAGACGATGAACATGATTTTGTAAGTGACCTCTGGGCCCTGCTGTACATGTGGTCAAACCATGGCTAACAGAAAGCACATGATGAGGGGGAGTCCATGGCCTCTGTCCTGTCTCCAGGACGCAGGCCCTGGGGATCTGCTCAGTGGTGAAGCAATTGCTACAAACAAGTTACAGGAAAACGTGTAAACAAAGCCCCTGTTCTCCTTCAGGAAGACCATAACTTACTGCCTCCCCGATGTCATCTTTGCCCCACGATGTGCAGAACATGAGTGCATTCTAACCACTGCTGTAGTAGAACCTGCCCTGGAGATTCTGACTCCTATAGGAAGAAAGTTTCCAGTGGATTCTGATCAAAATCATGTCAAATTCTGATCTCTCTCTCTCCATCTCCCCTCCCCTAATTCATAATCAGAATCAAGGATAATAGAAGCTAAAAGGCAAAGTGTTACCCATACGCCATTCAACAAGGATAAAGAGTAAACAATTATTAGAAAACTTCAGCCTTGAGCTACAAAGCTTCTGAGTATTACCTGAAGGGAATGGGTGGAGCAAGGAGGGAAGAATGTCCCCCCCCCCTCCCCACTTTCTCAAGTACAAAGTGTATGGCCTCTGTTCCTGAACTGGGAGGCAAATGAGCAGAGCCAAGGAGGAGTTGGCCTGTTGGGAACACCTTCCTCCCCTTTATCCATAATTGGCCCTGTGCTATGTGCATCCCAGGTGACTCAGATCTCCCAGCACAGATGTATCAGCGTAGGCGCATGGAGAAGTCCAGCAGGTCAAAGAGCCCTGTCACAGGAAAAAAAGCAATGGCTCCTGGGCCATGTGCCTTCAGCCACATCTGAAGAATCAGAGAGAACAGGGGAAGGCAGAGGCGATTCAGCACAAGGGGACTGAGGCCTGGAGCCCCTCCTCCCTGACAGCCTGGGCCTCACTGGTTTGCCCTCCTCTTTACCTCCCGGCTTTTGGTGTAACCAGGGAGATGCCAGAGAATCCAAACATCCCCCCACCTGTGTGTGTGTGTGTGTGTGTGTGTGTGTGTGTGTACGCATGTGCAGTTTAATCAGTGTAATTTAATTATCAGGTCATTTTATCCCAAAATGGGTTTTTACAAGATTTAAGAAATGTACTTAATATCGTAGGAAAACAAGGGATAAGGAAGTGAAAACAAAGCCACATAAACCGAAGCCAGGAACTGATGCACAAATTGCAGCCCAAGAGAGCTGATGTGTGTTTAGAATCAGACCTTGAACCTCTGAGCCCTTGGTGGCCAAACCTGAACCCATTTTCATTCCATAGTCAGAAGCTAGCGTCCATCACAAATGTCCAGCTTCCCTGTGTTGTCTTCCCTCCAGGACCTGCCAGGCGGATGTAGTGTGACTGTCAGCCGGCTGGCCTTACCTCCGCCATCAATTTTCGGGAACCTCAGTAGAGTTGGGTCGGGGACGTCCTGTGTGGTCATGACCAGCCCTTTCCTCAGGTTCGGTCTGTAAGGCCTTCTCCTGCCCTGACCCCCACCAGGTGGAACCCGCAGGGAGGGCTTCAAAGCTGCTCACCTCCACCTCCAGGCACCACCGTGCCCCTCCTCCTGCTGGTCTCCGCTGCCTCTAAATACGCAGAAGTGACTCTGGTCTATGAATTCCCCAAATCACTGGAGCTTAGCCATCATGTCCTACGTGGAAGGAGGGAGAAGAGGCCTTTCCCCGTGTCACATGTCACCCGGCACCGAGTAGGGCTCCCTGAGCCCAGGGACTCTCAGGAGAGTTCTGTGACAACGGCCGTCAGCCCTTGCCCGAGGCTCCTCTCCTCCTGGGACTCAGATGAACCCAACCAGCCTCCGAGATGGACTTGTTTCTGACTCTCCCTTCCCGGGGCCCTCACCCTCTACGCAGCACAATTACAGGGTATTGTCCCCTAACGAAAATGTCGAAAACAACGTGACTTTAGGAGTGTTATGCAGCGGCAGACATGATCAGAATCATTTTCACATGCAAAAGGCATCGCTAACAGTGCCCTGATAAGAAAGGCTATGCCTGTGTGGACGCCTATTCTACTTGTACAAGTTTAGGCAAAATCTTCTGCTCTTGACTTAACCAGGTGGCTCTTAGAAGGAAGCAGCTCAGCCCTGAGAAATGGGAGAACGGACCGCACCTGAGAGGAGGGGCCGCTGGAGCTTGCTGCCTCTTCCTGCTCGCAGCACAGGATGGGGGTCCTGGGCGCAGGCCGCTTCTAGGGTTCCTGGCATGAGCCAGGTGAAAGGTGCACCAAAGGAGATGAGAGGCTGTGGCTCCGCTGCAGCGCGGGTGGTGGAAGGAATGGCGAGGTGAGGAGGAATGCACCTTTACCACTCCCCCCCCCTCGAGAATGTGCACTTGGAGGGAATTCCCAACTTGCCTAAAATCAGAGCAAGGGGGGAATGGTGGTGTGTGAGTGCTGATACTGATGTTGCGGGTGTAAAACCAGCTGGGAGCTGTCAAAGGCTGAAGTGGGAGCTCCAAGACCCAGCTTGAACCTCCCCTCTCCTGCACAGCCTTCCCTGACCTACCACTAAATGCAGCACGAACCCCCGAAGTGGACTGTGGCAGGGGCTTAAAGTAAGATTGGCATTTGCTACTGGGTGTGTTGGGGAGGGGGGGATGATAAGGGATGTGGAAAGGAAGAGTGGGATCAAAACTAAGGTAAGGGGACTGTCTCTGACTATAGATACCGACTCCGCCCCGGCAGCCGGATAACCACAGCCCAATTGGAAAATGCCCTTAGAAGGGATAAGTGTGGGTGCGGGACAGGGTCTGGGATGTGAGTGTAAGGCTCCCTGAGGCAGCGTGAGGGAATGTCTGTGAGTCCGAGTGTGTGTACATGCACGTGCTGAACGGGCGGCCGGAGTTGGCAACAGGTGGACATGGCAGCTGGAGGAGCCCAGGAGTCGCCCAAGTAGGGCTGGTCAGCAGGCGACTGGGCTCCTAAGAGGGGAGCCCAGGGCACGAGACAGATCTGGGAGTCATCAGCACGCACACCGAGGTAAAGACACACACGGAACGGAGAGAGCGGAGCGGCGGAGAAGCGGGGCTAGGACAGAGTCTGGATGAGGAACAAAGCCTCTGCCCGGCCACGAGGGAAAGGGCCCGGGAGCAACACCGGGATGAGTGAACAGGTGAGGAGGCCCAGCTTTCTGCAAGGTTTAGCTTAACGATTTACCCAAGGGGAACAAGGAGCAGGACTGACTCCCGGAGGAAAGGGAGCTGCTTCAACCCCCTTCCCTGGCCACAGCCGTCTCATCAACGTCACTTTGGCTACATGTGCTTCCCAATCTCAGCCCACCTCTCGCTCTCACCCGTCATTGTAAAGACAGAAATTCACATCTAGTGCTTTGGGAATCACTCATCCTTGCTCAGAGCCCAGCGCCAGTTATCAACATCCCCAAACCTTTCACCTTTAGATTCATAGAGAAATGTTAACAGGATGTGTGGTCTACAAAGTGCTTTGAGATCCTGGCCCGAGTTACTGCCCCAACATGAGGGGGGTTCTCCATGATGGTAGGAACACCTCAGGCTCTGGGCAGACAGGTCGGGCTGGATCCCGCCTCTGCCACTTTCAGCTATGACCCAAGCTAGTTACTTCAGTCTCCCAAGCCTCGCTTTTCTTTTCTGGGAAATGGGGAGAATATTAGTACCTATTTCCTGGGGCTGTTGTGAGGATTAAATGAGATCAAGTATATAAAGTGCTTAGCAGAGAGCCTGCCGAACAGCAAATGCTTGATAAATACCGACCGGCTATTTTTGCTATTATTAGCACTGACTTAGTAACATGAGTAATACGTAACTGTCGTTCCTCCTTTTTGCTGAGCTCATGGTGGCCTGTTCTCTCACCAGAGTCTCAAAATTCTCTGAGGATACGCCCCAACTAGAGACTGCCATGCAGGAGACTGACGTGTGCCGATGGGGGATGTGTACACACGGAGAGTGTGAAGGCACAGCGAGGTCTGGAATCCCTGCTCAGGACCAGCGATTGGCCTCTAATCCCCTATGCTTCCAGTTTGGCTCAAACACTGAGAAAGCCCTTAAATGACAGCAAATGTAAGGACAGCCTGAGGACTGAGTGGAGATGTTTTACAGGAGAAAAAAATCACAAATTTGGATCCTTAGCATTTGTAATTCGCTGCCAAATTACCTGGATTATATCAAGATAACTTCCCTGGGTATACACCAAGCTTAAAAACTGGGAATGTTTCTTTCTACCAAACATCTGATAATCTTGGGAGATTTAAATACACATTTCTCTTTTGTTGTGGGGGGAGTTGTCTTCTACAACGCTTTCCCTCCTACATGGGTTCTCCGGTGGGCACTGAAGTGGGAGCTATTGTTGAAGTCTTTGCCACACTCCAAGCACTTGTAGGGTTTTTCCCCAGTGTGGATTCTCTGGTGAATAATAAGACTGGAGCTCTGGTTAAAGCATTTCCCACACTCTCTGCACTTATAAGGCTTCTCTCCCGTGTGAATCCTCTGGTGAGTAATGAGATTAGAACGGTCACGGAAGAATTTTCCACACTCGAGGCATTTGTAGGGCTTCTCTCCTGTGTGCACTCTCTGATGTGTGATGAGCTTGGAGCGTTCACTGAAGCACTTCCCACAGTCCATGCACTTATATGGCTTCTCCCCAGTGTGGGTTCTCTGGTGGTTAGCCAAGGTGGAGCTCTTACTGAAGCTTTTCCCACATTCAGCACATTCATATGGTTTCTCTCCTGTATGGATTCTTTGGTGACTAATGAGGGCAGAGCTCTTGGAGAAGGTTCTTCCACACTCAGAACACCGATAAAGTTTCTCCCCTGAGTTGGTGCTGTACGGTCCAGGAGAATCTAAGTTCCTACTGGCACTTTGAGGTTGTTCAGGAGTTGTCTCCTCTGTCAAGTTCCACCAGTGAGCACTAAAGGAGGGCCTTTGGCCAAAGTTTTTCCCAGTCTCACTACAATAGTCAGGATTTCCTCCCAAGTGGATTCTCTGATGTTTCAGAAGGTTGGAGCTCTGGTTGAAGCTTTTCCAACATGCCCCACATTTATAGGGCTTTCCCCCTGTGTGAATTCTCTGGTGGGTGACGAGATTGGAGTGATCACTAAAGCTTTTCCCACATTCGAAGCATTTGTAGGGCTTCTCTCCAGTGTGAATTCTCTGGTGGGTATTGAGGTTGGAGCGGTCACTAAAGCTTTTCCCACATTTGAGGCATTTGTAGGGCTTCTCACCTGTGTGTGTCTGCTGGCGAGCGATGAAGTGGGAGGTCCGACTGAAGCTTTTCACATATGTGTCACACTTGTAGGGTTTCTCTGCAAGGTACAGGCCTTGATGGTCAATAAGTTTTTCTAAGTCTTCTTCAGAAGAACATTCTTCCCACCGTTCCTGCGGTGGATTTCCTGCCTGCTCTTCATCTTCATTTTCATGTTCACTGCCTTCCTCCCAATCGTGAGGGTGGCAAACAACTTCTGGAGGACATTTTGATAACACTCCAGGCAAATCCTCAAAAATATCCTGCTCTGAACTCTGGCCTTCATCCTCATGACTCATCTCAAAACCTGAAAAAATGGGAAGAAATGTGGTTTTTCATTCATTAGTTGGCATCTATTTACATATTTATATCCTGTGTCTAATGAATTTGGCTAACATGAAATTGATCAAGTTTTGGTGCATACATGCATTTGTGACCTGCAAAGCTGAGGGAAGGAGTCTGAGACCTGGTGACCCCACCAAGGGAGCCATGAGCCCCAACCAAACAGCCATCCAGTCTCCCTGGCCAATTCCTTTATTCCACTATTTGATAATGAACACCTTCTTCTAGTAAAATCAGTATGTCCTATGTCCTATGAGATTGAATAAACTCTATAAGTGCTCAACGAAATCGCAATAAAATCTAGACCTGACTGCTTATCTCATTTAGGGGATTACACTAAACTAGACATAATCTGAGCAAAGCACAAATCCTTCTACTCAATTCCATTGTTTTAATCCAGAAACAAGATAAGGAGCCAGGCTCCCTCACTCTATCTGCATGCTGGCAGATTTTGTGGGAATCCAACTATTCCATGCTTACCAGTGTGTGGGGTTTTAGGACATGGGGTTGGAGGTTTGATGACATTTTCATCTGCCATCTCATCCCAGGCCTCCTGGTCGTCAGCCTCTGTGCTGCTCCACCCAGACGTAGGAAGGCCTGCTACCTCTCTGATGTTCCCCATGGCTCTGACTGCAGTCCGCGCCCTCACCAGTGAGTCCAGCTCCTCATAAAAGGGGCATGTCCCTGGTGGGTGGCTGCTCTTGGCTTTCCGGTAGCTTCGAAGGAGGTTCTTAAATCTGTAGCGACACTGCTCCAGTGTCCGCAGGAAGCCCTGTGCACATAGCCGCTCTGCGATGGCCCGGTACACCTGACTGTTCTGGTGACAGGTGCGAAGCTTTTCAGAGAATGGGGACTCACTGAGAATGGTCAGGAAGGCCTTGGTCTCCTCGTAGCCCCAGTGCACACCTGCTGTCAGGAGTAAAGAGGTCAGAATTGTGAGATTTAATGAGACTTGCCTAGGTCATCAGGGATCAGGGTCACCTGCCCCTCAGAAATTGTCCAGGTACCTGGGCACCAACCATACCCTTGCCTCTCAGGGCTGTGCCAGAGCTTCCCACCCCAATCCCTTCTAAGAGATTTATTAACACCTACGAGCCTTGGCTATAGGGAAGGACTTAGGTGGCCATATTATACCAGGTGACCCTACCCCCTGGCTTCAGCTGATTGGTTCAGGGAAAGGTCTGCAATTGGGATACAAGAGACTCTCTTTGTATCAATTCAATACATGTCCTCTGCTTACTTTCATGAATTTTCCTTTTAACAAATATGGAAACTGAGAATCCTTAAAGACATGAATGGAGGTCAAATAATCTTGCATTAGAGGCCAACTGAGGTTGCTCTTTCCTCTTTAGTGGAAGAAGGAAAAGGAAGTGGTCTGTTCTCAGTTCCTCTGCAGGCACATGATGCAGCCAGGGAGGAACACCACATAAAAGGAGGCTGGAGTCCTGGGCTCTAACCCTGACTCTGCCCCTGCCTCACTTAGATCCTGAGATAGGACGCTTCATCTCTTAGGCTTCAGTGCTCCCACTTTTTTAAAAGTATGTTTTTATTGACTTTAGGGAGAGAGGAAGAGAGAGGGCTAGAGGGATAGAAACACTGATGAGAGAGAAACCACATCGATCGGCTGCCTCCTGCACGCCCCCTCCTAGGGATCAAGCCCGCAACCTGGGCATGTGCCCTGACTGGGAATGGAACCGGTGACCTCTTGGTTCATGGGTCAATGCTCAACCACTGAGCCACATCGGCTGGGCGTGTTCCCACTTTTACAGTGACTTGGCTATTTCCCAAACACTGATTACTCAACTATATACTGTCTTGATTTCTGCTCTATCTGTTAAATATTTCACTCAATATCTTTATCTAATTTTACTGTCTGTGAAACCATAGTTAATGTGTTCATACACATTAAAATTAAAAGTTTACTCGTGGAACTTATGATCATCCCCATACACACTTTGGGAAATACTGAATTTGCTCTTTAAAGTCCCTCAGGACTGTTTCTATAGCTAAAAACTTGCACAATGAGATCTGATCACAGGAGAGAGTAGGAGTCTGAGGATGACTGAAGGAACTTAGTGCCTCATTCCAGTAGCATCAATCCAGACTTCTGTGCCCTGAGCTTGGGGAGCAGAGGTTTGGCTAGTAGGAGGGTTGGATACTGGATCCAATTAAATGCCTGTGTTCTTACCAATACGACTCTGGAATAGAGCCGGACCCCTTGCAATCCTGGGCCCCTGGACGGACTCGCCAGTGGCCAGGTCATCACCATTACAGTCTTCTGCCGTTTCCTCTGGCTCCCAGTTCCCATCCTCTTGTTCCTCCATCTCTGCATCACTGTCCCCCAGCCTAGGGAGGGCCACAGCCACTCCTGGGCCGTCTGTGGCTCTGATGGCTGTCCGAGCCCTCACCAGGGCCTCCAGCTCCTCGTAGAAGGGACAGGTCCCCGGTGGGTGGCTGCTCTTGGCTTTCCGGTAGTTCCGTAAGAGGTTTTTGACCCTGTAGCGACACTGCTCCAGTGTCCGCAGGAAGCCTCGTGCCCTCAGCCGCTCTGCAATGGCCCGATACACCTGTCGGTTCTGGTGACAAGTCCGGAGCTTTTCAGAGAAAGGAGACTCACTCAAAATTGCCAGGAAGGTCTTGGTCTCTTCATAGCCCCAGTGCACGCCCGACACCTTCATGTCCTCCGCGTCCCATTGGTACTGTTCTTCCCAGGCCTGAGAGTCCCTCCAGACCAGGGCTGGGGCTGGTTTTATTTGCTCATTATCCAGGCTGTAATCTGCAGTGCGCCTTTTTCCGGAATTTATACGACTCGGACCCCAGAATTCTGGTCCTTGCTCTTGCTGGGTGATGATATTTGGTTTTGAAACTAGAACTCCTATATAAAAAGAAGAGAAATGACAAAAATTATTTACTGAGCAGAGTGCTTGTCCAACATATTTCCCTACGAGAGGCTAATGAGAACTTCCCAGGCTAAGCCCAACACATGTCTGGGGGGTTAGAGAGGGAAGTAGAGGTAGCAGGATCACTTCACCAGAAATGGTTATTGACCTGTTAGCTTTGTTCATTTGCTCTCTTTGTTGTAATGAAACAGATCATACAAAAAGTAACTGTTATTGGTCCTCAAATGGCCATGTGATTTAAACTGGCCCAATCAGAATGAACCCGATGGTCGGAGGACAGGTCTCTCATTCCATCTCCCTCCGTGTGTGTGTGTGTGTGTGTGTGTGTGTGTGTGTGTGTGTATCTGTCTGTCTTACTAGGAAATATGTGGCCTCAACTGTCATTGGCATCCATCTCTTGACTGACACACAATAGCTTTCATGTGAAGCTGAGACTGAGGGTGCAGAGCAGAGAGGTGATGCTGCTGAGCCCTCTGTACTGTGGCGGGAGCATGCCCTCCTCTGGACTTCCAATTATGTGAGAAAATAAATGTCCTTACTTTTTATAACACTTAGCTAAAGGACTGCTGTTCCAACCACTCCCAACCCTAACAAATAGAAAGCCTTTAATTAAATAAGTATTTGAACAAAACTAGAAATAGAGTTTAACACTAAAAGAGGCCTAAGGATTATCTAGCTCAGCGTTTCCCAGTTAGTCCCTCTGGGCACTATGTTCACCAGACACCACGTGTAAAGGGGGTCACACTGTCAAGCGAGCAGCCAAGCTTCTGGTGCCTGACCTCACTGACAGGAGTGAGTCAGACCTATTACTGCCCCTTCTGCTCTTTCCTCACGTGTCTGTACCCAACAGGAAGCGGTTCGTTACTATTTGGCTTCCCGTGCAGATGTGGCTACAGAGAAAGGAGTCTGCCCAGATCACAGGGGCTTCCAGCCTCGATCACAGGGGCTTCCAGCCTCGATCACAGGGGCTTCCAGCCTCGATCACAGGGGCTTCCAGCCTCGATCACAGGGGCTTCCAGCCTCAATCACAGGGGCTTCCAGTCTCGATCACAGGGGCTTCCAGCCCCAATCACAGGGGCTTCCAGTCTCGATCACAGGGGCTTCCAGCCTCGATCACAGGGGCTTACAGCCTCGATCACAGGGGCTTCCAACACCAATCACAGGGGCTTCCAGCCCCGATCACAGGGGCTTCCAGTCTCGATCACAGGGGCTTCCAGCCTCCTGAGCCCTGTGAGTGCACTCCTTGGGTCAGCCCGCCCCTGCGTGCTGGGTCCGGTTTGATGCTGGAAGCCTGGGTTTCTGTGACCGCAGGCAGGGCCCAGCCCTGCACTGTGGTGAATTTACTGGGAAACGAAGGGAAGGAGCCCTGAGAGGCGAGGCTCCTGGAAGCCAACCTGCCAGCCTCCATCCTGGCCGACTCCTCCCCACGCTCCACCCCTGCCAGCACAGTGTTGGCTACGAAAAGCTTGTCTTCTTCCTATGTCTGCAATCCACTGACCTCACAGAGGCACGAGACTTAGGGAGTGACAGAACGCTCTGGGAACTGAGGGTTTGGGGGCCCGGCACCTTCTTCCGAGGGCACTAGTTCCTTACCCAGGGACACGCTGTTCCCACGGTTGTCTCCGGGGGGCTCCTTGCGAAACTCCTTCTCGGCACGTCTGCCAGGGCCCCGGGCTTCCTGAGAGGTGGACAAAAGAAGGACCTCAGATGTCACTGACCCTGGAAAACAGCCTGGGAAACCCTGTGGGCCCCAGGAAAGGTCATGGAAGCACGGGGATACGGGGTGAGTCTAGCATCGTAAGGAGCAGCATGACCAAGGAGAAGCCCAGCGACTGGGGGCAAGCGGCAAGAGCTGACACCCAGGCCTTGTGGCCTTCTGCTGAGGGGAGGCCATAGAGAAAGAAGTGGAGCAAAGGGGCAGTAATGACAGGAAGGGGAGAACAGAGAGCAGCTTACCTGGGACTCAGCTGTCACCGCCCAATCTCCAACGCTCCCCGTCCTTGGAAGAGTAGGGACTCGGGGAGTGAGGACAGCTGAGAAGAAAAAAGTCTCTGAAACCCAAGCTCTGGTCTCCACAGAACCACCCACTTGGGTCCAGCTTTCCAAAGCCGTGCTCGGGGCAAGCTGAGACTCTCCCCAGTCAGTGCAAGTCTCCCTTTCCTTCCCTCCGAGAGTCCTGGCTCCTAAGCTGCCTTGAGTGAGGTGCCTTGTGGGAGATGCCAGCCCGGAACTCCGAGGGTCACCACCTCCCCCGCCCCAGCCTGAAGCTGCGGTGACTCGGCTCTGGAGGGGACGAGCCATCACGGGGAACTTCAACTTCTTCTGCGATGCTTACGTACTTGCCTTACTTCTCAGTGAGTCCATCAGACACTACTCTACCCCTTGCCTGGAATTCATACATCCCTCCTCCCCATGCACCCTTCCTCACCACCCCTCACGCCCTTCCTTGACGTTCCTTGAGTTCTGTACTCACCACTCTCCTTCAGGGCCTGGGGCGCCATCTTGGAGTCGAGATGCTTGGGAAGGTCCGGGCCCGGATTCCTCACCCACGGCCTCTGGGGCGGTCTCTCGGGCCAGTGCTGGGCTGATTGCCGCTGAAAGCTCTGAGATTCCCGCGTTGCCTTCCAGGACCGGGTCTCTTCTCCACACAGTTCCAGTTCCTACACACAGACGGGCAACGTTCCCAATTGTCAGCCCCATAAGACCAGTCTTGGTAGGGCAGAAAGTGTTCTTTGGGGGACAGTGGTGATCTAGGGATTAACAGGCCCTTTTTAAGACCCGAAGACGGCTCAAGTATGACAACAAGCCCTCAGGCTGCAAACTGCTGAGCTATGCGTTAAATCCGCAATATCTTCCTTTCAGTGTAAATCTGGACAAGTTACTTACCCGAGTCTCTGTCCACCATTTGAAAAACGGTGATGGTAACAGTACCTACCTTATTGGGGCGCAGGGTGGACTAGATAAGCAACATATGCAGAAGCCTTAGGACAGTGTCTGGCACACAGGGCGTGTTCAATAAATGTCAGTCACTATTTCATGTGAGCCTCATGCCTCAGAGGCGCTTTCATTCCTAGGTTCCTGATGAGGCGTCTGAGGGGTAGAACGATGACCCTGGGACCTGAGGAGCTGGGTTCAGGCTGTGGTTCACAGGGACGAGCTTTCTGAACCACCTGACTTTTAGGGACTTGGTTGAATCTATAAATTACAGGGACAATAATGCTATTTCTTATACTGACATTACTGCTATCAGCATTCAAAGCAATCGCATATGTGAAAAGACTATATTAAGTATAAAACCATACAAATTCTGTGAACACGGCACAGGGAGGGTTCAGAGCAGTGGCTGTGAATGCTGGCTTTAGAGTCAGACTGTCTCAGTTCACACCCTGCCTCTACCTCGCGGCCAATTACCGTCTTTGCTCTGCCTCAGTTTCCACACTGGCAAAACTAGGATAATAGGACCTATCTCATTAAATTGTTGACAGGATTAAATGAGCTAATACATGGGAAGCACTTAGAACAGTGGTTCTCAACCTTCCCAATGCCGTGACCCTTTAATACAGTTCCTCATATTGTGGTGACCCCCAGTTTCACTGTTACAAATTGAACATAATTAAAGCATAGTGCATAGTAATTAATCACAAAAACAATATGTAATTATATATGTGTTTTCCAATGGTCTTAGGCGACCCCTGTGAAAGGGTCGTTCGACCCCCAAAGGGGTCGCGACCCACAGGTTGAGAACTGCTGACTTAGAACATTCCTGGTACATGGTCATGCTCAATAGATGTCAGCTGCTCCATAACAATAATAATTATTATTTTGGAAATTACTAAGCCAGTCACAGCCCGCTGCCTGCCTGACCACTTCAGGGAGGCCGGCTATTTGCCTCACCCGCTGCCCTGCAGCCCGGGCCTCTCGGTGCCAATCCTCCACCAGGGCCACCGCCTCCTCGCCGCTCTCAGGGTGGCGCGCCTGCACCCAGGCCTGGGCCTCCCTGGGTAAGATAGTCAGGAACTGCTCCAGCACCAGCAGCTCCAGGATCTGCTCTTTGAGGCGGACCTCTGGCCTCAGCCAGCGACAGCAGAGCGCCCAGAGCTGGCTGAAGGCCTCGTGCGGTCCCGACGCGTCCCTGTACTGGAACTGCCTGAAGCGCTGGCGGGAGGCCTCGGGGCCGGGGCCAGGCTCATGGTCCTTCTCCCGAGGCCTGGGCTCTGATCTCCACGCGTCCTCCTCCAGTTTCACAACCAGGAGTTCTTCAAGCTCTGCTGGGGGAGACGCCTGGGCCTGGGCCTCCAGGGCTACAGCCATGCTCTGTCCTGGACGCCTCACTTCAGCTGGGCTGTCCTCATCCGACGTCTTCCTGCATCTACGGTGTGTCCTTCACGGGGCTCCTGGGAGAGGAAATGCTTTCCAAGGCTCTGAAGGCAGAAAGACAAAGGGCAGTGAGCAGAGGACCCAGGAGCCTCACCGTCCCCCTTCCTCACACCCACCACTGCCCCTGGATGGGGTGGAGTGCCGAGTGATGCCCCTGTGCCATAAGCAGGAAGCTGGACCACAATCTGGCACCAGCAGCCAGCACAACAAGGGAAGACAGCACAGTGTTAAACCCTCTGGGACACGCTGAACGCCTGAGCCTGGCATCAGAGCCTCTGTGATCTGGTCCCGGCGCAGCCTTCCCCCCTCTACCCATGTCCAAAGTCAGACCTTCCCTCGCGTCGGGATAAACATCACCCCTCCGAAAGGCCTTTCTCCCAGGCCTTCAAGCCTCAGTCTTCCCCTAAAGGTGCTCCCCTTGCAAAGTCCCTCTCTCACTCTGTACTTGTCTGTCATTTTTCACCATCTCTGTGACTCCCAACACTGCAGCCAGGACCTGTCTCAAGACCCCCAAATCCAACCACCTGTAAGACATTTCCACTTGGCTATCCCTTAGGCACCTCAAACTCAATGGGTCAAAAACTAAACTCATCATTTTCTCCTGCAAGTCTGTCTCTCTTCTGGAGCTCTCCATCCAAAAAGGCACCAGCCCTAGCTGGTTTGGCTCAGTGGATAGAGCAGCAGCCCACAGACTGAAGGGTCCCAGGTTCAATTCTGGTCAAGGGCACATACCTCAGTTGTAGGCTCAACCCCCAATCCTGGTCGGGGCGCATACAGAAGGCAACCGATTGATGTGTCTCTCTCACATCAGTGTTTCTCTCTCTGTCTCTCCCCCTCCCTTCCCTAAAAATTCAAGGGGAAATACCCTCTGCTGAGGATTAACAACAAAAAGACACGACTTCCATCAACTTATCTATACCGGGAACCTTTCTCCAAGATCCCCCACATCCAACTCATCACCAGACTGTGTCCACTTGGTCTTCTAACCATCTACATCCCCAAGGCCACCACCTTGGTCCAGAGAAATCATCACATTTATTACCTGATCAGCAGTTTATCTCATGTCCCTGCCTTCACTCCTCTCACCCTTGACCCATTCTTTGCACAACCAGACTAGATCAAACTCTGACCATGTCGCTTCCCTCCTAGACACCCTTCAGTGACCTCTCATTTCCCTCAGGATCAAATACAAACCTCCTTTCCTCACCGTGCTCCCACCAGTCATGGTGGCTCCAGCTTGCAGCTCCGACATCGTGCTGCCCTCTGCACCCTCCCACGTGCTGGCGTCTCCTTTGGGAACAGCCTCTTCCCTTTCCTCACCTACTTAGGGCTCAGCTTAAATTGTCCTTTCCCAAGATTCAGTCCTCAGCCGCAAGCTTCTGCGCCACCTCATGTTTCCTGTATCGTTACCCAGATCAGACCTTCTAATTATCTACCCACTAGATCACAGGCTTCCAGAGGGACCAATCACAGCTCAGCACACACAGGAAGCACTCCATACACAGTGAAATAATGGTCAACTAATGATGGGGATGTGCCATGAAGCAAGGATTATGTTAAGCCCTTCCTGCGCAAACTAGATAAAGAAGGAATGGCCTTCCTCATGCCAGAAGGAATTCTCTTCTCTTTATTCCATCACTGTGACCCTTGCCACTGTCTAGGTTGTATCAGAGGGGCGAGTGTACATGTGTGTCCCCAGAGAGATTACAGCCACACCGGTGGCAGGGAATATAGCTTAGTTCTCTTTTTTGTCACACCCTTAACTCTCCCACACCCACAATAAGCAGGATGCACTAAACACAGGAGGCTCTCAGCAAATGCTTTCTGAGTGAACGTCTGAAGCTGCTGCTTTTACACAATGAAGACTCTGACCACACTCAGGCTGGGTTATCTGGGAAAATGAGCCCTTTGTGTCGTTCCCAACAAATCTAGATGACATAAAAAATGCCACTCAGAGGAGGCTACCAGTTGCTTCCACGTGGGAACGACATGGCTGAATTGAGACTGGAGGGAGGGGTGGCATTTTGATTTTAGGTCATCTGACTGGACTGTCTAGAAATAGGCAAGGTGTGCCCTACAGACCGCCACAGTTAGGGAGAGGCTAGGAGCACAACTTCCTGCTCGTCCTTCAGCTATCAGCTCACTGTCACCTTCCCTGTTAAGACTTCCTTGACATGCTATCATGCCCTGCCCCCACCACTGCTCTCCAAGAATCGCCTCCCCACTCTGTGCCCCCCAAGCAATTGGCACAAACCTCTAATCTCTGTTAACCTGCGTTATTGTAGTTACTGCTCGTGGATCTGACAGCTCCCCATTCCGTTGCATTACTAGGGCCAGTGCTGAATCTTACTCATCTGTATCCACAGTGCCCAACCCAGTGTCTTCCAATGGCCCAACCCAGCAGGGCCACTGGACTTTTGTTGACTTTTATTAAAACAGTTAAGCTGGTACATTAAAAACCTAAGGGGCTATGGAAGATCCATAATTTATAGCACGCTAAAGAATTAACCTTTCATAATTTTTTTTTAAACCATAGCTTTAATCATGCACTAGTCCAAACACATTTGTGTCTCTCTCTCAAACGAGGACTGATTCACCAGTCATCTACAGAATCCCACTATGTCCCCTGCACTGTACTGGGAGCTAAAGAACCGACAGGAACTAGGATCAACAATCTCTACCCTCACCAAAGTTAGTCTACTAAGAGACAATCACTGAGCAAAGTGTGTGCTCCTGCACAGAAGGAACACTACAACAAACAGGCAGTTAGCTGCCCCCCAGGCCCAAAGCCCAGAGTCTCAGGTAACAGGTATTTTCTTCTGGGAAGACTTGCAAGTCCCAAAGGTTGTTTTTAAATACAAACCTGCAGATTTTCTGCTGCTCTCTGACATACAAATAGCAGCCTATCCAGAGGGAGGTCAACACAGCCAGCCAACAGCCGAGTGACTTCACACAGAGATGACAGGAAAGACATGGACAAGGGCACCCCTCAGCCCTGGGACAACCAGGAACCCCTAGGTCCTCTCTCGAATCAGCAACCTCAGAGTGTGCCCATGGTGCCAGGCACGGCTGAGTGCTCGACATCCATCATCTTCACCGAATCTTCCGGGCAAGCCAGTGAAGTGCCATTAGTGCTGAGCTGCCTGACCCTGATCTATAACGTACACATATGAAACTCCATACAAACAAGGCAGGACAGACATGATTTAAACAGTGCACCAGATCCACCCACTATGTGTCTGTTCCAGAGAGAGCATGTGGTGATGACACCCGGGACTCTGCTGGTCCCAGGTTGGTCTCAGTTCCCTCGGGCCCCTCTTCCACTGAGTGTGAGCAGTGTCTTGCTTCAGCATGGTCCCTAGGCACAGGCCAACTCATCCACCTCGTGTTCAGGAAAACCCAGCTGTGCCAGGCAGCTTAGAGAGAGCGTGCTGGTTTCTAATGGCTCCTTGCCGGAGAGCTGACTGTGGCTTTGGCTAAATATGATTATCACTTTCCATGCTGCCTGTAGAATACCATGATCCTGTGAGGTATGACTCCACTATATCTCCAGTCTATACACAGGGAGGGAACTGAGTTTCTATAAAAAAGATGCACTTAAGGTTACACAACTAGCAAGTGGTAGAGTTGGACTCTAAGCTAGTGATGGCGAACCTATGACACGCGTGTCAGAGGTGACACACGAACTCACTTTCTTTGGGTGATTTTTCTTTGTTAAATGGCATTTAAATATATAAAATAAATATCAAAAATATAAGTCTTGGTTTTACTATGGTTGCAAATATCAAAATTTCTGTATGTGACACGGCACCAGAGTTAAGTTAGGGTTTTTCAAAATGCTGACACGCCGAGCTCAAAAGGTTCGCCATCACTGCTCTAAGCCCAGGTTCGTTTCCTCCAGTCATTTCTTTAGCCACACCACACAGCCTGCTCTAGGTCTGCCAGTCATCCCAAGTCCTGAGAAGATGGTATGGAGGAGAGTGGGAGGAACACTGAGGCAGGAGTGAGCAAATCGGGGTGCTGGTTCCACTCCTGCCATTTATCAGCTGTGTGACTTGGGACAGGTCAAGTGGCTCCTGCAGCCTCTCTAGGTTGCAGCTTACAGCCTGACCCTACTCAGTTACGCCAGGTTCCCCCGTTAGTACGATGGGAGTAGAGCAAAAGGACAAGGAGACTAAAATCAGCGGCCACAAATGTAAGTGGCGAGAGGCTTGGCAGCGTCAATGAGAATATGAGCGGAGTGGGGACTGTGGCCACTACAGAGGACCAACGGGCCATGGCCCAGCGTCCACAGGCCTTCTAATTTTTCTAAGAGAAGTCAGAATTCTAGATTTTTAAATGTTGGCTACCTACTCACAATTGTTTCAAACACCCTGAGGGTTAAGTAGAGCGTGACGATAGGCTTCATTCAGCACGGGCTGTCACTTTGCCACCTTTTAGCTGAGTGATCTCAAAGGTCCCTTCCAATCTCCTGGAAAACCTAGAAAGAGTACAGATTCCCCTAAGTAATGAGGGGTAGGTGCTGGCTGCTGTCGAAATCAAGATCCCTCTATAAACCCAGGGGAGCGGGGAGGCATCCTGGCTCCTGGGGCAGTGAGTATGGACGTGGACATGAAGAACCCACCCAGAAAGCAGTGGGATGGAAAAGATGGGCCCCAGTCCCGTGGGAAAGCCAAGGCTGGTCTGTGACCTCCAAAGAGAAAAATACTGGGAGTTCCCGAAAGCTTTCTAGCTCATTTGGCTGGTGGTCCAAGCTATTGCTTAAGCAGCCTGACCTTACACTTCAGGGCATACAGCAGAGAAAGCAGGCAGATAGGATTCATTTAAAGCACCAACGTCATTCAACTGTGTTAAGGACTCTGAATCCCATGTGAATACGTGCTGTGGGCAATTAGCTATGTCTGCCAGGCACAGGAAGGGGAATCCGGGGCCTGGCTTAAACCCCTGTAGGCCCTGAATCAGCTTCCAGCAAAAACAGCCATAAGAGGAAGAAGACTAAAACTCACGCCCCGGGAAATCCACCGGAAGTAGCACGTTTCAGCCTGAGATAGCAAAGCTCACCCTGGATGGTCTTGATTCGCACATTCACCAAGTATTTATTAGGAAACAGGGGTGACTCAGAAACTGTTCCTGTCCTGGAGATGCTTACAGTCTAGTGGAAGAGAGAAAAGGAATCACAGATGATGATGATGATCAAATGTGCAAAGTGCAGTAAAGAGTTCGGGGGGGGGGGGGGGGGTGATGACTTTAACTGCTTAAGGCAATTGAACAAAGTAACATCTGAGTTGGTTCCTGACCTCCCCCCAAAATGGGAAAAGCTTGGTAGCTCTGGAGTGTGGGGCACAAAAAGACTAGGCTGCAAAGTCGTTTAGGAAGGACCCCGAGTATCGGGCTGCGATGTTTGGACTTAATTCTATCCGTGATGAGTGCCAATGGAGGCTTTTAAAGCAGAAGGCATAATCAGATTTGGGGGTTAAACAGGTCACATTGCGTTTGTCCAGGCTGAGAGGTGAAAGATGGAGGCTTCGGCCAAAACCCGACAAGGAAAGGGCAGGTTCCAGACACATGAAGGAAACGGAAGGATCTGAGGATCCCTGGAGTGGAAGAAAGCAAGAGAACCCGGACGGCGCCTGGGCGCCTGGGCGCCTGGAGGACGGTGCCATCCGCGTCCATCGGGCATGAGGAAAGAAGTGCCCTGTGGGACAGAACACAATAGCTGGCCCCGCCCACCGGGCTCCAGAAGTCACAACCATCAGACCAAGTGTCAGGGCAGGTAGGGGCTGGTACGTTATTTTTAAGGTTGGGCTGCAAGCTCAGGCCCGCTTATCTCCACTTCTTGCCTGGGCCCCCGACCCCCCAATCCTGCCCTCTGTGGTCCCCTGGCCCCTCTAGGCTCTCCCACCTCCAGAACCTCTCTCCGTGTCCTCACCCTCAGCCCTGAGCCCGTCCTCTCCCCCAGAGCCCTCTGGCTCCCTCCTCATCCCCAACCCCTCGATGACCCTTCCCACCTCCGGACGCTTCATGCTCTGACCGCCCCTCACCCCACCACCCACACAGAAAAGCTTCCTTCTCCGCTCACACCGGCCCGGCCCCTGTGACACCATCCTCCTAAGTCTCCAGCCCAGAGCCTAAGTCTCCGATGCCCCCGCCCCGCCACCCGGACTCACCCACCGAGACACCCACTTCACAACGGGGCGGAAGTGCTCCAGGGTTCGCGCAGGGAATGCTGGGACGCGGAGTCCGACCGGCGCCACCCCGGGAATGGAGCGTCTGAGACTACAACTCCCAGAAGAAAACGTGCGAAAGCCGGTAGGCGGCCTTTTCCGTTTACTGCCCTGAAGATGCCGTCAGCCAATAGATGTGTCACCTTCTCCCGGTCCCCGGCACCGGAACAAATCAGAATAGGTTCTAAGGGTGAGGGCGGGACCTGCTGCAATCCCGGGCCTTTCCACAGGCTCGGAAACGGCACCGCCCAGTAGGCGGGGACTCAAGTTGAAGGGGCGGGGCCTGTTTAAGGGCGAAGCGAGAACCAGAGGCCCAGAGAGATCAAAGCAGAAAAATAAGGAGGGTGTGGCTAGAGATGACCAGGCTGGTGGGCAGAAGAGAGCTGGACAATTGTAGGTGTAATTTACAGCTCACCGTTAAAATGCGTGACTTTGAATCAATTGTGAACCTCGCTTTATTCAAACCCATAAAACCAGGATAATAATAGCATCTGAGTCTACAAGTTTTTGTGAGGTTTCAACGAATAATACGCTCAAAACGATTCATTCAGGGCCTGGATTCTAAAAATACACAGCGAATGTCACCTATTGTTATGTAAATCCGTTAGTGTAGAGCTTGGCAGGTGTGAAGATTAAATTAGATAATTCAGGCAGAGCATGGACGCTGGAGTCAAGCTACTTGTGTCTGAAACTTCCTATTTTCAAATGCAGGATGGAGGCCTTGCCACTCACTACTTGTGAAACGTTGAGCAAATTGTTTCACCTCTTCGTGCTTCAGTTTCCTCATCTGTAAAATGGGAATTAAAATAATGGCATCCACCTGATAGGGTTTGTGAGAAATAAGTGGAGAACAATTTGTAAAGAGCCTGGCACATGGCTAGCAGAAGGAGTTTAATAATTATATTAGCTATTCTTATTTTTACTAATGGTTATGAGAAGTTGGGGGAATTGACAATGCCTAGCATATGGCCAAGTGCTCAATACATGTTAAAATTTGGGGAATTGTGTATCTTCGTTTTTTAGACCTAGTTCAAAATCCTTCTCTATGAAACAAGTTCCAGCTGATTGATAGTACTCACGTGGTGTTACACGGCGAAAGGAGTAGCAACCTATCAGCACTCCTTGCTATTGAAGTCTTCACAGCCCTGTGAGGTGGGTATTATTACCCCAGTTACAAGGAGGAAATGGGGGCTTGAACCTACTCAAGATCATATAGCCAGTCAATGCCAGGCATGGGATTTGAACTGGGGCGTGTGACTCTAACGGCTCCTTCTCAGCCCCACACTGCATCCGGGAAAGATGGAGGGATGGAGTGAGTGGGGAGAGAGACAGGTCTTCAGTGTGGGGTGCTGGGAGGGCTGGAGCCATTTGAGGGAGTGTCCAGACCTGAAGTTGGAAAGGCAGCTTGGCAGGGTCAGGTAAGGACATTCATTTCAGGATCATGTATCCTGCAGAGTGGAGGTGAGAATACACAGAGCGAAAGACGCCACTACACCACTAGAGGGCACCCCTCCCCCTAAATCCAGCCCAGAGCTGTTCTACGGTTTCCTTTAGCCTTTGTCTGTAAAGCCTGGCATTGTACAGAAGAGGAAAATCAAAGCCCCCAGAGGTCAAGTTCCCTGGCCCAGTGTCATATAGAATTAAACGACAGAGCCTGAATCAGACCCTAGTTCTCCGCTTCAGCATCCATCAAGATGGTTTCCTGTTCATAGTTGTCTGTTGAGACTCTCTTCGAGCTGGGGCAGCACTAGGCTCTGAGGATGCAGAGACAAATCACACATGGTCCCTGCCCCCAGGATTTGATCTCCAAACTCTCCTGGTCAAGTGTTCTATTAGTAAATTAGTAATGTTTCCTACTAGTAAGACATGTTTTAGTACACACTCCCAACGTGTGTGTTTTGTTTTGTTTTGTTTTGTTTTGTTTTGTTTTTTTAATCCTCAGCGGCGGATATTTTCCCATTGATTTTTAGAGAGAGTGGAAGAGAGAGGGAAAGAGAAACATTGATGAGAGAGAGACACATCAACTGGTTGCCTCCTGCACAAACCCCAACCAGGGCCCGGGCCGGGGAGGAGCCTGCAACCAAAGTACATGCCCTTGACCAGAATCGAACCCAGGACCCTTTGGTTCACAGGTCAACACTCTATCCACTAAGCCAAACCAGCCAGGGCCCAACATATGTGCACTTACTTATAAATTATATGCATGAAGTTCATATATAATTGCATGACAAGCTAACTTTTATTGAACACTTACAATGCATTATTAGGTCCTGCTTTCCGTGCTTTATACATATGAACTCACTTAATCCTCGGAAAGCCCTTTGAGGGGAGGTGTAATACTATCCCATACTACAGAAGAGGACACAGTGGTGCAGAGGTTAGTAGCATAACAAAGCCATGAGGCTAAAAAGCAGGCAGGCTAGCTTCAGAATAAAGTGATATATGAAAAAATACCGATAGAAGTTTTAAAAGTTCCTTCCTCAGCCCCAGTGGCTCATCTTGTGCACCACCATCCCCCCTTGGAGACCACTGCTTTGGGGCCTCCCAGACCTGTGAGGGCTGGTACAGTGTGGTCAGTACTTTGAGGAAGGGAAGTGCAGGAAGTTGTGGGAACCCAGAGGCTGGGAGGTCAGGAATGGCTTTTGGAGAAAGCAATGGCTGAATTGAGCCTTAAAGGATACATAGCAGTTCCCCCGAAGAAATAAGTTGGGAGGCAGGAATAGCACATGCAAAGGCCCAGAGGCAGGAGATCACGGTGTCCTGGGAGCTGCAAGCAGATTAGCACGGCTGAAGCACGAGTGCCAAGGAGGTGGGCTCCCCTCCCAGTGTTGCTATGAGGTTCAGACAAGGTGACAGATATGACCATGCCTTCATGTCCGCATGGAGGGAATAGACAATCAGCCTGCTGCCTCCTGGGCAGCATCCCAGCTTTTTGGTCCTCGGCTGCCAGTTCCCCTATAACCCAGATGGCGGAAGGGCCCGCTCTGCCCCTTGAAGAGCTGGTTGAACTTGGCCTGGACCCCATTCCAGAGCTTAGGAGTCCTCTGAGCCTTCCTTTCTTTCCCCTCCTCGCCCTGAATCCCCCCTTTATTTCCTTCAGGCTACAGTTTCCATGACCCCACCTCCTGCACCCTCTTTCTCCTGTGAGTTTCCATCAAAAAACGAAAAGACCAATTAAGCCATTCATTTCATGCATTTAGTAAGTTTGCTGAGGAGCTGGACCTCTTGAGGTCACATCACATACCTCATGGCTACCTGCCACCCCTCCAGAGCCTTCCAAAGCCCTGTGTTCCCTTCGCCATCCGTGGATCCTCCCTATACATAGCGCCCGCCTCCCAGAAGCTCCGTTCAGTCTCGCTCACCGACACATGCCCACGCTCTCCCTGCCAGGATGGCTTTCCTTCCTATCCCACCCTCCGACCCACATGCACTCACTCTAGCCCAGCCTGGCTTGCTCCAGCCTGCTCCCCAACCACGCCCAGAAGTCGTCCTTGCTCTCCTCTTCCTTGGGCCACACACAGTAGTCTCCTCTGCGGAGCAGCCGGGCCAGTCTATGGTAGCGGGGGAGCTGGTGGCGGGAGACGCGCTCCAGGAAGACCAGCAGCAGCAGCGGGGGGCGGGGGGCGGCCAGCAGGAGGGAGGTGGCCAGGCGGAGCTCCAGGCGGCAGCGTGGGGTATGCAGAGCCTGGCCACTCAGCACGCAGAGCGTGACCTGGCTGTTGGCCATGCTCTCCACCACGTTATCAGCCACGTCCTTGCCTGGCTCAAAATCCCGCTCAGGGAGGCAGAGGCGGAGCCCCCGGCGGCCCTCCAAGGCAGGCAGCAGCTCCTGCACCACCCAGGCCTGGTCTTGCCTACAGTGGGACACAAAGACGTCATAGAGGAACCTCTTGCCCTCACCTTTCGGACCCCTCAGATCCTGAAGCCAAGCCCTGAATAAGGCCTGCAGATAGAGGAGCCAGGAGTTCCTGGCTTCTTGCAGGAGGGGCAAGGAGATCAGCAGAAGCAGGAGGGCAGAGCTGCCCAAAAAGAGTCCCAACTCTAGAGTCCTGGGGCAGTGACTCCAGAGAAAGGGGAAGAGGCGTTGCTTGGGGTGGACCCCGGCCTCTGGCTGGCACAGCTGGGCTGACGCTATGTGCACATATGTTCTGGGGGACCGCTCAAGCCAGGGATCCACCCAGGCATTGGCACACTGGCAGGCCAAGGACGAACCCAGAACATACACGTACTGTGGCATCTGGGGACTGTGCTCCTGGAGACTGCCATCCAGCACGAGGCCTGCCTCCCAGTCTAGCACCAAGACCTGGAGACTTCCCAGGCCCTGGAAAGCAACCGCTGACAGTGTCTCCAGCCCCGTCTGGGCCACATGCAGTACCTGGAGCCTGGGCAGGTCCCCCACCAGCTCCTCCAGCTGCACGCGGCGGGGCTGCGCTCGGGACAGCAGTCTCTTCAGCGTCAGCTCCTGTAGACTGGGCAGCCCGGTGATGCAGCAGGGCCTGGGGCCGCGCCCATCCCCCTCTACCCTCAGATACTGGAGCCTGGGGAGCTGCCAGAGGAAGACGCTGGGGGTGTTGGGGGAACAGAGGCCCTCCAAGCTACTGCCAAACAGGGAGAGTTGGCGAAGGGCAGGGAAGATCTTGGGGACCTTCTGGGTCCCCAGCTGTAGCCCCCAACCATTTAGAGTCAAGTTCTGTAAGGCTGGAAAGACAGGAGAAGCCAGCTCCCAAAGCTCCCCGCCTGGCACTGCGTGAAGCTCCAAGCTGGTCAGCCTCGTGGGCAGGGACAGCGCTGTCCCAGAAGGGCCAGAGCGGAGCGGCAGTCTCAGGTCGTGCAGACTCTCCCGGCCCCAGAAGTCCCAGGCTGGGCTCAGCACAATGTGGGTCTTCAGCAAGTTGAGGGTGGTGAGTGCAGGCAGAGGAGCCAACCAGCCCGTGCCCAGGGCCTCCAGTGGATTGTTACTCAAGTCCAACATCTCCAGCCTCCTTAAGCCCTGGAATACCTGGCCCTCCAGCCAAACCAGCTGGTTCATCTGAAGTAGTAGCTCCCGCAGGTGGGACAGACAGGAGAAGGCGTCAGGGGCCAGGCTACGCAGCTCATTGCTGGACAGGTCCAGGGCCCGCAGTCCTGACACAGCTCCTGTCTCATTCGGGCACAGCACGGCGCTGCGTAGCTTGTTGCCTGACAGGTTCAGTCTCTGAAGCCTGGGCAGGGCAGCCAGGAAACCTGGTGGCAGGTCCATTAGGCCACTTCCCTTAAGACTCAAGCTCTTCAGGCTCTCGCAGGAAGCCAGGGCCTCCAGAGCTATGTGCTCTACCCGCATCCGCCCCAGATTCAGCTCTTGCAGCTCGAAGTGGGCAACTGTCCCGGCGGGCAGCTCGGCCGTGTCGGTGTATGTCACAGACAGGGCATCCAGCCTCCGCAGCCCCAGTCCCATCACTGCAGCTGCCTTCATCTTCGTGTGGTCCAGATTCAGAGTCCCCAGCTTGAGGCCCTGGAGGCCCCCAGGACTGGCCATCTTTAGCCGACTGTTTGACCTCAAGTCCATTGTCTCCAGAGTCCAGGCATCGCCGGAGGAGGAGCCAAGCACCAGGTCTGGGAAGATGTCGGCCAGCTGCCCCACATCCTCAAGGCAACTCAAAGTGACGGACAGCCGCCGTAGGTTGGGAGGCAACCGGACACCCGAGTTCCCATCCAGGCAAACACCCGAGAAAGCTAAGTACTGGAGGGAGCTCAGGTTGCCAAAGGCATCAGGGGGTAGGAAGAGGTCCTTCACGGGGAGGTGTATGAAAGACAGCCGCTGCAGCTGTCCCAGGCCCCGGAAGGCTCCGGGCAGGATCTGTGTGAGAGACAGGGTCAGCCCCAGGGCCTTGAGGCCAGGGAAGCAGGAGAAGGCGTCCGCTGGCAGAACCGGAGGGGAACCACGGAGACAGAGCCCCTCCACACCCTGTGGCACAGCCTCCAAGGCCTTTGTCACGTTGGTCACCCCGGAGCACACCGCAAGGAGGGGCAGTCTGGAGTCCAAGCCGCAGTGGAAGAAACGGGAGACCAGGTGCAGCCTGGAGCCTTCGGCCACTAAGCAGTTGGGAATGGTCCAGCCTGAGATCAGAGGAGGGAACAGGAGCAGACCGGGCAGCAGAAAACGTCCGCCCATCTCAGCGCCACGTCTGCTCTACAGACAAGCGGAATCAGAACCTGACTGTCTGCTCCCCTCTCTTTCCTAGAGAGGAACCCAGACCCCTTCCTCCCCTTCACACACACATACCCCCTACTCACAGCACCGGCAGGGTACACCGCGCCCTGTACCAGGAGGGTCTGGAAGCAGGGACTGAGGGCCGCAGTGCTTCCAAACTGTAGAACTGCTGGGAGGGCGAGGCCAGACCAAGAGACACTTAGCTCAGAGGATCCAAGGGTCAGGGAAGGCAGAAGTGCTCTCGTGAGAGGAAGGGCCCGGGTCTCACTTCTCTGTTGTGAGGAAGCGAGCATTTCTGAGCACAAGATTTGGGGCCCAAAGCCCAGGACCCCACTCTGCCACGGGCCTGAGCCGGGCACTGCACCTCTCTCGGCTTCAGCTTCCTCATCTCTCAGCTGAGCATTCCGATGCCTGCTCCATAGGATTGCTGCGAATTACATCTAAGGGTCAGAATGAGGGTTCTCTCCGCAGCCCCTTTACTACTTCCTCTGCTCACTTTGGAAAGGAGGTCTTGAGCAAATCAGGATTTTTGAAAAGCAGATGTTTTACAAGCAAAATAGTACATCAATGTGATGCCTTCATGGACATCTTGTAATGCTCCGCATGGAATGTTCCAAAAAGCCCAAGATTTACCCAGGAGGAGTCTAGGGCCCCATTCCTGCCCTTCCAGGCTGGGGCTAGGAAGAATGCTGTCTGTGGCCTCGACCTTGACATGCACTACCGGATGGAGCCAGGACCCCAGGGGAGAGCAGAAAGAGAAAAGGCAAGGTGCTCTTTGATGATCTCAATGCATAAACTATTCAATATCTGATCATGATTTTAAACAATAATAAACGCCGAAGAAAAAGCACCTTCGTTGAGGTTCTTTCTGTCTCCACCACCTTCTTCCCTCCCCAAACCCCGTGATCACCTTGTCTGTGAGTTCTTAACTGGTCATCAAATAATAATCTTTAATCAAACAAGGTATCGGTGATTTCATCGCGTAATGGTATTCAGGTAACGACACTAGAAATTCTCAATAAAAAGCAGAAACATTTGACCCACAGCTCTACCAACAACAAAAGCAATGGCTTTGGTTGCCTAAGTTAACTTCTGTTGTTATCCCAGCTTTAAACATTTTTCATCTAACCCCCATATCTTTTTTTAATATATATTTTTTATTGATTTTTCACAGAGAGGAAGGGAGAGGGATAGAGAGTTAGAAACATCAATGAGAGAGAAACATCGATCAGCTGCCTCCTGCACACCCCCTACTGGGGATGCGCCCGCAACCAAGGTATATGCCCTTGACCAGAATCAAACCCGGAACCCTTCAGTCCACAGGACGATGCTCTGTCCACTGAGCCAAACCAGTTAGCGCTAACTCTCATTTCTTACACCTTCATATATACTAGGCATCCTGAGAAGCACTTTAAACAATGTAAGCCCAGAAATGTTTTATTTCCCAGAATCCTTTTTAATCTTATATAATAAAAGGCTAATATGCAAATTGTCCCCTCCACTGGGAGTTTGACGGGGACCAGGAGGCGGGGCCTCACCCATGCACGAATTCGTGCACTGGGCCTCTAGTAATAAAATAACTAACAATTGAGAACCTACTATGTGCCAGTCATATGCTCTTTTCACTCTAACAACCCAGTTTGTGTGTCCCCCTCACCACACACACATTCCCCAAATGGAGAACTGTGGCCCAGGAGGTTCAGCGAGTGTGTCCCCGAGGTCGTTCATTTTTTCCTCTGTAGAAGGTGAAATGCCCCAGCTGTTACTTCCCCATTTGGGTTTCCAGGAGACCGTCGGGGTTTGACTGTTTCTTCCTTGTTATTGCCTCTGTGTTTCAGGTGTAATTCGCAGGCAGCCTGAGTAACGGATGCCCTTGTGATGTGTTAGGGCAAACATCACAAGGACAGAGAGGAGTCTGAACAAGGGCCACAGGGTGTGGACATGTTTTCCCTGATGCACAGAACAAATGGGAATCCAGCCCCGGGCAGCCGGGCAGAGCTCTCTGGGAGGAGCTCCTGGTTGTCCTGCAGCAGCAGCAGGAGCCCTTCTGGGGAAGTGAAAGAGGTGGCCCCAACAGTGGCCCCGGCTTCTCCATTGTCTTCGTTGAGGCTGTGTCTGTGATGAGGAACAGAAATCAACTCAGACTCCCCCAGGTACTATCTGTTGGGAGGAATCTCCTGGAACCCTCCGTCAGCTGGGCCTGGGGAAGGACTGAGGAGTGGAGCAGTCAGAGACCTGCCAGTTGCTCCTGTCTCCCACCTCTGCTTCAGCTTTCCCCCCGAACCGCCATCTCTGCTTCTATGTTCTCATGGATGATGATGGCCACCCCATCCCAAGGGAACACCAGGCCAGCTTTGGGGGGAGGAGGGGTGCAGAAGATCCATCTCTCCCTGCTCTAGTCACAGGTACCCTCTTCCACCCACTCCTACCACCCACCACATCTGCTGGAAGTCCCTCCTTCCTGCTGGCTTTGATGCTCTTTCTCCACCCCCACCAAGGAGCTCAGAGGGAAGGAGAAGCCAGCATCTTCCCTCCTTGGGGACTTCTGAGAAATCCCTTTCCATATGGTTCCCATCTATGTCGTGACCTTGCTGGGATGCTCCGCTTGGGGACGAATGGCTTTCTCCACAGATCAGGGCAAGAAGCAAAATGTTCTCTTGCTCAGCGTAGCAGCTGTTATATCCCCTGAAAGGGCTTGCAGGTTGGGCTGTTAGGAGCCATTTGGTCCTGGTTTCTCAGTGTTCCCTTTCCTTTTGGCCTGCAGATTGTATTATCTAGACTCTTTTTTTTTTTTTTTAAACAATGTGTACAAGGCCTATTAGATATTCGCTCTATTCCCTCGCTCATGCACAATTATTCCGAGCTGCACAGGGTACCAAGGCCAAGGAGGCAGTTGCTGCCCTTGGGAGGCTTGTGGGAGGTGGGGGAAACAAACCCATGAAAAGAGGAGTGACCCGGATGTGCCTTGTTCCTCCTGCTAGCAGACCACACTTCCCTTTAATGCATATGCAGCCCTAATCTGAACCCTCAATCTCCAAGGCTTCAGGAAATCCTTTTACCAGGTTTCCTTTACCCAAGGATCTCTGAGAATTCTTACACGTTCTTCCTATCTGTGGCTGTCACTTGTCTCCTCTATCTGCCCTACTGGATCCCTGGTGTGGACTTCAACAGGGCCTCCCCTCCCCAGACTCCCTCTCATTCAACTCTGTCTAACAAAGCCATGTTCCCGGGGAACCCCGGGCTCCCGTCTCAGGGCTGCATTCCCTCCCTGGGTGATCTCATTGGTCGCATGGCTTTTACATACCATCCGTCTGCCAATGGCTTTACAAATCAATATCTCCACCACTGACTTCTCCCCTAAGCTCCAGACTTATATCCAACTGCCTATTTGTTGTCTTCATGTGGAGGCCAAACCGGCAATTGAAACTTAACTGAGACCGAACCATGTCCAGCACAGCCAGGGGTGAACCAGAGGAGGGGCGGTGAAGGATTAAAGAAGACAGACAAGAGAATACAGTTGGGACCAGGTAGGATCACTGTGCCTGGATGAGGAAACAGTGACACAGCTGTAAGCCGAAACTTTATTTATAGTCAGATCACACAAAGCAAAACAAGGGCAAGATGTTTACAGTGTTCTTGCAAATTTCAAATCCGCTTCTTTCCTATTGTTGCCATTCTCTGCTTTGTTTTGGCAGCACTTGCTGCACCTCCCACAGCCCATATATCTTAGCTACCTAGAAACAAGGGAGGACTATAAGGTCAAGCTTAATTGTGCTAGGAGGGCTCTGTCCTCCAAGCTGGGACTTATATGTGGCTCTGCCACTGGTCAGTCTGAGGCTTGACCCCATAGCCACTCCCTACATGAGACCAAACAAACTCCTAATTTTGTGCCCTGCTATCCCACCCCAACCCACTCCCCTCCAGCTTCTCAATATCAGGGGACATTGCAGTACATAGCATGACACTTATCCACTTAGTCGCTCACTCTACAAACCTGAAAGGCACTCCTGATTCTCCTCTTTGTGTGTGTGTGTGTGTGTGTGTGTTTTGGGAGGTTGTTTGTTTTGTAGATATGTGTGTGTCTGTCTTTTTATTAATTATGAGTTAATGTGCTACAAAACTAATGGCTTTGCAGATGGGTCACCACTTTAAGAACTTTCTGCCTGACACAAACAATTGTCCTAGGCCATTTAGAGGGTCTGCTCTCCCATCCTCTTTTCTTAGAAGATAATATGATTTTGAACCTAAAACAAAACAAAACACTTTGCAGTTTTTCCAACAATGCAAAAAAAAAAAAAAAAGAAAGAAAGAAAGACCATAGCATTGTTAAGAAGAAGAGGAAAAAGAAGGAAGAGGAAGAAAAGAAGAAAACAAAATAGAATTTAAGACTAAATCATTAAGTAAAAGTAAGCACCAAGCTGAAATAATACAAGCTATATTACCAGAGCTACAAAGCACAAAAGCAATGGAAGTTTTCATTTATTCGCCCAACAAACGATAGCCTACTATGCGCAGGCATTGTTCAAGCATGTCAAACTCGTGGCCGACGGGCCACACGCCAACCACAAGTTTGACATGCTTGCGAGTGGTAGGGAATGAGCAGTAAACAAAACATAAAATCTCTGAGCTGTGGAACTTAATTTTAATGAGAGAGAAAAGACGATTGTAAGTGAATATGTAATATGTCTTATGATAATGAGTTCTATGGAGAAAATAAAGTAATGAATGAGATTGCAAAGAACAAGGAGTGGGGATGGAGTTGCAATTTTAAGTAGGGTGGTCCCGGAAGACCTTTCTAACGAGGTGACATGTGAGCAGAAGCCTGGAGAACACGCGAGAGAAGCTGCAGCTCTGGAGAAGAGCGCTCAGGCAGGAGGAAGAACAAGCGCAAAGGCCCCGAGGAGAGAGTGTGCCTGGCCTGTGAGAGGAAAAGCCAGGTGGCTCCAGGTGGCTGTACTGGA